TCCAGCTACGGTTTAACCACAGAAAGAAACTGAAAATAAGGAAAAATTTGAGAAAAAGGTCGCACCTTCTTTCTGCATCCGGATACTTAATTGACCTCGTTGGGGCGAGGATTCATCTCCAGAAGAGTTATCATTTTCAGTCCAGTCTGGAGGAGAATGCCATCTCACAAAATCTTCCAACATACAGCCAGGATTTGCTGCCTAATAGAGTTACAAATATAATCAATTTTCAGATCAAGTACAATTTTTTTCCTTATAATATAATCACTTATATTCCAGCATCAATAAGATTTTTCACTTTTAAAATAATCACCTTGAAAGCCTGCATGTCAGACAAGAGTTGAGAACATCCAGCCCCCATGCTGAACCATAAGAAAGACAAACAATCCAATAATCTATCAAGACAACTGGATATCTGAAAAAATGTCTGAAATATTAATGAATGAACTGATATTATTAAGCCAGATAACGTGTTTATAGTTTTCTAACTAGTAGCACAAAGTATCTGATCTTTATAACACCAACTCAGGATGCGGAAGCAGATTGATTTAAGTTTCACAGTCCACATTCAAAACATGATCCATCCCTAACATGTACCGAATACATAATTTATCACAACCTAAAAGAAACATATTTCTATGGCATAACTGATTGTATATAAAACTGCATTAAGTAAACGATAGCACTCACCTCCCTGTCCGAAGTACTAATTCCTCTGTTTCTCTAATAAGATCTTCTGTCAACAGCGGACCTTCCTACATGAATATAAACACTAGAGCTTCAGACAGAGAAGGTAGCTACTGTTTTATCAACTATGGCGGAAGTTACGGACCTGCGTTATTGGGGCATACACAGGTTCACCAGTTTCCAACATTGTTAAGTTCTCAAATTGGTGATAAACGCCTAACCGGAGTATGAGCTCTCCGGTGTTACTTTTAGCATACAAAAGAGAAATCGGAGAACCCATTGCTTCTGAAACGTCGGACTCTTCATCGGCTGAACTAGCTTGCCTCATCACAGCATCTAATGCTTCAGAAGCAGCTAAGCAGCGCGCTTTCCTGGTAACACAGCAGTTTATAACCTGTAACCATTGGTGAAGTAGGCAACTTTTTAAATCTGGATTGTCGTCCACAGGTATACATGGTATGTGTTTCTCTTCATTCCAAAATCTCCTCAACTGCACACACATGTAGATCATTTGAGAGAGGTTATCAACTAGAAGTGTGAATAGGATACTTTAAAGCCAAAGATTATATACAACACAAATAACTTACTTCATCAACAACCCTGCACCAGAACAAAGCCATTCTCCTTGGTGTTGTAAAACTACCAATTACTTCAGCTAGCTTAACAACAAAGCTACCAGGGGGAGCAGCATGAAGATCTTTAGCGAAAGATACTCTGTTGCTAGGAGACTCCAAATCAGAGACAATCATTCTGATGAGGAAGTTACTATCTGCAAATAATTTACCAAAATTAAAAACAGTGGGGAAATAAATAAGCAGTAACCGGAATATAGTTTGACGAAGAAAACTTCTCCCCTGTACGGCAAACCTACCAACATTAAACAAGGCATCTATTAGAGAAACAAGTTTTTCCTCATCCCCTGAATCAAAACCAAGTTTATCCTCCTTTTCACCAAGAACCAGCGATTTCATGGCGGAGAGGCTCAAGCCTCCCCTCTCCCTCACTGGTGATGAACTACCAGACGATGTAACAAAGTCTTTCACAGTCTTAGACCTTTTTCCCGCTCTGAAAAACGAAAAGAAGCCACAGGGACACGATGAGAAAGAAGAGCAAAACACCAAAACACTTTAGCCAGAGAGTTCAGAGAAGCTTGTAAAATACATATACTTCAGCCTTACGGATTATTACAAATCTAACGATTTAAACTGTGTATAAACTTTGGTATCAAGACTCACTCGATGGCTACAGCCAGCTGCTTCACAATGGATGCCCTAGGAATACTGTTCACATCAACGGCATTTAGAGATTCTACCATGTAGCCAACATCAGATGCCTATAAATTATTGTTCAAAAGAAAAATATAATCATGCAACCGCAGAGAAAGAAGCAAACAAAATCTTGAAACTACAGGCAAAATAGCAGCAAAAGAATACCTTGGCTTCTTGATCTTGCTTTGCTTTAAGAATGTATAAGTTTTCGTCATAGAAAGGTGCAGCCATTGTTGGATCCTCAACCTTATCTTTATCTTCGACTTCTTTCCTCCCAATTCTCAAGTTTTTCAGTTTATTTTGCCACTCTTGCGTTTTCCTAATATGTGCAGTTCTCCACCCCTGAGGCTTCACTTCATTCTCCTCCTGTGCCCAACAGTTCCGGTTATCAGAAATTAAAAGATGTATCAATGGACAATAATACTCACATCACATTCTACTTTAAACATAAAATTCGAAAGCTCAGAGAAACGCTGAAAAGTTTTCAACAAATATCCAAATGGCTCAAGTAAATATTGTTTTTTTTCCTTTCTCTCATCATCCAAAACAAAGGTGAGCAAGAAAGTGTCTAGCTTACTTTCAATCCCAAAATTCAAAATCAGCTTAGATTAGATCCTTCAAAATGTATATAATCTTTCACATCATTGATACTATTTTTCTATATACTTTTGCCAGATATTTTTCTATGAAATCAAATCTATTATTCCATAATTGTTTTCTGCGAAATCAAATGTAGTACCTTAGAGTCATTCCCATTCTTTGCCGATTGCTTCTCCTCCTCTTCTACGATTCCGATTAAAACAACACTCAAGTAAATCAAATGAACATCACCACACAGCAAACAAGAAGAATACCGAAATAGAATTGAATTTGACTAGAGAAAGAAAAAGAAAACAATAGAAATAGAAATGAATTAGAGTACCCAAAATAGAATTTGATTTAATCAAAACGAAAAATAAGATTTAAACAGGAGAAAAGGGATAAAATCAGAGGTCGAGAGATAAGCGTCTATGCATCATCAGTCAAATTTTAGTAAATGAAAAATTAGACACGAAAATAAGTAAATTGAAACGGAAGCTAAGGGAAGAGAGAGAGAGAGAAATTAGTTACCTCGATCGGATTTGAGATCAGTGAAGACGCGCTCCGCTTTAGCCGCGGCGGAATTGAAGGCGGTTCTAGCTTTGGAGACGAAGGACGGCGGCGCCGTCTCCATTATCGTGCGCACCTGTACGTGCGCAAGTTAAGAAGCTGCGCGTTTGTCAACGACACGGCATTGAAACTTGAAATGTTGAGGAAAATGAGAAGACGAGGAAGGAGGTGATTCTAATAGATTCTAAGGAAAGTCGCTTGTAGCGAAGCAGACGACGAATTCACGAAGACACTTGTAAAATATTTAAATCTTTTTTATTTGTTTTTCTAGATTTAGTACCCAAACAAATGAATTAGAAATAATGTTTTTGCGATATTCTATTATGGTATGGAATTAAATATGGAGAGATTGACCAATCCAGATCGTCGCCTAAGTAGGGGTTATTGGTTCTTGTATTTTGGTAGATTTATAAATCTTCTTTGAATTTGATAAATTTATTGATTTCAAAATCAACAAAATGTAAAAAAATTAAATCCACTCAAATATCAAGGTTAGATCTTGTATTTGGGTCTTTGTATTTTAGTCATGAAAATCCTTCCAAATCCATTCAAATTTAATTAAAACTCAAATCCTTATAATATTTAGATTTTAAAATGATAGAACCAATAACATTGTATTTCATTATGGATTTTAAAATCATAGAACCAATAACACTGTATTTCAATATAAATTTTAAAATACAAGAACCAATAACACTGAATTTGGTTTGGATTTTCGAATCCATTAAAATACAAGAACCAATAACACCTCCTAAGGTAAATTCACATTTTGATGAATCTTATCTTTATAAATAAAACAAAAATTTATTGCCTTCTAATTTCGAATTAAAAAAAAAAAAAAAAATTGGATGAAGCAGATGATTTCTACCCTATTCAGTCCCTTACATGATTTACTGTATATACTTTTTTTTGTATTCTTGTCAAAAAATACTCATTTTTCTAATGTTGAAATGGGCCAAACTCTACTTGTAGAAATTCAACAATTCGGTAAAGAGTATATATCTGTTTTTTGTTTGATCAAGTCAACGGGTGAAGTTGGATATTTCTTCTAGATGAGTAAAGTGTAAAACTCAAGTCTGATATCAACTATATAGGGATGCTGTTCATATTAATTTGGTCTAGTCCCATTCAAATTCGTTTACTTTTTGTTCTTTGAAATCTTAATATTTCTTATGCATGTGATTAGTAATGTTGATTACAGTATCCAGTAGCACAAAGGTTTCGGGTTTGAGTATGTGTTGATGATTTGTGTTATATAAAGTGAGTAGTTTAAATACATCATCACTCTCTATTAACAAAATGCATTTTACCATATTTAAATTTGGATAGTCATATACTGACGAAATTAATGGATATCACATACATGTATTTATCGTATAAATTTAACAATCAAGTTTTTGGAATTGGCTATCGTATAAATTTAACAATCAAGTGTTTGGAATTGGCTATTTGATTATTTTGCACTTGTATAATATTAACTCTTGTAGTACAAATGTTTAAAGTTGAGTATCTTGGTACCGATATTATTCACTCCAACAAATAATCACAAATGATTTAGGCTGTCTCTTAATTTATGTTAAGAATAAAAAAAATTAGAGGAAATACTTCAAAATGAACCAATAAAATAGTTATCTCATTGAAAAAAATTTATGAAATTAACTCATTTTTACGATTTTTATAAATACCACTGTTATTTATAAACTAATAACAGACTAACGTCACACTGATTAGTCAAATAATTGAATGTAAACTACTAGCACATTGAAAGCAAATTAGTGGTTCCATCTTATGTATCATTTTAGAAAGTATTATGTTTCGTAATAAAATTGTCAAGCGAATTATTTCAAAATTTATCTTAAAAATTTAAACACACGAAATTCCTTTCTTACTTTTTTGAACACTTTTTTTTATTAAATCATAGAGATCAAAGTTTGTAAAAAATGATACCAATAGGCGTCTTACATAGCTACTTAGAGCAAACACTACGAATTTCTTTAGAAAAAAATAAAAATAAAATAAATAAAGAGTTTCCAAATTCCATTTGTCTCGTTGATTATGTAAAAACAACGCCGTGTTGATCATGGAGAGACCAGCTGAGAGAAACTTAAAGGAAACATGTATCGTTGTGAATCATCAGCAAACATAAGATCGACGATGACACGAGCACCAGCTTCTGTGGGATGTAGAAAATCCCAGAAGAAATTTTTTGTTCTGTCCGAACAAAACATCGCGGACGGATAACAAGGAAGATCCGCGTTTAATGTCCCAAACCCACAACACGCCGATTTTACGTCAGCAAAACCTGAAAGTAATTAGAAAACGACAACGTTTTTGTGTTTTCTATGTTAAACATATTGGCTTGAATCATGAACTTTCGAAAATGAGTAGATTGATTCATATCCTATGATCCTAACAAAATTCTAAAAAAAATCAGTTCACATCTAATCATTGGCTCGAAGCAAAGTATAAGTATTCTCAACGTACCGTAACGTGCAGGGTTGGAGTGAATGTCATTTATGGACTTGAAAAGATCAAAGTAAGAGTAAGTCATTGAGCTTTGCAACTCTTGTTTGAGTTCTTGCAGCATCTTCACTAAAGCTTCGTTGTACAAAGAGGCAAACATGTTAGCCTCTTCGTTACACTCATGCATCGTCGAGTTCTTCTCTCTTTTCTGCGGTGTACAACCGAGCGGTGCTACTCCGACTATTAATAATCTAGGCGTCCCAGTCTCGTGGATTGTCTGTTAATATTATTTCCTCAAACAAATTTTGTCAGACATTATATAGTAACCAAGAACACAATTCCTTCATATTTAGTTTTTGCTTTTGTTTGTTACCTTCAATTGCTCTTTGAATTTATCGGCTATTGACTGCATATACTGTTGAGGATTACTCTCTTTTCGAAGTTCCGGAGATCCAAAATAACCCAAAATATCGTTGCTGCCTATGATAATAACGAATAGAGACTTTGATATGTGAACTTTTGCTTCGGATGGTCCAAGCTTTATTGTGAGGTTTTGCTGAATAGAGAGCCAATAGCTCAGTTGCTGTGATAAAGGAATCACTTGTCCCTGAGATAATTGTAAGTAAAACATTAATTAACAAACAAATTGTGGGTCATGTGGTCGATCTATTCTCAATATACATCTTTTTGTTTGGTTTTTCGGCTTATTTCATGTTTCAACTATACAGAGAAAATGTTTCAAAATAATATATAATAAGAAAATAATGTGAAATTATTATTTGTCAATAAAATTATTATTTCTATAATTTTGTTTTATACTAGCACTATTTTTCTAACTAAATTTTCGTAAACTAAATACAAAATTAATGGCAGAGTGAAAACATACTAATAAACTCATCTCTAATAAATTATTTTTAAAATAATCATGTTTTGTAATAAAATTACTAGATAAATCATTAAAAATTATTCCATTTTTTCAGAATTATGATAATATTCTATTTCATTTTTTCAGGATTTAAAAATAATAATTTTAGTAAAACCATAGACGAATTTTTTTTTGTAACTTACAGCAGTATCATTGCTATTAAGGATTCCGGCACCGGCTGAGGCAAAATTAACACCTGTCATGGCAGCGGTTTCACTTGCATTCCTATTTAGTGAGAGATATGGTGGCGGTAACGGTAGACCAAATTTCTCAGCTAGTCAACAAAAGAAAAACTAAAAATTAATTCTAAACATATACTCAAATCATTGGCGACTAATTGTTACAAATACGTGTAATTTCTGTTTCGTTTAATTTTGTATGTTTAACGTCATAACATGTAACCATTTCATTTAAGTGAATATCTTATTATATAAAATTGTATCCACCAAAATTCGTGATAAGTGTCAAGTTAATTTATGAAATTTTGACATATATCATGATTATATAATATGCTGGTAAAAAATAAAATAAAAATACACTATTAAATATTAATCTTCAAAATACAAATTTTGTATTAGAATTTAAAAGTTAGTAATTAACATGATAAACAATAAAACAAAATATATTTATATTTTAAAAAGGAAAATAAAACGTATTTAATGAAATAGTAAATTATAAACCAAAGTATATATTGTTATATTTTAATTTGTATAATAAAAATTTTTGATTAAAAAAATCCAACAGAAATAACATAATCAAAATTCTTTCATATGGATGATTTTAATTTTGATTTTTGATTTTCAATTTTTTAAAATACTATAAACCTATGTATACACACATTCTTAATCTAGTAGAATTTATTACTTTTAATGGATAGTTGGATACTAAAAAAATGACACTCGGAAACAAAAAAAAACTTACCAATAATATCGGCGGCGTTTTTGCCGTTACAAAATCTTCCGTTGGCTTTATTGCCCGGAAAATCGACGCCATTGGGTAGAAAATTAGCTTTGAATATTGTAACTGGTATGTAGTTATTGTTTCCGGCGTCAACCAACGAGTCCCCGAACACGTATACTCCCGGAATCGAAGCCAGTGTTGCTGCTTTTAAACCGTGAATTGAATCGAACCGGAGTAAACCGAGGAAAAGGAAGAGGACGGTGAGAAACGGTGTGTTGTTCGCCGGCATCTTTCTTATATATTTCAGGCGCCGAGGGTTTTGGAGTTTCAAGATGGATGCACAACTTGGTTTGGCTTATATAGAGAGGAGACATCCATGTTATAGTATGACGAAAATTATTTTACAAATTAATAAAGAAAAATTACCTACTTGGAAAGTGTAATATTGACCTGGCTAATTTATCTGGTAAGATAAAATTTGAAAAATGACATACACAATATATTTAGAAAGTATAGACTGTATAGTATTGACTAGACTAGTTTTGTTTGGTAAGATACGATTTAAGAACATCGGTAAAAGAAACTTATAAATCTGAAAGTTATTAATATGATTTACGAAATTGCTGTTATGTATTTAAATTTCTAAAATAATAAACGTAATAAAAAGTATACTACATTAAATTTCTAAAATAATAAACGTAGTAGTAGTTGTAAAAAAAAACGTAATAAAAAGTATACAAACCGTAAAAAGAAGAAACCTTAATTATTTCTCTCTCGATGAGCTACGAATCCCGATGGCTGTTGAGTTTTTGGTTTTGGCGGCGATTGCTTGATCGTAGGTTTCATTTGTATATTTGTTACCTAAATCAGAAACTTGCAAGTTGCGGGGATAGCTCAGTTGGGAGAGCGTCAGACTGAAGATCTGAAGGTCGCGTGTTCGATCCACGCTCACCGCATTGATATATTTTGTGTTAGCTCGATTTTTTTCTCTCGTCCAATTATGCAATCGGTTATGAAATTTTGGTCTAGACTGAATTTCAAAGTTTAGGGTTAGTCCGACCATGTAGTGCAGTAAACATAACTAAGATCGACCATCGATACGATAGTGCAGTGGGATGGCCATGGCCGTAGAGATTCCAGAAGATATATAATTGGTCTTGTTTCGAAAAATTGTTGCGATGGAAAGATAAGCTAAGGAAGCACTGGTTTTAAATTCAGACGCCCCTAACAACATTCCGATTTTACGTTAGTAAAACCTGATATAAGTTTTCAATTTGGTTTTCGCTTGTGTAATAAGTAATCGGAGTGACCAAATAATATAAAATTAGAGGCATGCACGTGGTTTTACAGCTTCGGAAATGAAATTACGAAGATTCAGACAGCTAACGTACTGGCTTTTGTTTGCTTGGACTTTGATCCAAGTACATTTCAGTCGTGTAAAACACATTCTAGGTTACTCTAGTACCAGCGCAGCCTCTTCTGTATGTAAAACACATAAAAAAAAAGTTTATTTTCTTGTTTGAATGCGATGGCTGCTTCTTATAACTTGTTAGACAAGAAAAGTAGTTTGGCTATGCAATTTACATTCAATGTACTTAACAACTAAACCATATGATAGAGGAAACTTTTCTGACGGATTTTTATAAAAAATAATGAAAAATAACGTGGACTTTACAAATTCAAGAGTTTCTTATCAACCAGTACACTGGAATGCGATTGAGCAACCTTAAAAAAAAAGGAAATGCAAAGCAAAGCAATGAAACGTAGTGTTCACCAAGGAATGCAAATGAAGATGTGTTACGGCGTAATTTAACGGAAAAACAGCAAACCACTGGTCACAACCAAAAACGCCATGGTGAGCATCCAAGAGACCACCGGTTTTACCTGCAACCGCCGCACAAACTTCGTTTTCTTCACCGCCATTTCCACAACCGTGCAAACCCCATTTAGCACAAAGAACACGGTGACCTGCCATGAAAATGTCTCACGAGTCAAATAGAAGTGGAGAAGCTCGTGAAAGACACCTGAGACAACGAACGCCGCAAGAAAACCCATCGATATAGCATGGTTGGAGCTCATTATGCGCCCACAGACTCGCCGCACAGGAGTGTAGACTCCTGTCCTAAGAATCGATGACACCATTAGGTTCCAGCGGCGACCCCAGAAGTCTTGAAGAGATGTGGCTAAGTATGGCTCGTTGAATTGTGGCTCTAGGTCGTACCCAAGAGTTATACTGACCAGAAATTTGATGAGCTCTAATGTAATCTCAAGTTTCAAGTACATATACATAGGACGGAGAGCTAGCAGCAGAATTTGAGGTAGGTTTTGTTTGTCACGGTCCACTATTAACAGAAGACAAAAGATAATAACTTTAGTGGCGGAAACCCATTTGGGGAAATGGTTTTGAGATGGGGGAAATTTAGGGCTTTGTTGAAGCTTGACAGGCAAGCAAGTGAAGCATATGAATTGGGTGAGATTTGATGGAAGTGGGAAAAGAGGACCTTGATCAAAGGCGAAGAGGATGAGCTTTAAATTGGCAATCCCTGGGAGGCAAAACGCTGTGATCACAGCGAAGCGCCTTGAGGAAGAGAATAGAGGAAGAACGAAGAAGAGGGCACATACGGGAATAATAGAGAGTAATCGAAGAACACCAGTTTTGATTCTGGATGAGAAATAGTAACAGTACGATACAGAGATTACCGCAGAAACCCATACTTTGACGAAGCTCCTGAGTTCTTCCTCCATCTGTTAGATCTTTTTCCGCTTTGCTAGAGTCTTTGCATTAGCCCAATAGGTGTTATAACTTGGTGGTCGCGTTTATTAAAAGTAATTGGAATGAATTAAACATTGGACCCAAAAGATTATTACGCAAGTAGGGTTTGCTTCTATATCAAGTACATTGTATGTCAAATATCTGTCACTGGCGACAGAAATGCCTAGCCTTTCTCATGCAATAGCATTTAATGTTCCTCAGTTTCTATAGCTTTATCATCAAAGAAACCTTTCGATTACATCCTCCTCATCAAGAATCCCCTTGATTACGTCCTCCTCATCAAGAATCCCTTTGATTACATCCTTATCAAGATACCTTGATTAGATTACTTCCACGCATCAAGAGACATACTGTTCAGATGCTTCTTCATCAGGGAAACCCTTCAATTAGGTTACTCTGTCTGTATAGGATAACATTAACGTGATGATCCGTGAATATAGGAGAGCGCAACACAAATACTCTGCTTTTCTTATTCATGCCAAATTTGTTTCATATATAACCGGTTAAGAAGAAAATTGCGAACCGAAGTCCAAACTAATCAGAAAACTTATAAATTAAGCTGGGCGTTGTTGACAGATGAATTGTTGAAACTTACGTTGGACTAACATGAAAGCACAATGGCAGGGATTCAATCTCAGTTCAGTAGAATATATATCATGGTTTAAGATGAATATTCTGTTTACCTGAATGTGGTAAAACAACAGATTTTGTTGTGTGCTCTTTCTTCTGCTCCTTCTACTCCTAAAACAACTCTCTGTAATGGCTTCGTTAACATTAATTATGTATGGATTGTTTTTTTTTGTTGAACATTTATATGTATAGATTGTTTGGCCCCCAAATCATTTACAAAAGAAATATGAGAAATATATATGAATTATCTATCTTTCAAACCGAAATTGTTTCAAGCCCCATCAATCTCAGGGCCGGCCCTACATGTAATGTAACTCCACACCAAAGATGCAAAACAACGCCGTATTGATCATGGAGAGACCAACTGAGAGAGATTTAAAGGAAACATGTATTGTGAATCATCAGCAAACATATTATCGACGATAACACGAGCACCAGCTTCTGTGGGATGACCGTAGAAATCCCAGAAGAGATATTTTGTTCTGTCCGAACATAAACTCGCGAACGGAAAACAAGGTAAATCCGCGTTTAATCTCCCAAGTCCACAACACGCCGATGTTACGTCAGCAAGACCTGAAAGTAATTAGAAAAACGACAACGTTTTATTGGCTTGAATCATCATGGACTTCCAAAATTCTGAGAAACTCGGTTTACATCTCATCATTGGCTCAATGCAACAGTATATACAAGGTTTTATCCGTGTTGGTTAATTATCCTTAGCTAATTTCACTAGTCATGATAACCAAATTTAATATCCAATATATATACGTATTTTTCAACGTACCGTAACGAGCAGGGTTGGAGTTAATGTCATGTATGGACTTGAAAAGGTCAAAGTAAGAGTAAGTCATTGAGCTTTGCAACTCTTGTTTGAGTTCTTGCAGCATCTTTATTAGAGTTTTATTGTACAAAGATGCAAACATGTTAGCCTCTTCATCGCATTCATGCATCTTCGAGTTCTTCTCTCTTTGCAGCGGTATGCAACCGAGTGGTCCTACCCCGAATATTAATAATCTAGGCGTTCCAGTCTCGTGGATTAATTTCTGTTAATATCATTCCCTCAAATAAATTTAGTCAGATATTATATAGTAACCAAGAACACAAGTGCTTCATATTTAGTTTTTACTTTAGTTTTCGTTACCTTCAATTGCTCTTTGAGTTTACTAGCTATTGATTGCATATACTCTTCAGGATCACTTTCTTCTTGAAGTTCCGGAGATCCAAAATAATCCAAAACATCGTTGCTACCTATGACAATAACGAATAGAGATTTTGATATGTGAATGTTTGCTTCGGATGCTCCAAGCTTTCTCCTGAGGTTTTGATGTATAGAGAGCCAAAACTCCAGTTGCTGTGATAAAGGAATCGCTTGTCCCTGCGATATTTAAGTAAATTGTTGGTCATGTGGTCGATCGATGCTCAATACATATTTTTGTTTTGTTTTTCTTTTCCGGTTTATTACATGTTTAACTAAATTGCTTCTGGTAATGAGAATATTCTTTTTCACTCTTTTCAGGATTTTTCAAATAATTTTAATAAAAACTCACAGTAGTTTGGTCATCGCTGTTGAAGATTCCGGCACCAGCGGATGCAAAATTAACACCGGTCACGGCGGCGGCTTCTCTCGCATTCTGATTTAGTAAGCGTGGTGAGAGATACGGCGGCGGTAACGGTAAACCAAATTTCTCAGCTAATCAACAAAAGAAGAAACTAAAGTGAATGCCACAAATTTTACTCAGATAAAAAAAAAAGGTACAAAATGAAGGAGAGAAATTTTGAAATATCATAGTAGTGGTTACAACTACATGTAATATTTCTTTCGTCTATTTCTTTCTATGTTCAACGTCTAACCATTTCTTAAAAAGTTATATTTGAGTGAATATATTTAATTTTAATGGATGTAAAAAAATGACACTGGAAAAAAAAAAACCTACCCATAGCGTCGGCGGCGTTTTTGCCGTTACAGAATCTTCCGGTGGGTATATAGCTAGGAAAATCGATGCCGTTAGGTAGATAAATAGCTTTTCTTAAGGAAAGTGGTAAGTAATTATTGTTTCCGGCATCAACCAACGAATCTCCGAACACATACAGTCCCGGAATCGAAGACAATGCAGCTGCTTCTAAACCGGGAATCGAATCAAACCGGAGTAAACCGAGGAAAAGGAAGAAGACGGTGAGGAACGTTGTGTCGTTCGCCGGCATCTTCTATTATCAGGCTCCTAGACTTTTTGTTTATATAGAGAGATGAGACATGTTAGTAGTCGCTATGACGGATTTTTTCATTGACAAAACTAATAAAATATAGTTATGATTGATAATGTGGACAGAGGAAAGATATCAAAAATGAAGAAGAGAGGAAGCTTCTTTTAATTGTTGTCATTTTCTGACAGTTTATGTCACTCCTTTCATGGTATATCGTGCGGCAATTTCATTTTCCTACGATGAACTGCACCGAAGACATTAAAGTATGGTGACATCATCAAAACAAGTGATTCAAAATAAGCGGATAGGAGATATCAAGTATGGTTAGTGTGAAAAATTAGCTTTCTTTTTTCATTAGCTGAGTGTTGGCTTGATTTTGAAACTCTGAGCTCCGGTGGGAATTGGCGTACCGGCGATCAGGAAGATTCTCGCGAACATATGGAGATAGAGAAAATGTTCAGGCTCCGAACAGATAACCTTAAGATCGTCCACATGTTGACCTTACGTATCAACCACGTATATATAGAGTAAAGTAATGCGACGCAACTAGTTCTCCTATCACACATTTTCAGAGCATGCATGATGCATGTGGACTATAGGTAGGTGTGTAATGATGTCATACTCATAAGTAGTGAGTTATGCCTAAATGAGTAAATGATGATGCATTATGCCTGCCATCACCAATTTTTCCTACACTAGATGTTCAAGTTTCCTATGCGCCTGATGATCAGTTGCGAGACTTGCTGAAGAAACTTGGGTTGGTGACTTCTTTGGAAGAAAAGAATAAGGAGAGGAATATGATATTCTTCAAAAATTATACCATTTAGGAGAAATTTGTTTTTAATATTCAGACATGTATATGTTTTTCTTTCTATTGCTCCAAATTCATTTCTCTAAAACAATAATAGAACATCAAAGATGAAAAATGTAAAAACAAAACTTGAAACTTGTTCAGTCTCCAATAGTATTATTTGCGAGGTTTTTTTCTTGGAGATTGATACAACATTTTATGATATTCAAAATTTCACCAAAAGTAGAAATGATATGTGTAGAGAAAAAAAGTCACATAACTAAAGTTCCACATCGAGACATGTCACAAATAACCTTTGAGATTCGAACCATGGCCCAAACCCACCGAAAAATCCCTCACCACTCTAACTCAACCGGTAAAATTATTATACAATTTCATGGAACCACATAATGAAACTAAAAACACAGATCCATGCTTCAGACGTAATTAACAAGAAATATATATATATTTATGTATGTTAGATTCATTTCTCTTCTTTTTTGTTGTTGTTTTGTTTTCCGAATATTGATTTGTCTAGTTTAGGTTCAAATACTCAGATGAGAACATAAAAAACTATGAACTGAAATGAATGAATCAAGGCCTATGTACTTGTTTGGAGGTGGGTCACTGTCAGTTTATCACCGTGTCAACTAATTAAGCTAATCCCCACTATGCAAAATTGCAGAGATTGCGAGAAAGACCATAACTAGCCTCAATTAATTGATTGCATTCACATAAGTAAAAAACATCAGACACCGAAATCGTTCATACATAAATAAATAAAAACAATTACCTGAAAAAATCGGTAAAATACGCAATGACACAATATTTGTCGGTTAATTGACAAGAGTATTTGTTCGTATACAATTGTTTATCATAGTCAAGAATGACTTGTGAATATATTTGTACAGTATTCTTTCTTGGCGACTTCGTAAATATTCGATATATCTCACAAGTTTTCAATTTTGTTTTTGTTTGTCAACATTTTTTCACTTTGATCGTATTTTTTCGAATAATACCCAGCTAAAGGTTTTTGCTTTTTAGAGCTGGTTATAGACCATATAGTTTCGAGTACTGTTTTAGTTAGAGACTTGGAGTACAAATGCAGCTAAAAATACAATCAGTTTTAGTAACTTTTACCACCAAACGAGAATTAGACTAATCTCTTTTGGAGATAGAAACCAACTGGTTATTGGTCTATAATATTTTGTTTTGAAAGCAGTTAACCACTTAAATTAATAAAAGAAACAGAAAAAAAGAATTTGAAAATAAATAAAAACTTATTCCATTGCTAATAAATTGAGTACATATCCAATCAAGAGTCTCCAAATACTTTCTTGTTCTGCAGTAATTAGTACAACATGCCACACAGTTAAAATAAAACACACATTCCTTAAAAAAAAGGTCTTTAAATTCCATTTGTCTAGTTAAGGTCTTCATGTAAAAACAACGCCGTATCGATCATGGAGAGACCAACTGAGAGAGAGTTAGAGGAGACATGTAATGCGGATCATCAGCAAACATAAGATCGACGATAACACGAGAACCCGCTTCTGTGGGATGACCGTAGAAATCCCAGAAGAGATATTTGGTTCTGTCCGAACAAAAACTCACGAACGGAAGCACACAAGGAATATCCGCATTTAGTTTCCCACGTCCACAACACGCCGATGTTGAGTCAGCTAAACCTGAAATCAGAAAAACGACAGCATTTTTCTTCTATGTTAGACATATTGGATGATGCTACCATGTGAGGAAAAGGAAAATCATGGACTTCCAAAAATAAGTAGATTGATCCATATCTTAGGATCCTAACAAAATTCTAAAAATTATGTTCATATCTCATCATTGGCTCGAAGAAATATATACATGGTTATAAACCCCTCGTTTCACTAGTCGTGATAACCAAATTTAGTTAATATTCAAAATATACATGTTTTTCAACGTACCATAACGGGCAGGGTTGGAGTTGATGTCATTTATGGACTTGAAAAGATCAAAGTAAGAGTAAGTCATTGAGCTTTGCAACTCTTGTTTGAGTTCTTGCAGCATCTTCACTAAAGCTTCGTTGTACAAAGAGGCAAACATGCTTGCATCTTTGTTGCATTCGTGGATCGTCGAGTTCTTCGCTCTGTGCCGCGGCATGCAACCGAGTGGTCCTACCCCGAATATTAATATTCTAGGCGTTCCAGTCTCGTGGATTCTCTGTTAATATATCATTTCCTCAGATAAATTTAGTCAGATATACTGTATATAGTAACCAAGAGCACAAGTGCTTCATATTTAGCCAGATGTATATATAAAAAAAATTTAAAAAATTATTTACCTTCAATTGCTTTTTGAACTTATCGGCTATTGATCGCATATATTGTTGAGGATTACTCTTTTGTCGAAGTTCCAAGGATCCAAAGTAATCCAAAATATCATTGCTGCCTATGACTATAACGAATAGAGATTTTGATATGTGAACTTTTGCTTCGGATGGTCCAAGCTTTTTCGTGAGTTCTTCATGAATAGAGAGCCAATTGTTCAGTTGCTGTGATAAAGGAATCGCCTGTCCCTGAGATTTTTTATGTTAAAACATTAATCAACAAACTAATTGTGGGTCATGTGGTCTATATCTATGCTCAGTACAAATTTTTGTTGGATTTTCCGTTTATTACACGTTAACTTCTGATAGGGACAATATTATATTTCATTATTTTCAGGCTTTTTAAATAATTTTAATAAACTCTGTAAGGAAAAAAAAACTTACAGTAGTTTGATCATCGCTATTAAAGATTCCGGCACCGGCTGAAGCAAAATTAATACCTGTCACGGCGGCGGCCTCTCTCTCGTTCTTTATTAGTAAGTATAGTGAGAGATACGGCGGCGGTAACGGGAAACCAAAATTCTCAGCTAATCAACCAAAGAAAAAACCAAAAATTAATTCAAAAACTTTACTCAAATCAAATATCTTTTTGAAATATCAATAGTAACGATTCAAATTATATATATATATTGGCGACTAACTGTTACCACTACGTGTGATTTCTATTCCGTTTGTTTTTTCTAAATGTGTAAACCATGTTTTAAAAGTTGTATGAGTGATATATTAAATTTTATTGGATACCAAAAACAATGACGCCGGGAAACAAAAAAAATGAAACTCACCGATAATATCGGCGGCGTTTTTGCCGTTACAGAATCTTCCGGTAGGTATTTGGCCAGGAAAATCGATGCCGTTGGGTGGGTAAGTAGCTTTTCTTAAGGAAAGTGGTAAGTAATTATTGTTTCCGGCGTCAACCAACGAATCTCCGAACACGTATACTCCCGGAACCGAAGCCAATGTTGCTGCTTCTAAACCGGGAATTGAATCGAACCGGAGTAAACCGAGGAAAAGGAGGAAGACGGTGAGGAACGGTGTGTTGTTCGCCGGCATATTTCTATACTTATCTAATTTTCAGGCTCCGAGGCTTTTGGAGTTGTAAGAAAGATGCATGGCTTGGTTTGGTTTATATAGAGAGAGGAGACACATGTTAGTATGACGATTTTTGTTTTACAAAATTAACTATAATTACCGTATAAACCACGTATAGAGTAAGTGCGGCCCAACTAGTTCTCCTAACACACATTATTAGAGCATGCACGTGGACTAGGTAGGTTTAATGATGCTACAAGGATCTAAGTTATGCCTGCCATCACCGATTTTGCCTACACTTGATGCTCAAGTTTCTTTTGCGCCTGATTCAGTTGCGAGACTCGATCGCTTGAAAGAATAATGATATTTTTTTTTTGAAGTCACAAAACAAAGTTCAACATCTTTCTTTTAAACCAGGAGCGATTTTCCTGTCACTACCGCTAAATCAGAAAATAAATTCAACTAGAGTAAACAGAAGAAGATCGGTTGTGTGTTGTAATGAAGTTCTTGGAAGCAAAACACTTAACTACTTTCATTTAAGAAAAGAAAAGGCCAAAAACTTATTATTACTTACAACTTACAAAATGAGTACATATATATGACAAATCAAAGTCTCCAAATACTTTCTTATTTTGCAGTAAACAGTACGAAATGCTGCATAGTTAAAATAAACACACAATTTACTTAATAAAAACAAAGGTTCTCCAAATTTCATTTGTCTGGAAGATGATTATGTAAAATAACGCGGTATTGATGATCATGGAGCGACCAACTGAGAGAGACTTAGAGGAGACGTGTATTGTGAATCATCAGCAAACATAAGATCGACGATAACACGAGAACCCGCTTCTGTGGGATGGCCGTAGAAATCCCAGAAGAGATAGTTTGTTCTGTTCGAACAAACCCTCGCGAGCGGAACACAAGGAAAATCCGCGTTTAATCTCCCCCTTCCACAGCACGCCGATGTTACGTTAACAAAACCTGAAATAAGTAATTAGTAAACGATAACGTTTTGTGTTTTCTATGTTAGACCTATATTGCCTAGAATGATGATGATACCATGTGAGGAATCATGGACTTTTCCGAAAACAAGAAGAATGATCCTAACAAAATTCTCGCACCATTGGCTCAAAGCAATATATACATGGTTTGTTCATTTTAATATTTAAACTTTAGTCAATTTCACTAGCTGTGATAACCAAAACTACTATCCAAATATATACGTATTCTCAACGTACCGTGACGTGCAGGGTTGGAGTTAATGTCTTGTATGGACTCGAAAATATCAAAGTAAGTGTAGGTCATTGAGCTTTGCAACTCTTGTTTGAGTTCTTGCAGCATCTTTACTAGAGCATTGTTGTACAAAGATGCAAACATGTTTGCCTCTTCATCGCATTCAGGGATCATCGAGTCCTTCTCTCTTTTCAGCGGTGCACAACCGAGTGGTGCTACACCAACTATCAATAATCTAGGCGTTCCAGTCTCGTGGATTGTCTGTTAATATAATGTCCTCAAATAGATTCAGTCAGATATATATAATGACCAACAACAAGTGCTTCATATTTAGCTTTTTTGTTTTTATAACTTTTATTACCTTCAGTTGCTCTTTGAAATTATCGGCTATTGACTGCATATACTGTTGAGGACCACTCTTTCTTCGAAGTTCCGAAGATCCATAATAATCCAAAATATCGTTGCTGCCTATGATAATGACGAATAGAGATTTTGATAAGTGGATTTTTGCTTCGGATGGTCCAAGCTTTCTCGCGAGGCTTTGATGAATAGAGAGCCAATAGCTCAGTTGCTGTGATAAAGGAATTGCTTGTCCCTGAGATATATTTAAGTAACACATTAAATTAACAAACAAATTGTGGGTCATATGGTCGATCTTTGGTCACTACATTTTTTGTTTGGTTTTTCGGTTTACTATTACATGTTTTTACTATATTACTTCTGATTGTGACTATATTCTGTTTAATTATTTTCAGAATTATTTTTTTAAAAATAATTTTAAACCACGGAAGAAAAAATATATATAACTTTTTTTAAAAGATAAATATATATATATTTGAAAGAAAGCCAAAAAAAATATAACTTACAGTAGTTTGGTCGTCGCTATTAAAAATTCCGGCAGCCGCAGAAGCAAAATTAACACCTTTTACAGCAGCGGCGTCTCTCGCATTCATTTGTAGAAAGGGTAGTGAGAGATACGGTGGCGGTAACGGTAAATCAAATTTCTCAGCTAATCAGCAAAATAAAAAACTAAAAATTAATTCCAAAAATTTACACAAATCATTTTGTTTTTGTATTGTTTTGAGATATCATAGAACAATTTCGAATTATATAAATCTGGCGAGTGGCGACTAACTGTTATAACTACGTACGTGTATTTTCTATTTCGTTTATTTTTCTATGTTCCACTTCCACGAGTAACCATGTCTTAAAAGTTATTTGAGTGAATACAATTAACTTTAATAGATTCCAAAAAAAAAACCCTTACCGATAATATCGGCGGCGTTTTTGCCGTTACAGAATCTTCCGGTGGGTCTTTGGCCAGGAAAATCGATGCCGTTGGGTGGATAAATACCTTTCCTTAAGGAAAACGGTAAGTAATTATTGTTTCCGGCATCAACCAACGAGTCTCCGAACACGTATACTCCCGGAACCGAAGCCAATGTTGCTGCTTCTAAACCGGGAGTTGAATCGAACCGGAGTAGACCGATGAAAAGGACGAAGACGGTGAAGAACGGTGTGTTGTTCGCCGGCATCTTTCTATGCTTATTTTCAGGCTCCGAGGCTTTTGGATAATTGAGATGCACAACTTAGTTTGGTTTATATAGAGAGAGGAGACATATTATGATATTAACATGACGACATGTTTTTTTACAAAATTAATTATGATTAATAATGTGAAACAGTTCATGTCACTTCTTTTGTTGTCATTGTCTGACAGTTCATGTCACTTGTTCATCGTATATGCTGCGACTGTTTCCGGCAATTTCATTTTACTACAACGTCGAACAATGACATGCAATGCAAAATAAGCTGATAAAATGTGGTTAGTGTGAAGAAATATAATATGGCTTTCTTTATCATTTCAGTTGTCTGTTAGCTTCATTCTTGTCGAACATATGGAGATAGAGAAAATGTATAAGCTCTGAACAGATATCCAGAGTTTCTACGGTGTTAAGACTAATTACGAATGACTCACTACTCTTTGCGAGGTCTTTTCTGGATCTGAAATTCACGTGTCACGTTGTAATTAGTCAATATTCCTCGAAAATTTACTAACTGAAAATTACACCACGAACATCGCTTGGAATAATAATGATTTTATTTTCAAGTCACAAAGTCAAGAAAATTAGCAATAAAATAAAAATAAAAATAAGTTATGGAAACTCAATTATTTTAAACATTCTATAAAGTCAAGAAGAGAATGTACACACACACAATTATGGAAACTCAATTATTCGGTAGATAACAAAATGATTAAATACTTCTACAACATTTAAAAAAAGACCTTCACACAAGAACTATTGTAAATGTAGACCCATATTTTTGGGGATTTCAGCATGTTACTATTCGAAGAAATTCAACTAATATATCGTGGAATGATACCCTTTTTCTATTCTATATCTTTCTCAACCTCAACGCCTGTCTGGTTCTGGCAAACATTATGTCTTTTGTGAGTCAAAAAGCTGTGACCAAAGGCGAAGAGCCTTGAGGAAGAGAATAGAGGGAGTGCGAAGAAGAGACCACATACGGATACGGGAATAATAATAGAGAGAGTAGTTAAAGAAGATCAGCTTTGATTCTGGATGATAAAATCATAAATAGTGACAGTGCGATACAGAGATAATCGCAGAAACCCATGCTTTGACGATGCTCTTGATGAGTCCTTCCTCCATATCTCGTAGATATTTTTCTGTGTTGCTGATCATTTTCTGTTTAGCTTGGTTGTTGACTTGTTGTGATGATGAAAAGTAATTGGAATGAATGAAACATTGGAGTTGGACCAAATAGAAATTTACGCAAGTGGGGAACGTCTGTTAAATACGGTCAGTGACAACAAAAATGCCACAGCCTTGTTAATGCAATGGCTTCTAATGTTTCTCAGCTTCTATAGCTTTATCATCAAGGATCCCTTTGATTAGGTCATCCTCATGAAAAATCCCCTTGACTACGTCCTTATGAAGAAACCCTTTATTAGATTACTTCCACATCAACAGATGCTTCTTCATCAAGAAAACCCTTCAGTTAGGTTACTCTGTATAAGAAGAGCGCAACATAAATCCTCTGCTTTTCTTATTCATACCAAATTTATTTAATTCATATATAACTTGCCAACTGGGTAAAATAATAAATCGTGAACCGAAGTCCAAACTAATCAGAAAACTTATAAATTAGTTAGCTGGGTGTCGTTGTCAGATGAATTGTTGAAACTTACGTCGGACCAACATGAAAGCGACTCGAATAGTCTTCATTCAATAGAAAATAAAGACATACCCTGGGTTTAAAGATGAATTTTCTGTTTACCTAAATGTGGTAAAACAACAGATTTTGTTGTGTGCTCATTCTTTTGCTCCTTAATCTATACCTAAAACAACTCTCTCTTATAATGGCTTCCATAATTATTATTTTTTGTTCTAATTACAAAGATTGATGTGGTTATATTTATATAATTAATGTATTTCAAACATTTTCTTATTTGGTGGAGAAAAAGATTTCTCTTATGCTTTTTAAGTGTAATGAAAATGTAGGCTTTGGAAATCGTCTGCTTATTTGCGAGATAATGTGTATCAAGTTTCGTATATTGGTTCTTTTCCTTTGTCATCATCTATTACTTCCTCAATAAGAAACGCTTGAATTACTTCCTACTACAGAAACCAAATCAGAAGCAATCATATTTCAGGAGATTTGTATCGTCGATGAAACAAACACACATTCTAGAAATTAGTATCGGTTCCATTGGCGCGTCTATCGATCACGCCGCTCCAAGTATATATGCAGAGGGTGGAGACACAATAGCAGAAGGAGTGACACATTTGTTTGTATGTTATACGCAGCATGTAACACCACACTAAAGATGCAAAACAACGCCGTATTGATCATGGAGAGACCAACTGAGAGAGAGTTAAAGGAAACATGTATTGTGAATCATTAGCAAACATAAGATCGACGATAACACGAGCACCCGCTTCTGTGGGATGACCGTAGTAATCCCAGAAGAGATATTTTGTTCTGTCCGAACAAACCCTCGCGAACGGAAGCACACAAGGAATATCCGCATTTAGTTTTCCACGTCCACAACACGCCGACGTTGCGTCAGCTAAACCTGAAATCAGAAAAACGACAGCGTTTTTTTTTCATGTTAGACATATTGGCTTGATGATGATATCATGTGAGGAAAAGGAATCATGGACTTCCAAAAAAAAGAATCATTTTCTATAGGATCGTAACAAAATTCTGAAAAAATTCTGTTCACATCTAATCATTGGCTCAATGCATGCAATATATACGTGGTTATTAATCCCTAGTTTCACTAGTCGTGATAACCAAATTTAATTAATATCCAAAATATACATATTTTTCAACGTACCGTAACGTTCAGGGTTGGAGTTAATGTCTTGTAAGGACTTGAACAGATCAAAGTAAGAGTAAGCCATTGAGCTTTGCAGCTCTTGTTTGAGTTCTTGCAGCATCTTTGTTAGAGCTTCGTTGTACAAAGAGGCAAACATGCTTGCCTCTTTGTTGCATTCATGGATCGTCGAGTTCTTCTCTCTTTGCTGCGGTGCACAACCGAGCGGTGCTACCCCGAATATTAATAATCTAGGCGTGCCAGTCTCGTGGATTCTCTGTTAATATATCATTTCCTCAAATAAATTTAGTCAGATATACTGTATATAGTAACCAAGAACACAATTGCTTCATATTTAGTCTTCTTTTTTTTTGTTACCTTCAATTGCTCTTTGAATTTATTGGCTATTGATTGCATATACTGTTGAGGTTTACTCTTTTTCCGAAGTTTCAAGGAATTATAATAATCCAAAATATCGTTGCTGCCTATGATAATAACGAATAGAGATTTTGATATGTGAGTTTTTGCTTCGGATGCTCCAAGCTTTCTCCTGAGGTTTCGATGAATAGAGAGCCAATTGTTCAGTTGCTGTGATAAAGGAATCGCTTGTCCCTGAGATTTTTTGTGTTAAAACATTAATCGACAAATCATTGTGGGTGTCATGTGATCGATCTATGGTCACTACATTTTTTGTTTGTTTTTTCTATTTATTACATGTTTTAACTAAATTACTTCTTATTATGATGATGTTCTATTTCATTTCTTTTCTTGATTTTTTAAATATAACTTTAATAAACCATGGAAGAAAAAATAAATATAACTTACAGTTGTTTGGTCATTGCTATCAAAGATTCCCGCAGCTGCGGAAGCAAAATTAACACCTTTCACGGCAGCGACATCTCTCGCATTCCTTTTTCTAAGTAAGCATAGTGAGAGATACGGCGGCGGTAATGGTAATCCAAATTTCTCAGCTAATCAACAAAAGAAAAATATTAAAAGTTACTGATATCAATTTGTTTGTTTTTTGAAATATCATAGCAACAACAATGTCGAGTTATATAATATTGGCGACTAACTGTTACAACTGCCCACGCGTAATTTCTATTTCGTTTATTTTTCTATGTTCAACGTGTAAAACCATGCCTTTAAAATTTATTTGAGTGAATATATTTATTTTTAATGGGATACCCACAAAAAAATGACACCGGTGAAAATAAAAACTCACCGATAATATCGGCGGCGTTTTTTCCGTTACAGAATCTTCCGTTGGGTTTTTTGCTAGGGAAGTCGATGCCGTTGGGTGGAAGAATAGCTTTTCTTAATGAAAATGGTAAGTAATTATTGTTTCCGGCATCAACCAACGAATCTCCGAACACGTATACTCCCGGAACCGAAGCCAATGTTGCTGCTTTTAAACCGGGAATTGAATCGAACCGGAGTAAACCGAGGAAAAGGAAGAAGACGGTGAGGAACGGTGTGTTGTTCGCCGGCATCTTTAAGGCTACGACGCTTTTTGGAGTTGTGAGGGAGATGCACAACTTGGTTTGATTTATATAGAGAGAGGAGACATGTTAGACGTATAATGGATTTTTTTATTTATTTACAAAACTAATAAAATAAGTTATGATTGATAATGTTGAAAGATATCAAAAATGAAGAAGAGAGGAAGCTTCTTTTAATTGTTGTCATTTTCTGACAGTTCATGTCACTCCTTTCATGGTATATCGTGCGACACTTTCATTTTCCTACGATGAACTGCACCGAAGACATTAATGGTGACGAGATAGCGAATGGTGCATAATTAATAAGCGGATTCAAATGTGGTTAATTAGTGTGAATCTTTTTAAATTCAGCTGTGTGTTGGATTGATTCTGAAGCTCTGAGCTCCGGTGGGAAGTGGCGTACCGGCGACAGGAAGAGTCTCTCGAACATACGGAGAGATAGAGAAAATGTTCAGGCTCCGAACAGATATCCTTAAGATCGTCCACATGTTGACTTCACGTATCAACCACGTATATATAGAGTAAATTATAATGCGACGCAACTAGTTCTCCAATCACACATTATTTTCAGAGCATGCATGTGGACGAGGTAGGTGTAATGATGTCATAAGTAGTGTGTTTTTGCCTGCTATCACCAATTTTTGCCTGCGAGACTTGCTTGAATACTAATACGAAGACTTAGATTTTGGTGACCTATTATTATTATTTGGAAGAAAAGAATAAGGACGAATATGATATTCTTCAAAATTTATACTATATAGAAGAATTTTGTTTTTAATATTAAGACATATTTTTTGTTTTTTATTACTTAAAAGTTATTGTTCTAAAATAATTACTGTTTATAACAAATTTATTCCTCATTAAAATTCAAGAGGAACAATGGAAAACAAAATTTGAAATTTGTTCAGTCTGAAGGTCTTTCGTGGATCTAAAATGTAAATGTCACATTGTGATTAGTCATGAAGTTAGATCAAATTTTGTTTTTTTGGAGGGTTAGATCAGCCGACCAAATATTTATTTCTTTTTATTTTACGATTAAAAAAACTCACAAAAACTACGTTCAACATTGTAAACCCTACGTTACAAAAAAACATCTTAAACCCTTTAGCCAAAAAAAAAAAACAAAGTTCAACATCTTCATCCATACTTATTCTTGGTCTCACTTGATTACAATAATTTCACATAATTTGTTTGGAATAATGTTCTATATATAAATTTAAGTGGATAAATGTACAAACCCACACAATTATGAACACTCAATAATTCAGCAGTCGACCAAATGATTAAATTCTTCTCAACCATAAAAAATACCTTCACACTAAAATTATTGCAAATTGAAGAACCATATTTTTGGGGATTTCAGCATGTTACTATTTGAAGAAAATTTAACTAATACATCGCGGAATGACACATTGACACCCATTTTCTATTCTATCTTCTTCTCTTCCTCAACGCTGACGCGTGTCTGTTTCCTACAATCGTATCATGATATCTTTTAAGTAGAATTATACTTTATAAGGAAATATTAGGAGAATCCCTAGTAACAAGGCATTTGTACTTATCTCTCTTTAGCTTGTTAGGAAGTTAGATTTTAGCTTTACTATCACTGGAATATTTTTATGTTTATATCAGAAAATCAATGTCATATATACTAAACTCTGATTACATGACAAGAATGGTGAGAACAAACATGCAGTGAGAATATAGATAACTGGAAATGCTAAACAAACATACATTAATATATAGTTTTTTTTACCTCACAGTAGATATTTAAAATTTACAGTCTATAGCAACATAGGAACACAGCCTGATCATGGCGACATAAACAATGACCGTCAAAATCTGTCCCTCGAAGCAGCACTTCGAGTCAACCGGTATACCTACACTATATTTCATAAATTATCAAAGATTTGACTGGGACGTTCATATCATACCAACACGTTCTCTGGATCACGTCTTTAATTAGTGCTTTTGATGATAGCTTCAATATATGCGTTTGAGAAACTAATTTTGGTGCAGCATAGGCCAAAGCGATATGCGTTTGGGCCATCCTTAGGATATATATCACAAGGGCTTTATGAAACAGGGCTTTAATAGTTCTGTAGCGTGGTCCATATTACAATCCATCCGACAAAATAATTAAGCCTTGTGCGACAATTTCTCCGATATCAAGCCAAGGGAATGCAACCAAGCCGCGAACAAACTAAGTACTAATGTACCAATTTGGTTACAACCCATTTGCTGAGCACTTAACTAGAGAAAAGATAGTAAATGAATGAATACTTATTTGATTGCTAACAATAGTACGTATACTTTATTATAAATCAAGTCTCCCGAATCAATTTAATTTTCTATATTTGATATCTCTTTCGAAGCAAAGCCATATATATATTGATCTCAAGAAGACACCAGTTGAGTGAGAGTTAAAGGAGATGAGTATTGTGAATCATCAGCAAGCATAAGATCGACGAAGGTCCGTGCAGCAGCTTCCGTGGGATGACCGTAGCGATCCCAGAAGAGATATTTTGTTCTGTCTGAACAAAGACTCGCGCCTAGAATGCAAGGAGTAGCCGCGTTTAATTTCCCTTTTCCACAACACGCTGATGTCACGTCAGTAAAACCTGAAAATCACAAAAGGACTCAAGAGACGTTATCAGGTTAGATCTTGTTTGCTAAATGCTAATGTATTACTTTGTTTCTTTTCTTTCTAATCACTACTTTAGTTTGGTACGTGGATCATGTGTGTGTGTGTCTCTTCATTTTTAAATAGCGATCCCACTTTGAAACTTTCGGTTGCTTGGCAGTTGTCTGTCTTAATACTTAAAAACTAGTACTATTTTTTTAATAGTATTCAATGCATTTTAACACACACAAAAATAGTATTCAATGCATACAGATTTTATTATTGAGGAAATTCCTTTATTTTTGTATCCTTTTAAGCAAAAATGGGGTAGTATGAAAGAAAAAGATTAAAATAATATATCAAATGTGTTCGCAAAGAAAGTAAAACATTAAATAGATTATTAGATCTTTTAAAAGATTTATGAAATAATTAACAAAACAAAACATAAGTGAAAGAAACAAAAATCTGTTCATTGTAAATTGAAAATAATATATATATATATATATATATATGTGTGTGTGTGTGTGTGTTCTTTTACTTTTATAAATAACAACAAAGCTAAAAAAAATTCTTCCAATCATAAGTGAAAGAAACAAAAATCTGTTCATTGTAAATTGAGAATAATATAATATATATATATATATGTGTGTGTGTGTTCTTTTACTTTTATAAATAACAACAAAGCTAAAAAAAAAATTATACGGGTTTGGTTTGCTTTATTAAGTCTCGCAATTGCGGTTATTATGGTTTGGATTCGCTCGATTATATATCCCTAGTTTTCATTGGTGGTACTGATAACAAAATTTAAAACAAAAATGTATAAATATTTTAGACGTACCGTAACGGGCAGGGTCGGAGATAATGTCTTGTAAGGACTTGTAGTTATCAAAGTAAGAGTAAGTCATTGAGCTTTGCAACTCTTGTTTGAGTTGTTGCAGCATCTTTACTAGAGCTTCATTGTAAAAAGAGCACCACGTGTTTGCCTCTTGGTCGCATTCATGGATCGTCGTGTCCTTGGCTCTTTTCCCCGGTATGCAACCAATCTGTGCTACTCCGATTACTAGGAATCTACGTGCTCCACTATCGTAAATTCTCTGTTAATGAACACAGTTTCTCAATCAATTAGTATAATAGGTACCAAAGAACACAAGCGTTATATGTCCAAGGAACTTTTTTGTGTGTGTTTTTACCTTCAATTGCTCTTTGAGTTTAAGAACCATTGATAGTGCATATTGTTCAGGATTGGTGTTTTGTCGAAGTTTCATGGATCCAAAATAGTCGAAAAGATCGTTGCTTCCAATGACCACAGTGAATATAGATTTGGATAGGTGAGTTTGTGCTTCGGATAGTGGAAGCTGGTTCATGAGTTCTTGGCGAATGGAGAGCCAATCGTTCACTTGGTATGATAGAGGAATACCTTGTCCCTAAACATAAACAGTTATAAATTATATTTAACACTTCTAATCAAATCGCGGGGATAGCTCAGTTGGGAGAGCGTCAGACTGAAGATCTGAAGGTCGCGTGTTCGATCCACGCTCACCGCATTTTTTGTATTTTGTTTTTATATTTTTGTTATATTAAAGTATTTCCTGATGAAGATAATAGAAGAGACACTCGTCACTTTTGTACTTGAAATCTTTCGCCCAACTTTCGGTTCGAAAATAAAGCTGACCACGGATGGAGGAATCAATACCGTAATTTCATTCTTTCCTTTAAATTTTAAATATTTTTATCAAAGGGAAAATATATAAAACTTACAAATTTTTGGTCGGAACTGTTGAAGATGCCGGCTCCGCCAGAAGCAAAATTCACACCGGTGACGGCAGCGGATTTTTTCTCCTTCTTCTTGAATGGATTTTTCAGTGAGAGATACGGCGGCGGGAGTGGTAATCCAAATTTCTCAGCTGATCAACCCCAAACATAATATTAAAATTAATTCTCAAAAAACAACCAAGTCAATAAATGCTCCTGTAAATAAAATTTAGAATTTCATAGCAACAATTTCGAATTATTGACAACTAAATGTTACAACTACGTACGTGTAACTTTTAAAATTCGTTTTTCAACGTCTAACCATTTTTTATAAAAATTGTGAGTGAATCTATTCAATTTTAATGGCCATGACGTCAAGCTACCTAAAATCAAACCAATCGTGGGCTGACATAACAAGAACATGTCAAACACTATAAATTTCATTTCATATAAGAAAAAAAATGACACCGTAGAATATATGAAATAAAACTCACCGATAGCGTCGGCGGCGTTTTTGCCGTTACAAAATCTTCCGCTGGCTTTCTTGCCAGGAAAATCGATGCCGTTGGGTAGATAATTAGCTTTGGATATCGAAATTGGTAAGTAATTATTGTTTCCGGCATCAACCAACGAATCTCCGAACACGTATACTCCCGGAACCGAAGCTAATTTTCCGGTTGCTGCTTCTAAACAGGGAAATGAATCGAACCGGAGTAAACCGAGGAAGAGGAGAAAGATGGTGAGGAACGGTGTGTTGTTCGCCGGCATCGTTTTTATTTTTTTCCGGACAATTCTTTGATTTGAGTTTGTTGCTTCAAACTAGTTCTTGTAAGAGAGATGTAAACTTAGTGTGGTTTATATAGAGAGAAGATAAATGTGTGAATATTGACGGGAATTTTTTTGCAAAATTTAGAAAGATAATATAAAGATTGATAATGTGAAAAGAGGAAAATATAAAATGAAAGGAAGAGTCGGCTTCTTTTGTTGTCCTTGTCAGACAAGTCATGTCACTCTATTGTATCTAGTGCAACTGTTTGGCAATTTCAATTTGTTACAGTATATATTGCACCGAAAACAATAATTTTGACATCTTTGCATATGAATCATATATTTAATTTAATGTTTTCTAGAATGTTACTCTCTCTGTTCTTAAACGTATAATGTTTTAGTTTTTTTTTCCACAAAATATGATGTTTTAGAATATTAAATGTATTTTTTTGTAGATTTCAAAAAAACTAACTAAAATTATTAAAATTTTTAAATTTTTATTGGTTAACAATTATTAGAGTAATCATTGTTAAAAAATATAATACATTAATAACTAAAACATAATTATTTTTTAATTTATGTGAATATATTAAAACATCATACTTTTTAGAATCGAGGAAATATATTGTTAGGAAAAGTGTTAACTTATGTGCATATTATTATATAGTGTATATACTTTATCAGTTTATCATATACTTTAAGGATATGTCAATTTACAAACACATGTAACGTGTTATTTTCATTAATATATTAAAAAAACACATATGTAATGATTAAAAAGTTAAAACTAATTAATCGGTCAAAAACATACCTGGGGTTTTTAAGTATGTCTTTGTTTTTCTTCTTCGTGAGTCGAACTACTCTAATTGTTTGTTGAAATTAAAACCTAAAATCGGATTGAAACAAACTTCTTGAAATCGATTCCAACGCATAAAAATTAACAACCGTAAGCAGCCTCGAGCAACTCTTACCTTATACACATTCCATATTTATGTGCTTTACAACTTTTTTCCTTTTTCTGTTTTCTAGTCTCTCAATCAAACATGAAACTGGAAAGAAATCCAAATGAGGTTTCTATTTTCTCAAATTACATAAACTAAATGGTGTCTCTAATCTTCCTCAAAATGCATAAACCAAATACTTATTTTTAGGAACAAAAAGATTTGGAAGAATAAAAGAGAAAAGATTTGGGATGGATGGAGAATAGAGAAAGAAAAGCATGATGAATTAATGAAAAAGAGAAAAAAACGCTTAGGATTATAATAGATAGAAAGGGTATTGAAATATATTTTCTGTTTGAACCTGATTGGTTCTTGCTAGTGCTATTGCTTACAAACAGAGTCATGTCTAAAGGCAAGTAACAAGAAAAAACTTAGATTTAATATAAATATTTAAATATAATATAGGTTATAAATCAAATTGATATATTGTTTTATAAAATATTAGAGTTTTTAGGGCTAGTTTTAATTTGTGAATAAAATTTGAACTTAAGAAAATAAAACTAAAAATACATATTTTATCAATTTATCAAAAACAAATTATAAAAAAATCTGGGGCCCTAAAATTTGTTAATGTTAAAGGTGGCCTAAGGCAAATGCCGAATTTTTTTCTTTATTGGGCAACGGCTCTGCTTGCAAATACTCTTTTTAATAACATTTAAGTTTGCTATATATTGCTCTATATAATTTATGGTACACTCTATATATATAGGTAAATTCAATATAGAGTTTAGCTAGTTATAAAATCAAATTTGCTTCGTTTCGGATGGTTACATGTTTTTTTCACACATTTATATAGTTCTATTTACTATGTATAGTTATTCTCAAGTTTATCTATTATTTTGCCATAAAAAAAGTTTATAAAATTTATTTTTAATAAGAACAAAATTATACAGTGTAAATAATTTCTTAGCATTTATAAAAAGTAGTAAATCTAATAATTTGAAACGCGTAAAGTATCTGACAATGTGAAACTGTTTTTTTATTCGTAAAGTGGAGTTTACTAGCATCCTACATAAGTGGCTTGTATCATGCGAAATTATCATCATGCGGTCATACAACAAAGGTAGGGTTTTTCGACGAGATGTTGGAAAAAAAAAGATTGGGTTTGATCCCACTTGTAGTCATCGTGAGATACAAGAACGTGACATACACATACATGATCATTTTCAATTATATTCGTCTGCTTAACTAGTCAAACTTCTCGAATTATTTTGGATTCTTTTTTAATCATTCCAAGCCATATAAAAATAATATCTTTATGGATGTTATTTCTTGCACTAAAGTGGTGATGTGCACGTTATTTTAGTCCATACGATCTTCCCCTATCCATTGTCCTATGTATATTATACTCTTTTTTGGTAAATATTTTTTTGTAACTTATGGTGTGTTGATTACTTGATTGGATATGATAGTGATGTGAGTCAAACAAAATCGACGAGGGACGCGTCTAACGAGTGGTTACATAAAGCTAAAACTTATGAGACAGAGAAGAAAACAATCTCGGACCCGATTGAGTTTGGTCGGCTAGAAGGATTCTACCACTTTTTGATAACTTATTTGGAAAACATACTTAAATGGTAGTATATTTTTTAAAAAAATGGTAGTATTTTTTAAAGTATTATTTTCTAACGGCGTATATTACAAAATGTTAAATAATATTTGACACATAATATGAAAAATATATAAAATGAGCTACTTGTTTCTTGTTCTCAATCTCATAAACGAGTTAGTTTCCATGATTTGAGGTGCAATGGGAATGTGGGATCGTTATTGACGTGTTATTGTACGCGGAAGGAATTTAGGACTTTTACGTTATTGTTTGTACTGAGTACTGAGTAATAAAGCTTTCAACTTTTCTTAATATTTTAAAGAATCCATTATAACCACAATTAAAGCTACTTCGATCTAAAAGGACAAGTATCTCTTCAATTAAAGCTAATAAAGACACTTCATTTATTTATTTTTGGTTAAAGAAAGGCACTTCATTTATTGCAATACCTGATTTGATTTGTACTATTTGTCTTAAAGGGCCATTGACTCACTAGTCCTTCCCAAGACTAATAATATCCGCGTAAAAGCATGAAACAGAAGAGGAGTACATAACATCATTTTTGTTAATTTTTTCTTTTGATAATCAGGGTATTCACTATACTAAACTCCAAAGTAATCATCGAGACATGTCACAAATAGATGACCTTTGAGATTCGAACCCTGGCCCAAACCCACCGAGAAATCCCTCACCACTCTAACTCAACCGGTGAAATTATTATACAATTTCATGGAACCACATAATGAAACTAAAAACACAGGTCCATGCTTCTGACGTAATTAACAAGAAAAAAAAATATATATTTATGTATGTTAGATTCATTTGTCTTCATTGTTTTGTTTTCTGAATATTGATTTGTCTAGTTTAGGTTTTAAAATACTCAGATGAGAACATAAAAAACTATGAACTGAAATGAATGAATCAAGGCCTATGTACTTGTTTGGAGGTGGGCCACTGTCAGTTTGTCACCGTGTCAACTAATGAAGCTAATCCCCACTATGCAAAATTGCAGAGATTGCGAGAAAGACCATAACAAAATTGATTGCATTCACACAAGTAAAAACAACAGACACAAAAATCGTTCATACCATACCGCATTTCAAAGAGATTAGAAGATCTTATTCCAATTCTATTGCATTTTTTTTAAAAAAAAAAACAATTACCTGAAAATTCGGTAAATTACGCAATGGCACAATATTTATACAATTCTAACTAGAGCACGTTCTTAAACAGCTGGCTATGAGTGTTTTGTTTGATTTTGGATCTTAAGTACCAAAACACAAAGAAAACGATTGCAACCAAATTATATATCCCGTAATTAATAAGGGTCACACGGTTTGGATTTCAGTTTGATATCGGTATGTTCTGTCAAACACACATCATTCTTCATGAAAAAAAAACAAATAAACTACTAGTTTTATTGATATTTCGAATTAATTTAACTTTGGTTTCATTTGGGTGTAAATATTATAAAAGTAATCATTTAAATTTGGCGCGTTACTGTTAAACAGAATTTGACACTCTAACGGTCTAATCTAAACTAACTCCTAATATAGTAAGTAATATATCATAGAATACGGCACAGTTGTGGCATTACTCTAGATCATTTAGTGGATGGTATCGGCAATGACTGATACAACATCTTTAAATATACTTAGAAGTTCAACAAACAAAAAAAATCTTTAAATATTAGGATAGTATCGACGAAATCATTTGTATTAGTTAGAAATGGATGAATCTGTAATAGGATCACATAGACCACAAACATACTTCACAACAATTTTATCTCTTTGTATCTCTTTGTGGGTTTTTCTTGTACTTTTTATTTTTATTTTTATCCATTGTATGCTAACAAAAAAAACAACACATCCCATTGTAAAACAAACGCATGTACTTGTCTGTTATCAAGATTTTCAGTATAATAAAAATTGTTAAAAAAAAACAGATTTTCAGTATAGCTTTTGCTTGAACCAAGACAAACTTTTCAAGCATCATTTGGTGAAAACATATTATAGTCAAATCCAAAATTTACTTATAACCTTTATAAAAAAATTAAAGTTTAAACGAAAAATAACAATCAAATACCTTGGGATACATCAAAAATTTCAAGATCAGCAGTAACAGGTCTCCATAAATTGAAACTTTTAAGATTTGTTAATTTTTAAAATTTGCAAATTTCCTATGAACTTGTCACACATTGGGAGAATATTTTCTAGTAAAAGTGGTATGGCTCATGGCTATACATTTTGTCAAAAAGGATGGGACAAAAAAAGGCTTGGTGACCTTTGAAATTGGCGTCGTGTCAAATTTGTGTTCGCAAATTCGCATAACTCCAACTTTCACATTCTCTTAAGCCTAAAATCTAAATCACAAAATACATCACTTTAACTGAAGACATAAAAAATTCATAATCAAAAATTTAATAGACAATTCAAATTCGTACATTAACATAATGTTTCACTCAAAACGTGTTCGTTGTATAGTATAAATGATCCTGCTCGTTGTATTAATTTCATAAGTTCTCTTTAGATAATTAACCACAAGTGACTAACGTGTCTACAGTACTGTCTAAGCTCAATGAGAGAATTAAATGACGTGGAATATGTAATATAGTCATAAACGCCGTTTACTTTTACGCGATCAATTTGTCTTTTGAAATACATTTGAGGCATTTTTTTCTATTTTTTTTTATTTCACTCACCCGAGAAAGAGAGAGAGAGAGAGTAAAAAAAAATAGAAAGTTGCAGAGATCTTACTGTAGAGAGAGGGAAAGGGATTTGGTGTGCATTGAGTTCAAAAGAAAAAGTCGAGATGAGTCAGATCGCGAGGCGGCGGAAGAAAGGTTGTTCATCGAAGGTGAATCTGGCGTGTCGTAGGAGTTTGTCGCCGGGTGAGTCGGGAAATGAGCTCCGACGAGGTCAAAGGCGGCGGAATGTGAGGTACAACTTCAATTTCGACGACTACTTCGATGAGGAGGAAGAAGAAGAGGAAGAGGAGGCAGACGACGATTCGGAGGAGGAGAGGAAGAGGCAGAAGAAGCTGAAGCAAGTCCTGAATCTGAACCAGAGCCGGGCCAGAGCCGATCCTCCAACAATAAGCCGAGGTCGAGCGGCGGCGCGTGTAAGACACGAGTCGGACTACGAAGAAGAAGAAGAATATGAAGCAGAGGTAAAGGAGGAAGATGATTATGAAGAAGATACGAGTGAGAAGAGGCAAGTGAAGAAAAGAAAAATTAGCCGCCGGGTGAAAGAAGGTGAGAAGGATTACGATGAGGAAGTTCACGCAGATTCCGACGAAGACAGTAATGTTAAGGTCTTGATTTTACTTTCTCTGTCAATCATTCTTGACTTTTGGTCTCACACTGAAAAATTTAAAGACATTTTTCGAGGTTTCTGATATGTGTCTCTTTGCGTTTTTATCAGGAAAAGAAGAGAAGCGCTTCTGCTTCTGGTATGTATCACTGCTACTTACTTAGCATTTGACTGAGCTTTGATTTATCATCAACTTATCTTGATTTAGTTATCCATCGTGCTTGTTGATTAGGGACTCACTGTGATGGTTCTTCAGAACCAACACCTATACTTGACAAGAAGGCGTTGGAGTTGATCCTTGACAAACTTCAGAAGTACATACACAACTTGAATTCCTTTTTTTTATCTGTTGTGTTTTTGCGTGTGACCATATTGTTTGGCTTATCCTACTTGATTTTTTTTTTTTTTTTTATCAAACAGGAAAGACATCTATGGTGTGTATGCAGAACCGGTTGATCCTGAAGAGGTAATGGTTGTTCCCTTTACTTATTTAATCTGAACGGCAATTCGAGTTTTCTAAGCTGTCTTGTTTGATGTATTATTGTGTTTTGTATTTGCAGCTTCCTGATTATCATAATATAGTAGAGCATCCCATGGACTTCTCCACAGTGAGGAAGAAGCTTGCAAATGGATCATATCTTACATTAGAAGAGCTTGAGGTGGGGTGATAAAAATTTGTTTCTCAAGTTTACAAGACTTATGGTGGAATGCTTTTTACATGATATAAACTGTTTTTCTAGCTTTTCAAAATATGCTTCTTTGTGAAATACTAGGATCCTTTATTTCTCCATCATCTATATGATCGATTTGACCATTTTTTTGCTAAGCTGGTTTTGGAATTGTATTTCTTGACTGCAGAACGATGTCTTATTGATTTGCTCGAACGCGATGCAATACAATTCATCAGACACTGTATACTATAAACATGTAAATTATATTTTTCATTTTCTCACACCGTTTCTTTGCAAATTACTTTCTATTTTCTGCATTCGGGCATTTTGAACCTGTTTTCTTTTATTAAACTACTCCTACCAGGCAAGGACTATTCAGGAAATGGGGAAGAGGAAGTTTGAGAAGGCAAGGATAAAGATTAAACGTGTTGAAAAGGAGTTTAAAACGGATGAGAAAGCAAAACCTGCCAGCTCTGGGAAGAAGCAAGTGAGTTCTTATTTCTCCTCTGGTGGGAACCTTGCTGGTGGAGGAGCTTCCCAAAATAAGCCTTTTTCAACTCAAACCAGCAGACATGTAGATGTGCTTCTCGAGGGAGACACATCCTTGCTAGACAATCTGGAGAAAGCAGAAGACTTATCATCCGGTATGGTTCTAATAGCAGTGGCTCTTGTCTTGCGCCTTTCTTTCCAAGAATAGTATATCTTTCCTGGTTTTTAATGACTTTGTTTTTCTTTTTCTTTTTCATTTTCCCTTTTTCTAGGTCTCCTTGGTAAGTGCGGAAGGAAACTGACGGTTGTTGAGGCAGACAGCCGTGCAGCTTATGGCAATTCTGATCAGCAGGTTGATAGATCTGAGTCCATATTCACAACATTTGAGAGTGAAATCAAGCAGTTTGTTGCTGTAAGTGATAGTCATTATGTCCAAAGTCGCTATCTGCTATGTTCAGTCTCTTTTATGATTGCTGAGCCTTCTTAACTAAATCTTTTCCCGAATCATCAGGTAGGACTTGATGCGGAAAATGCATATGGTAGGAGCCTTGCTCGTTTTGCTGCGACTCTTGGACCCGTTGCATGGAAGATAGCTTCTCAGCGAATCGAGCAAGCACTACCTGAAGAGATTAAGTTTGGCCGGGGATGGGTTGGAGAATACGAGCCGCTTCCTACACCAGTACAAACCTGCACACCTAAAGAAGCATTTGTGTTTTCGAAGCCACTGTCAAATGCTGCTGCAGAGAAGAATGAGACACTGTTTAAGACTCTTGTACCTGCAAAGGAACAACAGGGTAACAGACCCGTTCCAGATGGAAACTGTCCATTCCCGTTTTCAGCATCTTTTGAGGCTGTGTCAGAAGGGAGTTCATCTTTTGTTGCCACTCAAGTAGGAAACCTGAAATCCATGAGCCACCATGGATATGGAAATTCTTCTCCGCAAGAGTTTATCAAGCCTGAAAATAGGATTTCTCAGCAAGTAGAGCTGAATTTACCACCACCAGCAGAACAAACCAGTTCCGGTTCTGCTTGTGCTTCGGAAAACCATAGCTTTGGAAAATCAGATACGGTGGCATCATACATGTCATCAAGTGATATGACGAGGAAGATGACAGATTCTGAACATTACAAGCACCAGATGACTACTAACGGGATTTTCCGTGGTGGATTGAGTAATGGTAGAGTCTCGGCCGGTGTGAACAACACAATGTTTGAAATATCTTCTGAAACCGCTAATGAAATGAAACGAGCATTGGCTAAAGGTACACAACAATCCATGAGACAACAGAGTCAAAGCCACGGTGAACAAGCACCAGATTCTGAACGTTTCAAGCACCATATGACTATTAACAGGATGTTCCCTGGTGGATTGAGTAATGGCAGAATCTCGACCGGTGTGGACAACAGAATGTTTGAAATATCCTCTGATACTGCTAATGAAATGAAAGGAGCATTAGCAAAAGGTACGCAGCAATCCATGAGACAACAGAGTCAAAGCCACGATGAACAAGCACCAGACTCTGAACGTTTCAAGCACCATATGACTATTAACAGGATTTTCCCTGGTGGGTTGAGTAATGGCAGAATCTCGACCGGTGTGGACAACAGAATGTTTGAAATATCTTCTGATACTGCTAATGAAATGAAACGAGCATTAGCAAAAGGTACGCAGCAACCCATGAGACAACAGAGTCAAAGCCATGGCGAACAACCACAGTCGATGAGAAACGTCAATGAAAAGGCTAGAACACAGCACCACACCACCAGTGTTCCACCAGATGTTTCATCACCACAATCCGCAAGAAGTGAAGATTCTAGCAATGCTTCTGTAGCAGCAGCACGAGCATGGATGTCGATAGGAGCCAGAGGGAATAATAATAACCAAACATTTGAAATTTCGAAAAGCAGCCAGATTTCTGCAGAGTCATTGTATAATCCATCAAGGGAACAACAATTCCACCAACAAGCTTGTAAACCGAGATCCTCTGAAGGGACTCAGTTCCTTCCTCAAAGGAATGGTTTACCTTTCCAGACATTTGTGAACCAGCCGGTTCACGGGATGATGAACGGAGGATCCCAACCATTTCAGAACAACCGGCCAACTGTTTTCTCTCATATGGCAGCTCCAACCTCTGATGTCACGAGATTCCATGTCCAGTCCCCACGGCGAGGAGGTATTACTCCACATGGCCAGTTAAATCAGAGACGAGAGAAACTCATTTTCCCACCAGATTTGAACATCGGAGTCCATTCGTTTGATTCTCCTGCAAAACAATCTTCTGGTCTTCGTGTCGATTCCCAACAGCCTGATTTGGCCCTACAACTCTAAAAAAAACAGGCGATAATAGGGAATAGATGTGATTGAGGAGACAAAACATAAGCCAATAGTTGTGCAACCAGGTGAGTCTACAAGTTGAATCAAAAATCTTTTCTTAGGCTTCTTTATTATTATTATTTTTTTATTTGGTTAGTTTTGGTTTGAGGTTCAGGCTGGTTTAGAGTCATCAGTATAGTGGTGTGGTATTTAGGGATGAATTTGGAGAATGTTTATTGATATCGACATACCGGTTAGCTAATTATTTTCCTAACTTAGATGTTCAATCAAACCAATCTAATTCTCGATTCACCAGAATGTCTGGTCTTCATACACTTCTCTGGATGTTATATAAATGGATTTATTATAATATGATAATAATATAATGTCGAGTCTTCGTTTCTGAATTATCACACACAGTAAGTGGGTCGCGTCATTTGCATTGAAATAAGTAAAGGTGACGACAAGATTCTCCATAAGGCATGATTTAACTAAATCAGTCGTTTTTTTTGTCTTGAAATTTAGTATGAACCCATTTGTACAATTGCACTGTATAAATTATACATGGGTGCATACAAGCGAAACTATGTATATGTCAAATCATAACGAGAAACCAAAAAAAATTCTCCTCAATCATTGGAACGCAAAGTAAACTGAACAATTGTAGAATGAGTAGTAGTTGAGTACCAAAAGTTTTCTCCACAAGTCTCGTATTATTAGGTTTTAATCGAAAGCTTTCAAAATGGATGACTTGCACAAGAATTAAACAAAAAAATACGAAAACAAAATAACTATGAGTTCCATGGTTAAGAATATTAATGGTTGACACCTATGCCAATCCATTCAAATTTAGTACTGTTGTTTTATGAACAAAATTGTAATTTTAAAGCTGGAAACATTTGACCATTCCTGTGAAAATAAGTTGTTTCTATGTTTTTTAGAAAGCTAATTATGTAAAAAGTAATAAGTCGTATGATCCAATCCTGATTTTTCTTTCCTTTTTTTCTATACATGTAAGAAGACAGTTCACGTAGAATGTGATTTAAAAATAAGCGCGTACAAATGTCATTTCTTAAAATAGAAAGACAGGAGTGAAGAAACAACCAATCTTGTGAGTTGTCTAAAAAGACTTGTGTTGTGTCCAGAGAAACAAACACTGTTAATTTCTTATCTCTCTCTCCCTCCTCTTTTATTTATTTATTTATATCTCTTTTATTTCTTGTTTTTTCCGTTGCAATTCTACACGTAAAATTACCAGAATTACCTTTTCTTCTTCTTTTTGTTGCTTTCTCCGTCTTTGTGATCATTTGTCACAGAGGAAACAGTAAATAAAAAGAGAGAACATAGAATAGTTTTACGATGGCCAAACAACTTGGGGGGTGAAAATTACTCTGTGGGTCCGACCTTTCTCAAATCCCCCCCCCCCCATTAAGTCATCAATTACACACACACACAAAAAAATCAAAAAAAAAATTCTGTTTTCTTTTTTTTGGTTTCGTTCTCCTGAGACGAATCTGAAAAAGGAACACAGAGTGAAAACTATGATCATGTACGGAGGAGGAGCAGGGAAAGACGGTGGATCCACCAATCACATATCATCAGACGGAGGAGGAGTGGTACTGAAGAAAGGGCCATGGACGGCGGCAGAAGATGAGATACTTGCGGCGTACGTTAGAGAGAACGGCGAAGGAAACTGGAACGCCGTTCAGAAAAACACAGGCTTGGCTCGTTGCGGCAAAAGTTGCCGTCTCCGTTGGGCAAACCACCTCCGACCAAATCTCAAAAAAGGCTCTTTCAACGGCGACGAAGAACGTCTCATTATCCAACTCCATGCTCAGCTCGGTAACAAATGGGCTCGCATGGCCGCTCAGGTACAAACAAACTAATCTATATTCATATAGACTTACGTGTTATCCACGCTACACGAAGAAATCAAAAACCTAATCTTTTTTTTTTGCAAAATTTGATAATTAGTTGCCGGGAAGGACAGACAACGAGATCAAGAACTATTGGAACACGAGGTTGAAACGCCTTCAACGCCAAGGACTTCCTCTTTACCCTCCAGATATTATCCCTAACCATCAACTCCATCCACATCCACATCCACATCCACAACAACATCATCATCATCATCAACAACTACACAGCCATCAACATCAACAACATCATCAGCATCAGCATCAACATCAACAACATCAGCATCAACATCAGCATCAGCAAATGTATTTTCAACCACAATCTTCACAACCAAACACACCTTCATCTTCTCCTCTTCCATCACCAACACAATTAAACGCAAATCCCTCATCATCTTTCACTTTCCATACCACAAACGCATCAACCGCTAATCTTCTCCATCCTCTAAGCCCTCGCACTCCAAACACACCGCAAACTCCTTCTCAACTCTCTTCCACACCGCCTCCACCTCCACTTTCCTCCCCTTTATCTTCGCCTCGAAACAACCAATACCACACTCTTCCTCTCTTCGCCCTCCCGCGTCCCCAAATCAACAACAACAACAATAACGCGAATTTCACTTTCCCTAGACCCCCACCTATTCTCCAACCGCCTTCATCGCTCCTCGCCAAACGCTACAACAATGCTAACACTCCCTTGAATTCCATCAACCGCGTCTCAACCGCACCTTTTTCCCCTGTTTCTCGAGACTCCTACACTTCCTTTCTAACATTACCTTACTCTTCCCCAACCGCTCAAACCGCTACTTACCATAACACTAACAACAACAATTACTCATCATCTCCTTCCTTCTCTTTAAACACTTCTTCTCCCTCTTCTTACCCTACAGCAACTTCTTCCCCAAGCTTTCTTCATTCCCATTACAATCCTTCTTCTTCCACCTCCTTTCATACCAACCCGGTTTACTCCATGAAACAAGAGCTCCCTTCAAACCAAAACTCCCAAATACATTCCTTTAATGTTAACAACTTCACAGATAATGAGAAACAGAACAGTACCGGTCATCACAGACGAAGTATGAGCCGCAGCCTCTTAGAAGATGTCCTTGAAGAGGCCGAAGCTCTAGCTGGTGGTGGCGGAGGCCGACCTCCTAAACGGAGACAACTCACAGCTTCTTCTCCAAACCACCACAACAGCAGCAACAACAACAATGACAACTTCTTCTCGGTTAGTTTCGGACAATTTGATTCTTCTGAAAACTTGTGTTCCTTACAAGGTAAACTATTAAAACCGCTCAAAAAGCTTCAAATTCTAAACTAGACTTCTCTCCGGGTAATTTTTTTTTACATGTTTTTGACTGAAACGCAGATTTGAAATCAAAGGAAGAAGAGTCTCTTCAAATGAACACAATGCAAGACGACATAGCTAAGCTTCTTGATTGGGGAAGTGATAGTGGAGAGATCTCTAATGGACAATCATCTGTTGTCACTGACGACAATCTTGTTCTTGATGCTCATCAATTCGCTTCACTATTCCCGGCTGATTCTACAGCCGCCGCAACCGTAACAAACGACGAACACATCAACAATAATAATAACAATAATTGCTCATGGGACAACTTGCATGGAATCAGATAGAAAAAAAAAGTCCTTATATACGGACCAAGATCAAGAACTAACGAAGAAACAGGGTTCTTGATCTTTGATTGTATTGTATCATTAAATTTTTACTTATATTTGTTGCAAATCTTCTGTCTACTGTCGAATGCTATTTGCTCCCTTGCTTAATGTTGTGATTATGGATACGTTCATGTATTGTTCTTTAAACTCCTACATACTCTCCACTACTTAGACTCTCAGCTATTTAACGAAACAGAGCACAAAACGATGTAACAGATGGACAAAAACAAAGTTGGATTAAAAAAATACGTAGCGAGTTTAATGTTTACAGAACCATAAGCTAATAGAGATAAACAGTTTCGCCAAGAGTTTTGGTTCGGCAGATAGGGCAAGAAGGGTTCTTCTTCAGCCACTTCATCAGACAGTCTCTATGGAAAACGTGGGAACACCGTAACTCCATGCGACTCACCGCACTAGATAAATCCGTTAAGCATATCGGACAATTCATCTCCGTCTCTGTTCTATTCACTCGTCTTGCCGGGACCTGACAACCAACAACGTTGTTGCAGCATCCAATCCTCACCCAACGATCCACGTTGACTTTAACGTTGACTTCGACCTTGAGACCTCTTCCCCTTCCTCCGTGGCGGCTGCTAAAGTTAACGGATTCTGTTGAGATATAACTGATAATACGTTCTTGAGTAGGAGGCGGGAGATGCATCTCAGACAAAACAATCATGACATGATGAAGGCATGTTTCTTGGGAGACAAGAAACTGTTTTGGAATGTGATATTCGCGTTTAAGTACAGGATTGGGGCTTTCAAGAGCGGCCTTGAATACGTGTCCATGGAGATTTTCGTGGCGAATCTCTACATTTTTCTGATAAGTCACGGAGAAGGAAATCGAAGCTGATTCGACCTGAAAAGCTTTGAGATGAATGACTTCTTTTGTGGTGTCTTTGAGGAGGAAACACTTATTGAGGACTCGATCATTTACGGTTGTAGAAGTTGAGACATTTTCATGATTAAAGCTGATCTTCATGGTCGATGTGAGCCAAAGTAACAAACCTTCTCTTGAACGATTCTTAGATCTAATGATTTTTAATTAGTTGTTTTCTCTATTGTTGTGTGAAGATATATATATATATATATATATATATATATAAATATGCATATCGTAAAGGTAAACTCATGTAGGATTAGGAGGTTTGTATTTTTCCTTTTCTTAATGATTTTTTTTTCTATTAGATTTACTCACAACAATGTAATGATTTTTTTTCTATTAGATTTTACAATTTTGATTTTCCTTTTCTTTTTTGCAGCCACCTTATCAATTTCATCTCCAGAATTTAAGCCACATAAACTCATCACTATTTCAAAATTCACTTTGATTCTCATAATAAAAGAGTTCTGCTTAGTTTACACATTTATTTACATTTACATGGAAAAACAAATGTATATGTATTCATATTTTTGTATTCACCACTTAATACACAGAACATTAAAGAAAAAATACCACATGAGAAAACTAATTATAGTTTCATAATCAAAAACTTTCACAAAAACGATTTCTTTTTGGAGAAGAGTTGCAAAAGCAATAAATTAGTCTAAATTAAATTTAGCATAGTTGAAAAAACCGAATCTTTAAATTAATATAGATCACATCAATGACGGCAGTCTTGATAAACATTAATTCGCTTCATTCTTTCCGGCCGATTCTAGAGCCGCCGCAATAAACAAACGAACACAAAAACATCAACAACAATTTGCACGGAAGTCTACAACTAACAAAGTCTTTGATTAGTGCTATTTGATTCCTTACTTAATTTTGTGATTATGGATACGTTTATCTGTTAAAGAAAGAGAGAACAAAGCGATGCTTTTATCTCTTAAATAAATCTGCATAAACGGGTTTACTGTGTTGACCCAAAAAAAAAAAAAACGGGTTTACTGTTTACAAAAGCTAATAGATAGATGCTATTTCGCCAATGGCTTCCGCACGACAAATAGGGCAAGATGAATTCTTCTTGAGCCACTTCATCACACATCTTTTGTGGAAAACATGTGTACACCGTAACTCCATGCGACACACCTCACCCGATAATCCCGTCAGGCATATCGGACAATCAATACCGGCCACTCGTGCCGCCACGAGTCCATCCGAGGCCACTCGCCAGGGACAAGCTTCTCCTCCCTTGCAGCCACATCCAATGTCCACCAAATAATCCGCTTCGACTTTGATATCTACTTCGATCGCGAAACCTCTTCGATAACTCCTTGTTCTAATGGCTTCTAATTTTGAGATATAATCCACAAGACGTTTCTGAATGGAGCTTGAGAGACACGTCTCCCACAAGACCATTGTGAGGTAATCACGGAGGATTTCTTCGGTGACAAGAAACAGCGGTGTCGGGATTTCGCGGTAGAGTACTTGAAACTTACGCTCGGGATATCGAAGTGGTGGTAACTGGAACATGTGTCCGGCGAGATCTCCGCTATGAAACCTTCGGTTTTTCTGATAGTTTACGGACAAGGAACACGATGATTTGACTGGAAAGGCTTTGAGACTAATGCGTTCTCTGGTTGTCTCTGACTCGAGGAAACAATGACGGTTTCGCTCTTTGGTGGTAACATGTTCCGGTAGCTCTAGGTTAATCTCCGTGGCTTCTTCCTTAATACCAAAAAACCCTAGTAGTGTTTTCAACATGATTATTAGATCTTTCGTTTGACTTGTGATCTTTTTTACTTTGCTCTCTCTAACTACTTAAATATATATGCTTTTTTACTAAATTCAGGTAGGCTTAGGAGGTTTATATTTCCCAAGTTCATTTAAGATTCGTTAATAAAAATCATATATTTGTTGGTCACTTGGATGCTTTAAATATTTCAACAACAAAGAAGCTTTGAGAATCTTAAACGTTTGTGTTTTTACTTCCATATACACTCAAACCAGACGATGACTTACAGATCTGTCCTGAACAAAAGAGAGTTTACCGGATAGCACCGGTCATATTAGCACCACCGAGGTTTGCCCCTTCCAAGTGCTGCTCCACCATAAACATATATCTCAAGGATTAACTGTTTAAACTCGAAACAACTTGAAGAAGAAGTAATATGTTTTTTTAGGACCTACCGCTTCTCTGAGATTCACATGCCTCAAGTAAGCTCGTTGAAGATTTGCTCCTTTGAGGTTGGCATTAGTCAACTTTGCACCCTATACCAAATATATGCATGATCCACTTAAAACCACACCTTTACATATATCACTAATCTTGTTCAATCACTACTCATCCAGATCGTTCGTCAAACTGATACAAGGCTGAGAATATCACTTATCTTGTCTCATCACAACTCATCCAGATCGGCGTGAGTTGTGCAATAAAAGAATTTGCTCACCTTCAAATTTGCACCTTCTAAGTTTGCTCCTTCTAAGTTGGCATTTGTAAGGTCTGCATTCTGATATTCAAGAAAGAGAATCAAACATTATCATGGTGAAACGTCTCAGCTAAATTTCTACACAGACCACTTAACGCACCTGCAAGTGTGCAGAGCGGAGATCTGCACCACAGAAGCTACAGTCCACTAAGCAGGCATCTACAGTTCAAAAATCGTAGTCAAATTCTGTTTTATAATGTAAAAAAAGTATCTCATGGCGGTGTGAAAGATCAATAACAAGCAAATTAAGCTTTTATATGCACCTTGTAAATTAGCACTCTGAAGATTTGTGCCAGCTAACAACGCTCCTCTGAGGTTTGCGCCAGTAAACTCGCACCTTTTATAGGAAGGAAAGAATTTAAAATCCTTCAGGAAGAGTTATCAAGTACAAATTGATTTTAACATGCGATGGGATCTGACAAGCTCCGTACTCGCGCAAAGTAGCATTGTGAAAGATGGATCCCTCAGCATCAGCATCCTGTTTTTGAGCATTTATTCTTTCAGCAGAAGATCTTCAAGAAAACTTCTCAAGAAGCAGAAACAAACAAAGTTGATACAGCATGATATTTACCCGAAACTTGGCACATTGAAGATTTGTACGAGAGAAGAAAACATTCCTGAGACAAGCATAGCTGAAATCCACAAGTGATAGATCCTGCATTATCCAAAAGAAAAACGATGCGGACAGTAAATACAGAGTAGTTGTTTCTAGACAAGACACTGACTAAGACGAAGCTCCACTTCCCCGGATAGGTTTACAAATCCCGCTTGAATTTCTTAATATAAGATAATATGTTGACCAAACAAAAAGACACTCACTAAGACAACAGATGTGTATAGAGCGTATTCCAATTGACAGAATCACACATTACTGCAACTTTTTTCTAAATTCCAGGTTAAAACAGCAAGAATAGTCAGTGCTATAATTTCTACTAACTATCAAAAACATAAATTATCTTTGGAAGAACTGATTTGGGGATCAGAGAGCTGCAGTGAGTTCAAGTCAGCCAATCGCGTGGTTACCTACAAGCATCTGAGAAGATTAAGAAACATTACCAGTTTAGAAAGATCAATTCCAGAGAGATTCACCCCTCGGAACCTGACTCTTTCAGATTGTATACACTTGATGATATCCACACGAGTTAATTCGGCTTCTACTTCACCAGATTCTCTCCACGAATCTTTTATTCTTTCTTTCAGCCCCTGAAACAGGAAGAGAATGCAAGTAGTTTTACAACCTCCATCAGAAACTAGTCATGTACTCCACAAAAAAAGTAAAACTCCATTCATGAGAGTAGTAAGCTGAAAGAAGAGTTAAGCTTACTAGAAGCTGATAATAGTCAGCTTCGCGCAAAAGCTCGGAACAATCATGATCTGACAGACTGGGCGCAATGCCATCACGCAACCAATTCAAAATATGACGGAAGTGCTTTCCGTCCCGGTCTATGAATACACATCCCTGCAACAATCAAATCAACTACTTTAGTGCATATGTACTTTGTCACAAGTGCACATATGCACACTCGTATATATACATAGAAATGATATGTAACAGGTCAGACCACACAGCCTTATAGAAAGGATTCTTGGACTTCGAAACACCTCTTAAAGTGAGTAGCTAAAAATCAGAGTCTCTCTACAAAAACTAAACTTTGGTTTTATCATCATTAAACGAAAGGATACTCGATCCAAGGACTAACTATTACATTCAGTGAAGCCTATTCATATGAAGGTTCTGAAATGGCATCATCGTAGAGCAAGTATTTGAGTTGGAGTTCAAGAAACATAGAATGCAAACTATACCGTTTGGGATTCCTGGCACATTGCATGTCGACCACTAAACATGGCTGCGAGCATTGAGTCTGGCTCACGGTTAGTCAAAGTATCAATGGTAGTACAAAATTTCTTCCCACCTGCATGAACACCAACATTTCTTAAATGGTTTGAGAAAGAGCTAAAAGGAAAGGTTTTTTTCACTCTGAAGATGGTTGAGGAAGCAGAGCAATATCTAAAAAGGATAGAACAACACAGATCTGGGCTTAACACAGTTAATCTAGAGCTGAGACTAATCCACAAAGTTTTACTTTCAACATATAATGGAAAAAAAAAAAGTGTTTTTTTTTATATCTCTTGAGAAAATCTGCTGAAGTTGAGCATGCACCATCTCAAATTATCAATCAAACAATCTCTTATCGTTCTGAGCGACTCAAAACTGAAATTGACTAACTAATCGGTTCAATTTCAAACATTCGGATCAACAAAAGGATGGATTTTTCGGAAGATTTCAACGTCTAATAGTAGTGATGGGTGATCAGATTGCAAGAGAAAATGGATGAGAGTTTTTACCAATGTTGAGTCGAACCATGGAAGACAAGTTCGTCATAGCTGATTCCAGCAACTCGATTTCTTTCAGGAAAAAACTCCGAAAATTTTAGATTCTTCTTCTTTGATTTTGTTCAGACTTGTTCTTCTTTTGTTTTCCGATTAGGCCAACTACTAGATGGATTCAATGGGTATCATTAAAAAGCCCATATCTCAAAATTTAAGCCCAATTTAGATTTATAACTGGGACTCTAGGACTAGGAGGATATGTGTGTATTCATTGTTTCTTTGTTTCAAGCAGTGATTTATTTGATGAGTTTCTTCCGTTTGCCAAGATTCAAGATTCAACAAAGTTTTGATGAGTCTCACTAGCAAGAGGCTACAGCTAATTATTGAAACTTGTTTGTTTTGTCAATAATTGTTGTTGGCCAAAACAGGTAAAACTGGAGATTCTTTTTACAAATATTTTGTTTTCCATTAAAAATTGGTTTTACTTTTACCCATATTGCGAAGTGGCTAAAACTTACAACAAGTCAACAGCTAAAGAAAAAAGTAAATAGATCATACTAAATTTGCGCAACAATTTGATAAAATGGACTCCAAAGCTGCAAATACAAAATTAACACTGCCTATTCAAGCATTAGTATTGGTTGGAGAGTCACAAGGAGGATCAAAGAGACTAAAAGTTCTGTAAGCAGAAATAACAGAGAGAATTAAGAAAGAGAAGAGAACAAAGACATGAAGCCCCAAAGCAACTGTGAGTTTTGAACAAAAGTGTGGATAAGAAGAACACACTTCACTCCATGTCACTGTTTTGTCTCCTTCGTAAAGTAAAGACACCAGCTCTGTTGCTCCTGCTACTGACGTTATCATCAAATATGCTAAAACCTTCACACACACATAATTGTGTTAACTTATAGTATAAGAAATTAAATTAATGATATGAGAAAAAATTAGGAAAAAAAAAAACCTGGTCAGGGACAAAGAAGAACCAAGCTTTGGAGACTAAACATGTGACCCATGTAGAAAGAGTTGAGAGCAGAGCATAAATAGCACATATGGCACTAACACCAACAATATATCTGCAAATAGCAAATCAATTAGTAAACATATAATCTATATAACTATAAAAAATAACTCAATTCCGCTAATTGAAAGAAATTAGAGAGTATACTTGAGACCCATGATGGAGTTGTAGTCTAAATCGCCATAGTCAGGGTTGGATTGGTGGTTAGTGACAGTTAACCAGATGGTTGCAACACTGAGAGGAACAACACTTAGCCTGAGACATGAATCTATGAGCATCAAAGACTTAGGAGCAGCTTGTGGTTGCTGTTTTGAAGAACTGCTACTTCTCTCTCCTTCGTTTGTGTTGTTGTTTCTCATCTCTGGTTGGATCTCAGAATCAAATGTTCTTTTCGGGAGAGAAAGAAAGCTTAAAAGGGAAATAGTTGAATCCAAGTGGGTTCCTCAGTTTTATCATCTCTCTTTTATATACAGATATATGTGATATGTATGTGTGTGTTTGTGGTCACATGACAAATAAGAACAAATTATAGAAGATACAAAAATGTTTATCCTTTTTATGATTAAAAAAAACCTTTGGAAACCGCGTACAAAAAGAAAAATGTAACGTTTTATTTTTCCTGGATCCAAAATGTAAAGTTTTATTTTTATAAATTTATTAACGGGAAGACAAGAAAAAAACAGACAAGTGTGAATATGGATTAAAAACATCCTATACATATAATTCATCACATGAAATTACAGTTTCGTTGACAAAAAAAAAATATTAAATCAATTACAGTTTTTTCATCATCTCTGGCTTGTAGAAATAAAAGTTTGCTTTAGAGGTAGAATGTCGATCGACTAAACCATTTATCAAAATAAATATATAAATAGATTTACCGTTTTTATACATAAAGTATTAGTAAATAAGAGTATAACGATTAATAACGTAATTTTTCATGCTTTTTAAGAATATTTAACCGAAAGTTTTCTTTATTAATTCTAATTTTATTTTCTCTATAAAGAGTGGCGCCGAAAATATGGTAGTGGAAGTAACAGAGACGAGGCAAGTGCGGTGGTTGTTGGAAGCGAGAGAGATAGACATCTGGCTTCGTCTTGGTGGCTGGCCCCTTCACATGAATCATTGTTTTCGATTAGAACTTGAATACTTGACATAATATAAAGTTAGAATATTGAGGTGTTACATTTTTTTTTAGTAACGTGTAGTAAATTGATTTTATACAGCCACATTTTAAATAAAAAAACTAGGATCTGCTTCTGCAAGCCCATAGCTTTTCGAATGACAATTTTTGGGTCATAAATAAAGTGATGACACTGGTATTAGTCAAGGTGATGTCATATCATAGTTCAAAGATCTTTTGGGTGAAATCACTGTACTTGTGATTGAAAAATAACGAATCGTACAATCTTCGAGCCCATCAAGTTATTGCATTTGCTCCAACCAAGATAACCAAATATAGTTCATACAACTCTTGTATTGATCAGACTGTTACGCAACGCTTACTAAAAATTGAAATGAAAATATCATCGCATTATATAACGATCTACTCGATCGTAAGCAATATCATTATTCCCTCTAGACACTACTAATCTTTTCTAAAAAAAAAAATTATTCATTTCGTTCCATGGCTTCAACAATCTTCTCTCAACCATACTTCGTCAGTTCGTCCCAAGGACTTGTTTAGTTTCGAAGTCAACAAATCTCGGCCGTCCATCTCTCTCTTCGTCATGGACAGTGGTGGTGGCAGCTTTGTCCCGTGGCGGTTCCTCTTCCCGAACCATGAATGCCGACATCAAAATCGCCACTCTTACGGTATCAATGTGTAGAACATTTTGACATGGCGGTTTTATAACAATGTGTGGCAACTTCCAAAATCAATTTTTAATTTCATTTGCAACTACTTGTTGATTTCATACTTTTGCCAAATGCGTTCACCGGTTTGATTATATCTAATTACATTAATCCACATGAACTAAAACTGTTGAGAATATCTACTACAAAATTTAAGAAAAACCGGCTTCCAGTTTTCTTCATCATCATGTTCCTAACTTTAAATATTCGACGGACTATCCACCCATAACTGAGAATTTCGATGCTCGGTTCAAGCATAAAGTACTATGACATATTCTCATGATCACCATCACCATTTTCTCCCCGGTTATCATCAGCTTCTTTATGATTCCTTTCTTCAATCCCTTGACCAGTCATGGATTGATGACAGGAACCGATTGTATGCACGTTACGGAAAAACCAATTGCATAATCAGAGGGTACAACGGTGCAGCTAGATTAGCTGAGTGTTCCCCATTCTAATCAAACCAAGAAACCATACATACAAACTTTAAACATTGCTATGATGACAAATTAATCCAGATTCGGTGTTCCGTGTGCTCTAATACCATGAAGCAATTTAGATTCAATTAAAGCTTTTGACAACCATATGGCTTTTGAGACAATTAAAAGAAGGCAAAACATATAGACAAGCATTTGTTATCCATCAAAACAAACAGAGAAAGAAACAGGAAACGCATATCATTATTAATCTTTGTATCATTGAAGTATTGACTAATCTTCCATAACAGCTATGAACGTATGGGGTTCAATACAAATCATTAAGAACTTCCATCAATTTTCCAAAACGATTCTCATAAGAGAGTTAATTAAATGACGACCTAGCGAGGGGAATCTAATGATCAATCCAAATTGAAATTATCAAACCAACAAAAGGTAAATCTTCAATTGTATGATTTATATATAAACTTACGAGTATTGAACATTTCTTTTCCCCAATTGTATCAGTTCACAGAATAGGAATACAATCTACAGTAAATAGAGAAGAAAAACAGTTTAATTCAATGAGCAATTACATCACTAGTCAACATACTGTTGTTTCCACCAGTGGATTCAATGACTGAAGTGTTCAGATTCACCATCATCATCGACGAGACGGATCTAGCAGCGCCTAACTTCTTCCTCTGAAAACTATAAGGACCGTAGATCTTTCTCAGAAGATGTGGTACCTGGTCTATCGTCAGATTCCGCGCCGCCGCCGCCGCTTCCTCGGCAGAGTTCTGAGAAAGGGGTGGCGGATCGAGCGGGTGCGAGAGGGAGCGAGATACGAGAGAGGTAGATCTAGCGGTGATTCTCGAGTTTCGGATCTGAGCAAGCGCGCCTGGCTTCAAGTAGCGGTGGAAACCGTCGTTTCTTCTCACCGGAGATCTAGAAACGTCTTTCATGGATTCGATTCGGATAAGCTTCGTTACGCACGATGAGATGGAATCTGAGGATCCAGAGATAGAGAAAGAGAGAGAGAGAAGGGGGAGGGAGAGATTATGGTATATTTGAGTTTCGAAGATTGGGGATCTATGGATTTTGTAGTGGAGGTTGAGGGGCGGGAAAAACGGCGTTAGGATTAAAGGTGTGAGATAGAATGAGAGGGAAGATGAGTCTCTTAGGGTTTTGAAAAGTCATGAGGAGCGGGAGTTTATTTGGATAGTCACGTGGTATTGACACGTTGCTCCTCCTCGTCACGTGACGCTTTTTTTTTCCCGCGGACGCGTGTGTCTTCTTTCTTTTTTTGTTTGGATATTTTCCTTCACTTCACTATACTCCAAAATTCGGGTCGGATCCTTGACCGTCTGAGTCTTCTGGTAAATTGCTGTAGTTCGATCCACTTGTGGGGTTTATTAATGTTTTATTTCCCTCTGATGGGTCCCCCATCGGTGGGGGATTAACATGAAAGCAATTATTCTCTACTTCTCATACCAACAACTATATCCTACACGTGAAGTCGTGAACCTTCTTTACTTGCTCTCCAATATTCAATTAGATATCTACACGTGTCTTCTATAGCCGCTACAGAAGATATCTGCGGCTAAGATCAAACCGCATACGAGTACACCCTTTATTCCACCGTTGTTTAATCACTTTTTGGCCACCGTTGTTTTCTACTTCTCTAATGGCGGTTTCAGTCTGCTGTATATATATTCCACTAACTTTCTCAGGAAAATTATCACTGCTAATAATATCTCTTTTTTTTTCTAGTAACTGTCACAACTGTGTAACAAAAAAGTTAAAGCAAGCAAAAGTAAGTACTATGGACACTAAAATTGGATCCATCGATGCGTGTAGCCCGACAAGCGGCGGAATCGGCGGTCCTCCAAATGGCGGCGTCTGCACCGTTCAGAACTCGAGTCCAGCTCACTCCACCACCATTAGCCCCTGCGACGCGACTCTTGGCCGTTACCTAGCGAGACGCCTCGTCGAGATCGGCGTCACCGACGTCTTCTCCGTTCCGGGAGATTTCAACCTAACTCTCCTCGACCACCTGATCGCTGAGCCAAGCCTCAAGCTGGTCGGATGCTGCAACGAGCTCAACGCCGGGTACGCGGCGGACGGTTACGCGAGATCCCGCGGCGTCGGAGCGTGCGTCGTTACGTTCACCGTCGGCGGGTTGAGCGTACTGAACGCGATCGCCGGAGCTTACAGCGAGAATCTGCCTCTGATCTGCATCGTCGGTGGTCCAAACTCGAACGATTACGGTACCAACCGGATTCTTCACCACACGATCGGTTTACCTGATTTCACTCAGGAGCTCAGGTGCTTCCAGGCCATCACTTGTTACCAAGCTGTGATCAATAACCTGGAAGAGGCGCATGAACTCATCGATACTGCGATCTCTACTTCTTTAAAAGAAAGCAAACCTGTTTACATCAGTATAAGCTGCAACTTACCGGCGATTCCTCTTCCGACTTTCAGCCGCCACCCTGTTCCGTTCATACTCGCGCCCAAAGTGAGTAACCAGATGGGTCTAGACGCGGCGGTGGAGGCGGCTGCTGAGTTCTTGAACAAATCCGTGAAGCCAGTCCTTGTTGGCGGGCCGAAATTGAGGGTTGCGAAAGCCACTGATGCTTTCGTTGAGCTGGCTGATGCTTCTGGGTATGGTGTTGCCGTGATGCCGTCTGCTAAAGGACAAGTACCTGAGCACCACAAGCACTTCATCGGGACGTATTGGGGAGCTGTGAGCACAGCTTTCTGCGCTGAGATTGTTGAATCTGCGGATGCTTATCTCTTTGCAGGTCCTATCTTCAACGATTACAGCTCCGTCGGGTACTCTCTGCTTCTCAAGAAGGAGAAATCAATCATCGTGCAACCCGATCGGGTCACTATCGGCAACGGACCTGCGTTTGGGTGTGTTCTGATGAAGGATTTTCTCAGCAAATTAGCTAAACGGATTAAGCACAACAACACCGCCTACGAGAACTACCACAGGATCTTCGTCCCTGAAGGAAAGCCTCTGAGAGATAACCCCAAGGAGCCTCTGAGGGTTAACGTGCTGTTCCAACACATTCAGAACCTGCTCTCTTCTGAAACAGCCGTGGTTGCTGAGACGGGAGACTCGTGGTTCAATTGTCAGAAGCTGAAGCTCCCTGAAGGATGCGGATACGAGTTCCAGATGCAGTACGGATCGATTGGTTGGTCGGTGGGTGCTACTCTGGGCTATGCTCAAGCCATACCGAACAAGCGTGTCATTGCTTGTATCGGAGACGGTAGTTTCCAGGTCACCGCACAGGATGTGTCGACGATGATACGGTGTGGGCAAAAGACCATACTGTTCCTTATCAACAACGGAGGCTACACTATTGAAGTCGAGATTCATGATGGTCCTTACAACGTCATAAAGAACTGGAACTACACGGCTTTTGTTGATGCTATACACAACGGAGAAGGTAAATGCTGGACTGCCAAAGTGACATGCGAGGAGGAGCTTGTGAAAGCGATCAAAACTGCGACGAATGAGCAGAAAGAGAGCTTCTGTTTCATTGAAGTGATAGTGCACAAAGATGATACAAGCAAAGAGCTTTTGGAATGGGGATCTAGAGTCTCTGCTGCTAATAGCCGTCCTCCAAACCCTCAGTAGAGCTCAGAGATGGAGTCATCTTATATATATTTCGAGTTTGGTAGTTCCTTTGTTGCTTTTATGAAAAAGTATCCTTTTACATCCATTTGGATGGAGAAAAACAGTGCAAGTCGCCTTGAGGATAAACTCTTTTGAGTGCAAAAATAAAAAAAAATGTTTGGACATAGTTACTCTGCTTCATCTTTCTTCTTATATTTTCCAGATTCATCAGAAATTTGGTCTTTGTGTTATGGTTTAGTATGTGGGTTATTAGGAAATCCTAAGCAAAGTTGATTATACGAGGGAACGAACATTAAAAAAACAAACTCTTATAACCTCTGCATTCATTCCTCTCCATCAATTGAAAAAGAAAACCCAAAAACTTCGATCTTCTTCCCCCACACCTTCAGGCACGGGTTTGATCTTTCGATTTTTTTCTCACTTTTATTTCGTTTATCTGAGATTTGATCTCTCTGTTGGTGTTGTTGTTCTTTGATTAACTGTCGTTGAGTTTCATTCGATAAGGGCTTGTGTCTTTTTTCTGAATCGGATTAGATTGATTTAGCGTTCTCTTTTCTTATTAATTTAAGGTAGATGAAATTGCAGAGAGCAAGAAGTTTATCTGACTGTAAGAATGAGAGCAGTGTGGAGCCACTCGAGTGTCATTTCCAATTGCAAGCTTTCTCCGAGAATCAGGAGAATATCCGCAGCAAGCTTGACCTCAAATCGAAATCTATTACCCATGACTTCAACTGAAGATCCAGAGCTCAGAGATTTTGTTGGGTTTTTAGAATCTCTCAAAAACTATGAGAAGTCTGGTGTGCCCAAAGGAGCTGGAACTGATTCCGGTGAAGGTTTCGATCTCGGTAGAATGAAGCGTCTCATGCTTCGTCTCCATAACCCTCATTTCAAATACAAGGTTTGTGCTTTTTGCTAATTTACCATTTTTTCTTTCTGATTTATTAGTGAAAACCAACAATGAGGGCAGTGATGATTGATTATATAGGTTGTTCATGTGGCTGGAACAAAGGGAAAAGGTTCAACTTCTGCTTTTCTCTCCAATATCTTACGAGCAGGAGGATATTCAGTTGGTTGTTATTCTAGGTAAATGTTTGAGGCTTTGGTTTTAAAGTATCTAGATCTTGAGTTTGAATCTTTCACATGATTATTACTAACATGAGGGCTTTCTTCTGTGTAGCCCACATATTCTGAGTATCAAAGAACGTATTTCATGTAATGGAGATCCTGTCTCTGCATCCTCTCTTAATGATCTTTTCTATTCAATCAAACCCATCCTCGAGCAGTCTATCCAAGAGGAAAATGGTTCTTTGAGTCACTTTGAGGTTACTACTCTACACCTTCTCCTAAGATTCTACCTTTACACAGCTTCATGTTTTCTTGAATTTTGAGATATTTCTTTTCTGGCAGATTCTCACTGGGATAGCCTTTTCTTTATTTGAGAAAGAAATGTCGACACTGCCGTTATAGAGGTATCCATAAAGAAACTTTGCTTTTGATGTTGTAAAGAAGCTAGTCGTCTTATGTATATCATTTTCGTTTTTGTGTTTGATTTGGGTATCATCAGGCTGGGCTAGGAGGAGGTCGAGACGCTACAAATGTCATTGAAAGTTCAAATCTTGCGGCATCAGTCATAACAACGATAGGTGAGGAACATATGGCTGCTCTCGGGGGTTCCTTGGAAACTATAGCAGAGGCCAAATCTGGAATTATTAAGCACGCTCGTCCAGTTACGTGTGTTTTGCTTGTCTAATAAAAACAATAAGCACATTGATAGATTGAGTTTTATATGTGGTTGCTATAAAACTTGTAGGTGGTTTTAGGTGGCCCGTTTCTTCCTCATATCGAAGGCATTCTTCGTTCGAAAGCAGCATCAATGTCGTCATCAGTTGTATTGGCATCTAATATTGGTTCTAGTTCTTCAATCAAAGGCATCATCAACAAAAATGGGATCGGACTTTGTCAGTCCTGTGACATCGTAATACAAGATGAGAAAGATGATGTTAAACCAGTAAGTTTCAATTACTTTATTTATTCTTCTACTTAAAGCAAGAAATTCATCTGAATATATCAACAAATTGTACGCAGATTGTTGAGCTTGGTAATGTAAATCTACGCATGCTTGGACATCACCAGCTCCAAAATGCTGTTACTGCTACATGTGTGTCTCTCTGTCTTCGAGATCAAGGCATGATGATACATTTTGAATATCTGTATTGTTTCATATAAAAATAACAGAAGAAGTAAAAAGTTTACAGATTTGCGTTTATTTCTTGATCAGGATGGGGGAGAGTTACAGACGAAGCTATTCGGATTGGTTTAGAGAATACTCGTTTACTTGGTAGAAGTCAGTTTCTGACACCAGAAGAAGCAGAGACTTTACAATTGCCCGGAGCAACGGTGCTTCTTGATGGAGTATTTGGTTTGTTTTTTTATATTTATTATTGATATGAATGTGTAAACCGTTTAAGAGGAAGAAAACGTTTTTGGCAATAAGACGGTCTCTTCTTTCGTGAGACAACAAATCACAAATATCGAATTTTAATTTCCGACATTTATTGTATGGAGAGTATAGTATGAAGGTTACTGACGTCGCGAATCTTCGGGCAAATTGTTGACATAGGACCCACTTGTGGCTCTTATTACACGCGACGATATTTTGTATATTTATTTCTTTTCAATAAAAACGCTCTTAATGGGCCCCAGGGATATGAGAGTTGCGCGTTTTTTGTAAGCGAGGGAGTAATTATTCTCTGCCTCTCACGCCAATTATTCTAAACGTGGGCCTCTCAACTTGGTCGCTCGCTAACATAGCACTTATCCATACACGTGTCTAAGTGAATGAAAGATCTACGGCTACGATTTAACCGCCTTAAAGGAAGGTGGTGAAACCCCCCCCTCCCCCCTATAAGTAGACCCCTTCTCTGCGTTCTTCTCCATCAATTGAAAAGGAAAACCCAAAATCTTCGATTGTCTTCTTCCTCCTTACACCTTCAGGTACTGTTTTGTTGTATTGATTTTTGTGCTCCCTTTTATTTCGTTTATTCATCGGAGATCTGATCTCTCTGATTGGCGTTGTTCTTTGATTTGTTTGACCTTGAGTTTCCATTCGATCAGGGTTTACGTCTTCTTCTTCTTCTTCTTTCTTCCTTTTCCGAATCGGGTTTGATTGATTTTACGTTCTATTTTCTTGTTAATTTCATGGTTCGGATTTCTGATTTAGGAAAAACTCTCTTCTCAAGCTAGCGATCCTCTCGTCTTCACACGAATAACTTTACTTGATTGTTTGAGTTTGGATTATCTCTTCTGAAATTGTTAATTAAGGGTTTGGATTGACATAGATCTATGATCTCGTAATTTATAGTATAGTCCTGTGGTTGATTTATTTAGGGTAATCGTGTGGTATATTTCATATATGATTAGATAATCCACTAAATTTCTGTTCTTGTTTAGTCTATTTGGTTAGTCATGCTCTGTTCTGGATTGTTTATTTGATTTGAGTCTAAACTGATGTTTCTTTTTTTTTTTCCCTTACCGCAGAGAGAACCGAACAAGTTGAGATCCGTCCGAGTAACCAAGTTTACATGGTTGAGCTAGACATCCAGGTTCCATTAGCATTCGACCCATTCGCAGATAGTCAAGACTCGGATGCACCAGGGACAAAAGAGTACGTTCACATCCGAATCCAGCAGAGGAATGGCAAGAAGAGCTTGACGACTGTGCAGGGTCTCAGGAAAGACTACAGCTACGAGAGGATCCTCAAGGATCTCAAGAAGGACTTCTGCTGCAACGGGAACGTTGTGCAGGACAAGGAGCTTGGCAAGATCATTCAGCTTCAGGGTGATCAGAGGAAGAAAGTGTCTCAGTTCCTGGTCCAGACCGGGATCGCTAAGAAGGATCAGATCAAGATCCACGGGTTCTAAACTTCGAAGTCGAGTTGGATCCTTTTGATACTTAAGTACGAATAATTTGGACGCAGTGTGTGCGATCATTAGTTTCTTTTTTTTTTTTTGTTGGTTTCGTTTAATTGCTATTGGTTGAAGGTGTGGGATATTTGACTATTGCAATGAGAAATCTTTCGATTGTTCTATTTTTCATCTCTTCGTTTACTTATTTGCCCAACGACAAAGAAGATTATGAAAGTAAGCGTAAATTAGAAAATCCGAAACACTAAAGCAGAATATGACTTTCGATGGATATCAAAGGGAATATGAGAAGACTCGAAAGTCAAAACATGTAAAACTGAGCCGTTCACGGCCTTAAGGCTTTAGCCCTTTTATTGATCAACAACAGTTGCTCACGGCTTGAGCATCAGCTAAGATATGAACAATCCCGTTTACAGTTTCTCTTGAGAACAAGGTGCCGTGAGCTTGAAGCATGTAAGGGTCTTTGAGTATCTGAGACCAATCAGTTTCTTTGCCCTTAAAAGTTAAAATCCGTTTACGTTGTTAAAAGATGAATGTCGTTCACGTTGTTCAAAAGACCTACACACACGTCTTCGACAAATTCTAGAATTAAATATTTGTTTATTGTGTATTCGTTGAAAATGTATGGGAAATAAAGCTTCCCATACAGTTTACAAAAGAGTAAATTCTCTAAGGTTTCGGTGAGGTAAAACCAGAAGACTACAACAAATGTCAAGTCGCTGTAGAGAGAGTTAAACCCGAAATTTATTTTACACCTGCTACATTTTTTTCGATTTACCCAATTTCGGCGAAAAAAACCTTGTTAAATATATGGGCTTAATGTTATATTATTACAAACAATGGGTATTAATACTCCGTGAAAGGCCCAATTGTTCACAGTATTTGAAATTTTGAATACACGTGTTTTTCACGTGACTTCCCAAAAAGAAATATGTAATTTGTAAGGAACATTGAAAGCATATAATAAAAAGCAAATATGTAAAATATCTTAGCGAAGATATTATCTAAAAAGCCCAAAACAAAAAACAAACCATTAATTTTCTTCAAGAGAGAAGAAGGGTTTGCACCAAATCCACAAATCTTTTATGTAATTAAATTAGGCCTTTTTTTCCTCTCAAATGTTTTTTTGTCTTTTCCATTTTGTCCTTTTGGACTCGTTGTTAATGCCACAGGAAGAAAGCTGAGGAAACGGAGACGAAAAATCGCAGGTCTCTTCTTTTTTTCTCTTCTTCTCAGTCTTCATTGTGTGTTTACACAGAAATTGACGGAAAAGTGAAACGCTGCTTTTTTCACGGGTCCTTGTTTTTTTGGTTATTTTTGGTAATAAATAACTTTGCGATGTCTTCTCTCTTCAACTCGTATTTTTTTTTTTTTTTAAATCCGAGATATAATTCATTTTTGGGTTCTCATATGTTTCGATTCTAGGGTTACTGAGAAATTGCTAATTTTATTGTTTTTATGTTGATTAGTGGTTTGATTTTGAGATAATTTGTAATTAGGAGTCCCCGATTTAGGAGCTAAACATGTGTTGCATGTTCCGTTAAGAGAAATATAAATTGGAATTAGTGGATCTTATCTGTATAAAGTCCCAAGTTCTTAGTAGGATGTGTATAGAGTAACAATTCATTTTTCCAGATTTTTCTCCGACTGTGAGATAATTAAGAAACCCAAAAAGGTGTTTAGTGTTGGTGTTTGCTAATGCTATTATCCAATGGTGCTTACATAATTTTGAAGTTTGTTTTGGTTTTTGTAACGTTTCCTTTGGAAACTAGAATATTAGGAAAATTCGATTAGTTTTGTGTTTGTATGTACTGTGATGATCTCTAGCGTTGTGTTCTGTGTGCATAGATAGATTCTCACTTTGCACTATATCTTTATTGTTTCAGAAGTTACAACATTAATTACTGCATTATCCAAGAAATGGAGAAGGAGAGCCATGAGGAGAACAACAACAACCACACTATCTCAGGAGATTTCATGGCGAAACGGAAACGAGGTCGCCCGAGGAAACACCTGAAGCTTGACTCTATCGAGCAGCCTCTTGGTCCTCCTCAAGGGTTTAGCCGGAGTCAGCAACAGCAGCAGCGTCGTCAGAGGGAAGACGACGAAGCTCTGGTTGGACAACCGGTTAGTGGCACAATCGAGGCAACGTTCGAAGCCGGGTTCTTGCTTTCGGTTAAGATTGGGGATTCAGATAGCATGCTTAGAGGCGTGGTTTTCAAGCCTGGCCGCTGCGATCCCGTATCGGTTGATAACGACGTTGCTCCTGAAGTTCCGATGATCAGAAGGAACGGCGACGGGTCAGCGAAAGGAGGTCGGAAATCAAGGTTCCGTGAGAAGCGCGGTGGTGCTGGCGGTAGAAGCAGAGCATTGGCTCCTGTTCCGATTCAGCCGGCTCCTCCTCATCCGACGATACCGAAGCATCTTTTGGTTCCGGCGAGTCTACAGAATGGCACAGGGCGGGCTATGGTCCACCACGGTCATATGCAGGCGACGGAGACCGAGTCTCAGGTGAGTGGAGCTAGTAACGGGAAGCCATTTGAGACGCTGCTTACACAAGTGATGAAGAAAGGTCAAGCGCATCACACGACACACTTCACTGAAGCAGCAGAGTCAGAGGAGCAGGCTCTGTCTATTGAGCCGTTGCAGGCGATACACCCGGTCCATCCAGTACATATGCCCAAACCTATGCCGAGTTATGGTCGAGGCAAGATGACTGAACTTCTTCAGGTATAAAAAAACAAACCAATATACTAATGATTTTATAACCTTGTGTTGTCTTTCTGTCTAGAGATTCATGTTTGATTTGTCTTAGGCCGTGCAGGAGAATGTGAGAGAGACCCATTTTTCTCAAGGACAATGATTTTTCTGGAGATTCTTGCTACAAATCATTGAGAGAGCTTTAAAAGTCTGATTCAGTATCGTTGTAATCAGAGAAATAGGAAAAACAGAATCTAACTACTGTCTAGCTTAAAGATGTCAGAGAAATTACAATGATTCGTTTATATAAATGCTCATAACTACTTTTTCTTTATCAAAAATCAAAATCCAAAACCACAGCTGAATCTTTAGTTTCTTTTAGATCAAAACTTCTATAATATCCTTATCAAGTTGGGAGGGAAAGAATAAATGAAAGCACGATCCTTCATAGGAACTTTGTGCCAAAGAAACCATTAGGAACTGGAAGTGGCATGGGCTGGTTCGTCGGAAAAGGCGGCTGCATAACCGGAATATTGGTAGGCATGACCGCGTAAGGCTGATGTCCACTGGCTGCAAACGGTTGGGGAGGGTATATTTGCATTGGTGCTTGACCTGTTGCGATTAGATCTGCATTGCCAAAAACAAGAAAAAGTTACATTTGTTTCACTGAGAACAAACTCGTCGGTCTTAACATGAAACTTAGACAAAGAGTGTTTTTACGTTGATGCTTTGGATATTGGAACTGTTCTTGTGGAGCAAAGAGAGGACGAGCGGGTAAATGTGAGTGATGTGGTGCTCCCTGAACCAAATTCTTAGAAGAACGTAAAAAAGAAGATGATTTTGAGTTTTTTGTGAGCAAACAAGGCTAATGTAAAATGTTTGTGGTAATAAGATAAGAATCATTTTGACTTCTTACCTGAGAAATTGGTTGCACATACATAAGCTGTCCTGATCTCCCGACCATCACCTGGAATATACAATTTGATTAAAAAAAACTCAATACACCACATAAGCTCACTAGGCACATAGATTCACACAGTGTTCTTAATGAAACACAACCTGAGGATTGGGATTTACAAGATTTGGTGGTGTGGCTTGGACAGAATGGAACTGAGAGGTGAATCTATGTGGCTGTGCCCTGTTAATAGTAGGTTCAACCATCTGCAGAGAAAAAGATATTCAATAATTATCACTCACAAAGGACTTAAGATCATCAGTTATAAGCAACTTCTGGTTGATAATACGTACATGTTGGGGAAAATGAGATCCAACGCCAGTAACTCCATTAGTCAAATTAGTATATGGAAAAAACTTGGAAGACGCATGAGGCAAGAAAAGGTTCATTCCAATTTCTGGCTGAAGAGCTTCGGGAACAGGTAACATGGGAGTATTACTTGGCAGTGGCACATAACCCATGTTTGCAACAACAGGCGTCGTACCAGCAGGAGTTGATGAAATGCGTTTTGTAACAGATGGAGAGAAAATCCTTGCTCCTGGATTCAACTTGAAATCCTGCATTTTTTTAAAAAAAACGAGTAACAAATATAGTAAGATGGCATAATGTATGAGTCTTCAAACCAAGAAAACAGTATCCTGCATCCCAAACTAGCAGATTTTTGAAGTGCGAGACAATGATAAGGATTCTTTTATTACTTTAGTCTTTTTCATAGGGTCTGTTGCTGCCTGCGTAGGTAGTAACTTGTTTGTAGATACCACGAAACCTTGACTCATCTCTGAGTTTTCATCAAGAGCTGAAGCAAACTCGGGTGATAAGGGCCTCTCGGCAGTTTCGAGGAAACCGTTGCTAGGGAGTTCCGGCTTATTTTTCTCTTGTTCTATTGGTTTCACACGTTCAGAGGTGCTGTTGCCAACTGTTATAACTACATGTAGATGAAAATTCACATGTCAGAAAAACGTTCTATTGACAGGAGCAAGTCGAACTATCATGGTTATTGTCTATAGATAACTTCTCTGAAAGAATTTGGAACTTACAGGTAGAAGAACTTGTGCTCTGTGCATCAACCTGCAATGGGTAATACAATAATAAGCAGCTGCTCAGCAAAATCTTGGAAGACATAATAAAATTATCTATGTGAAAGACTAACGTTGCCCTCTTGATGAACGTCAGTACTTTGCTCACTACCACATTTCAAAATACGAGATCCTGCCTGCCTGTCAGGAATAAAGAAACTATTATCAGAGAGTCACCTATGAAACTTATACAATTTGATAGAAAGTAACTCGAGCGAGCATTGAACACAGAGGTTTATTGTAGCTAGAAAATTAGATTTGAGGCAGAGTATTGCCAATATTGAGAAAGAGATAATTTTTTTTGACAGGACACTAGTTATATACGAAATCAGTATTAGTCATAACTCATCATACCGTTGATGGTTCAGTAAGCTTGGATGCTGCTTGTTCTGCAAAATAAAAGGAAAATGGAACAAAAAAGCATCAAGAGAGTGAAAACCAATAAAAGGACTAAAGATTGTGAAAGCTGAAGTAGAAACGACATTCTATGACCGACCAAATCGAGACTGGTTTCACAACTAATTTAAATTCCCACAATACAGGAGCATAGAAGATAAAAGCTACCTGTGCAATACCAATCTTCTTTCTCCTCCCTTGGTCTTTCATGGCGTCTTTGGTACAACTTGATAAAAGACTCCTTGGTTCTTGATCCTTCCCAGATTTTACTTTGTTTTCCAAATGATTTTCAAGTTTGGCGGAATTTCTGTTTCAAAAGTTTAAAGAGATTAACACAAAACTAAGAGAGAGAGAGAGAGACAGAGCAAGAGATGCATGTAGAAAAACAACCTTTTTAACTTTTTTTTTAATATGAATATAGAGAAGAAACTACATAGTTTACCTTCTATGATTAGTGCCTCTTCTCTCAATGCCAGATTTTATCGACTTATTCGCAATACATGAACGAGACTCGGAAGGAGAATCTCCCACCGCCGAGACAACGTTTTTACCATCAACATTCCCTGCAACATTGGTCGGAACCGAGACTCCCTATGAACAAAAAAAAAAAAAAAAAAAACGTAACAAAAAGTCACAAAGGCAGGCTTTAAACGAATCTCCAGAAGTGAAATTTGTTCATAGAAAAGGAACCAAACCTCCGCAACAATTTGAACAATATTGGAAGACGTAACAACAAGTGTCTTCACAGTTTTCCCAATTGCTACATTCGATTTACTTGTTCCCTTCTTAGTAATTTTCGCATTCTTCAAAACAATTCCTAATGCAGAAAAACACACACAACTTAGGAAAGTCAGAAACAAACCAAATGCTAACGTAATCACATTAAGATTCACACCACCATGAACTATCCAATGAACGGATTTTTTGGAAAATTACATTCAAATTTCTGCGATCGACTTAGATATAAGTTATGAAATCTCTCTCTGATTGATAAATTAAACAGTCGCCGAAACGGATTCCAATCAATTCAAACATCAAATCAGACCCTCTTTGAATCCGAAGGGAAACGTACCGAATTCGTTTTCGACGGAGATGGTGTATAATATGCCAGAGAAAATCGATCCGTCAGTTATGTGCACATGGACTTGCAAGCCGATGATGCACATAGTAGAGATTAACAGAGCCTCGTTAAGCGATGATGATGAAGAAGGAGTCGAAGAGTGTGAGATCTCGTCTTCCAGTTTCTTTGAGATTGCCATCGTTTCAAAATTTCAACACAATCTGATCGGAAAATTAAAAATTCTCACGGTGTGTATCGGAACAATAGAAGACGAAGACGCAAAACTGAGATTTGAGAATTTAGAGATTTTCGTCAGAGACGAGGGAAAATAAAAAGAAAGGCCTTTTTATTGGGCCTCCTTTGTCAATATTGGGCCGAAATTTGTTTTATTTGTTTAATAGTCAACTCAATTTTGTAAAGTATTTCTTTTCTTTCTCCCCACAAGGAAAAGGTTAACATCGTCATCGTTTAAACCCTTCAAATCTTGTTGGCTGCTATAAGCGCTCTGTGATTCTTCTTTGTCAAAAATACTAAAACCCTAAATTTTGCCTCCATTCCTGCAAATTCTAGCCTTTGAAGCTCTTAGCTTTTCATTCTTCAGCCTCCAGTTTTGTGTTTTGTCAAGATGGGAAGACCTAAGACTAGGGGAATGAAGAAGCAGATGCGTCTCAACGAGGTCGAAGAAATCAGTCTTCTGAACAATTGGATCGAATCTCAGAAACCGGATTCAGGATCCAATCCACTCTCTTTCGAGCCTCTTCCCAAGGACGCGAAGATCGGAAAGTTCGAAGACGGCAAAAACGGCACCTTGTTCTCGCGTTACGCCGGCGTCAGGAAGTTCGATCAGTTGCCCATATCGGATAAGACGAAAAGGGGGCTGAAAGGTGCCAAGTACGTGGATATGACCGAGGTTCAGAGAGCTGCTTTGCCTCACGCTCTATGCGGAAGAGACATTCTCGGTGCGGCGAGAACTGGGTCGGGCAAAACTCTGGCTTTTGTGATTCCGGTGAGTTCCCGGAAACTTCCATTCTCGTGGTCTCCTGTTGATTTCTCTAATGGCGATTTCGTAGTTTTGGGGTTCCTTATTGATGTTAATGGAGGATTGGTTGTGTTATATTGCAGATTCTGGAGAAGCTACACAGGGAAAGATGGGGTCCTGAAGATCGAGTGGGATGTATAATTATATCTCCAACAAGGGAATTGGCAGCTCAAACATTCAGCGTGTTGAACAGAGTAGGGAAGTTTCATAAGTTCAGTGCCGGACTCTTGATCGGTGGTCGTGAAGGAGTTGATGTTGAGAAGGAGAGAGTTAATGATATGAACATTTTGGTATGTGCTCCTGGTAGGCTTCTTCAGCACATGGATGAGACCCCAAACTTCGATTGTTCACAGCTCAAGGTATTGTTGATAACCATAATGTTATAGCTTTGTGTGTTCATGTTTTCTCTGTTTCTTGGTTTTACTTAGAAGGTAAAAGATTGTTCACTCTAGCGATAGGAGATGAACATTAGAATGGTTAATTTGCATATCATTTACTGTATAAGGATATTGTAGAACCACGTAATGGGCACACCCTGACTCTGTTTCTGTTTTTGTCGCTTCAGAATCCATAATAGATGTTTTCTTTTGTTGAAGATTTTGATTTTAGATGAGGCCGACCGTGTGCTTGATTCTGCGTTCAAAGGGCAGTTGGATCCTATTATCTCACAGTTGCCTAAGAAGAGGCAAACTTTGCTGTTCTCTGCGACTCAGACAAAGAAAGTCAAGGATCTAGCAAGACTTAGTTTGAGAGACCCCGAGTACATCAGTGTCCATGAGGAGTCAGTTACAGCTACTCCAACTAGCTTAATGCAGACTGTGATGATTGTTCCAGTTGAAAAGAAGTTAGACATGTTATGGAGCTTCATCAAAACCCATCTTAATTCCAGGATTCTTGTATTTCTCTCCACCAAGAAACAGGTTTACATGATTTTATCTTTTCCTCTCTGAGTAATAAACTAGAATATAGTTTTTGTTCACTTCTATTCTATCTTGAGATTGATGGAGGAATCACTGTTTCGACAGGTCAAATTTGTTCATGAAGCATTCAACAAGCTCCGGCCTGGAATACCTTTGAAGAGTCTTCATGGAAAAATGAGTCAGGAGAAAAGGTTGGGAGTGTACTCTCAGTTCATCGAGAGACAATCAGTTCTCTTCTGTACCGATGTTCTTGCTAGAGGTCTTGATTTTGATAAGGCTGTGGACTGGGTTGTTCAGGTATGAATCCCACATTCAGAATCAGAATAGTATATTCGTTTTTTTGGGGGATGAAGCGTGATGTCATCATATTTATGTTATAGGTGGATTGTCCTGAAGATGTAGCTTCTTATATCCACCGAGTTGGCCGTACAGCTCGTTTCAATACTTCAGGGAAGTCGCTCCTCTTTCTGACACCTTCGGAGGAAAAAATGATTGAGAGATTGCAAGAAGCTAGAGTGCCTGTAAAACTCATCAAGGTAGTAGATCCCGTCCTCGTTTTTTTTTTCTTGAGTTTGTCTGTGGAAGTAAACGTAGCTCGGGTATTTGACTTAAAATGATTTTGTTCACACAGCCAAACAACAAAAAGTTACAGGAGGTTTCGAGACTCTTGGCTTCTTTGTTAGTCAAGTTTCCAGATCTTCAAGATGTTGCTCAGAGAGCCTTCATCACATATCTGAGGTCCATCCACAAGAGAAGAGATAAGGAGATTTTCGACGTGACGAAGCTGTCGATCGAGAACTTCTCTGCTTCGCTTGGTCTGCCATTGACTCCTAGAATCCGATTCGCAAACCTTAAAACGAAGAGAAAAGGAGTCTTTGCGAGTTCTATCGCTCTGGAACCCGAGAATGATCAGGACGACGAAGCACCTCCGGTAGTTAAAAAAGATCTTCTTGGCGAAGATTTAGATGAAGATGATTTTGCTCTCAGGCCACATGAAGAGGGCAAGGAAGGAGAAAAATCAACCAAGGGTGAAGAAGTTCCCATGTATGGTTTTCACATACCATTTACTATTTCTGCATTTGTTCAAATCCAGTCTTTCACGCTGATCATGTGAATTAACTTCCTGTTGAGTTTCAGGCTTGGAACTCGGGTTTCGAAAAAGAAGACGCTGAAGATCAATCTGCACAGACCAAGTGGGACCAGGGTTAAGTTTGATGAGCAAGGCAATCCAGTGGCTCCCTTAGCAATAGTAGCTGCCACAACAGGGACTGAAGTGGCCCTTGATGAAGGTAAAGGAACATGAACCTCTCGTTATATATCATTCTGTTCCCAGACACTAGCGATGAATCAGCTTCTTACAATGATTTCTTAATGTTTGCAGAGGCGAGGAATGCTTACTATAAGAAAGTGGGAGAGCAACTGAGGAAAGTGGATCATGTAGACAAGAAAGTAGAGAGCGAGAAGAGGAGGGAAAAGAATCTGAAAAAGAAGATGAAGAGGAAGAGAGGAGATGATGACGGAGAAGAAGACCATGATGAAGGGTCTGGATCATCAGAAGAAGAAACAGGAAGAAAACACAAAAGAGCCAAGAAAATCTTCTTCGATGATAATGGTGATGGAGATGAAGAAGAAAAGGAAGGAGGGAAAATCAACACAGATTCGATCTCCGTAGCTGAGCTTGAAGAAATGGCTCTCAAATTGATAACTCAGTCATGAAATCTCCATATACAGGAATCGTTTGCCTCTCTAAAGCTCAGTCATCCTGCATCGCCGTTTGATGATGATTTTCCCCAAGGATGCATTAAATTTTTTGAACTACTCTAGGTTGAAGTTTCCAGGTATTGTCTGTGCCTAGTCAAAAACATACTCGTAAAACATATGGATGCCCAAGAATACTTAAAAACAAAAAAACATGCACAATGCAATATTTTTATATGGCAATTTGTCAAACATTAAAATTCGTGGAAACTGATAAACTCTTCTAAGTTATTATCATCAGTTTCGTTCATCAAAACTGTGTTATGCATTTGTATGAAAATGTCTCAGGATATGCCCTTAGTGTTCATCAATGCGTCACTGGGTTGCAATAAAATGGTTTCAAGTGTCAGCCAACAGAAAATCCACATCTTAAAAAACTTAGGCATGAAGATAGTCTTAGTTTTCATCAATGCGTCACCGAGTAGCAATAAAATGGTTTCAAGTGTCAACCAATCAATCTGGTTTTTTTTTTTAATCGGTCTGTGTTACATTGTCTCTTTTCATTCCAAATGCATTATCAAACGAAATACTTATTTTTTTCTTGGTTGCAACTTCAAAGCATAAACAAGAATAATATGTCATATGTGATAGGTAACAGTGTAATCTAGTTGTGAAGATATAAAAAACTAGTTTTAATTGGTGGATGCATAACCCTTTGACTCAGTTCCAAACATATACTCGAGTCCCGCCTACAGTATTTTGAGGTGGAATGTGGTAAGGGGACATCCACCAATCATTTTTACGAGCGATGTGGCCATTCGGAAAGGTCTTTGCGTATTCGTCGGAATCGTAGAAGTTGACGCAGTTAGAGAGCATGACAGGGAAGGAGCTAGCAGGGACACAGAAAGGTTCATTACTGGAGATGAAGATGCAGAGATCTCCAATGTCCTGAGTGTAAACCGCGTTTCCTTCATCGCCTAGCTTGAACACCATTACAGCTCTAGTGGTGGCCCTCCTGTAAAACTTAACCAAGAAAGTCTCATCGGTGGGTATTGACTCGATCAAGTGGTCGCTGGTGCAACACGAATGCAAAAGATCCCGTTTGGTCTTGGTCAGCTCGGGAAGGTTTTGGGTTTGTGCCTTTTTGTGATGAGATCCCATGACCCGATGATGGATCCTCCAGATCCGAGAATGCGAAACGTGTCATGTTTCTTGGAGAACATGACTCGGGAGGAGTAGAAGCAAGGGTTTTCGATCCTGATGTTTCTCCACTCCGGTTTGTTAGCGGATCTACAAAAGCTGATCTGAGGTCCCAAGAACTTGACAGCCACGAAACCAACTTTATTTTAAACTAAGAACTTAACTGTAGAAAATAACAAAGGCATTTATGAAAGCTGCAAATTTAAGAATCCAATGATAATAGTAACGATGCCGAGGGAGGGGACTAATTATCATTGGATTCTTAAATTTGCAGCTTTCATAAATGCTTTTGTTATTTTCCACAGTTAAGTTCTTCATTTAAAATAAAATTGTTTTTGGGACCGATAAATAAAACCCTACTAACTTGGGCCTTTGACCATAACTATATTATAAAGCCCAAGTAGCAACGATGCCGAGGGAGGGGACTAACTAGCAATTTTGATTTGACGACACACTTTACCCTTTTACCAATTGATATCACGAAACAACACTTTGAAGCACAGATTTAGGTGAGCTCTAATGTCTCTCTATTCCAGATTTGTATTGGAATCGAAACTTTTCAATAAGACATTGAATATCGAATGAACGAGCATAAAAGGGTTACGCCAAGCTCCGCAATTAAACCACGAAATCATTTGATTTACGAAGTCATTAATATTGTTCTTCGTTAACACGATTAATATGTTTAAAGATGCTGAATATTTTGCACAGGCTAAAAGATTATCAATTGTAAATTAAGAAAGGCGCATGTAAATGATGAAACGTTTTTCATTCGATTCAAATCTTGGAAACAACCAAACGAAACCCCCCAACAACAGCTAAGAGATCTTTAGACTCCCGAAATTAACAATACCCTAAAAAAAAAGAACCCAGACGATTTACAAATTCCAATTTCATCCCTCAGCCGCCGAACCCGTACAGAGTTCGTCCCTGCCTCTTCAACGCATAGACAACATCCATCGCGGTGACAGTCTTCCGGCGAGCGTGCTCAGTGTATGTGACGGCGTCACGAATCACATTCTCGAGGAAGATCTTAAGAACACCGCGAGTTTCCTCGTAGATCAAGCCGCTTATACGCTTCACGCCACCTCTTCTCGCTAGACGGCGAATCGCCGGCTTCGTAATCCCCTGGATGTTGTCTCGGAGAACCTTCCTGTGCCTCTTGGCTCCTCCCTTTCCCAATCCCTTTCCTCCCTTTCCTCGCCCAGACATTTTTTTTTTCTTTCTCAGAGAAACTTCAAAATCAGAAATGAAGAATGATTTCCACACGTGAAAAAGAGACTGCGATGTGGAGATACGAGAGGATGGTGAGAGATATTTATATATGTTTTTTTTAATTTTAATGGGAAGATACGATCCGTCGGATGTGTATATATTAATCGACGGTTGTAAACATCGATCCGCGTGATTTTAACTGATTGGCGAGGGTTTGTATAATAACATATAGACCGTTGGATCTCTCGTTATCCGTGTCGAACGGGTATTGGTCTCTGTCAACCGTAGATTTTATGGTATTGAGGAGGGGAAATAAACGGCGTCGTTGAATTTGGTCAATTGCTTCTTTTTTTTTGATCAGTGGGTGGAAATGTCGATATATACTTTCAAGAAAGTGGTAGTTTTAAGTTTAATTGAAAGGAAAGATGCTAGTTTACTTTTAATTTTGGATGATCAGGTTAGTACCATAGAGTTGAATCTGTTTTAATAAGCATCTAAATTATGTACGAGGTTATTTATCTCACCATTTGCTCCACTGAAACTCTAATTTCGAGTTCATCATAAACCAAATCATTTCTTCATGTCATGTAAAACTTTATATAGGTTTGAAGCATAAATTGTTTTCTGACAAAATAATTTAAAATCGAAAGTTTCAACATTCAGTCATTCACTAAACAATATGTTCATAGCAATTCCAACATTTTTATTAAAAAAAACAACAAAACTCGAAATAAGTAAAAAGAGACAGATCACTCTCAATCTAAAAGTCCCTATCAAGCAAAGACTCAATGACTCATATTTTGTCCATTGGTAGAAAAAGCTGGTGTTGATCTTTCACTGCATTGGGATAAGAAAAAAAAAACGGTAAGAACATCATAAAACTTCACTTATGGTAAATCTTAAAAGTTGTTAATTTGTCAGTCTCATTGAGAGTTTACCTGCCGCTGCTGCTGATAGTTGCCATAGCCAGTGTAACCGGCATAGTACGCACTAGGATCCTGAGGACGAGGAGGAGGACCACCATAACCATATGGTTCATATCCCTGTTGCTGTGGAGCGTATCCATAGTATCCACTATTATATTGAGCTTGATCAGGCTGCGACTATAAACTTTGAAGTCATGATTTTTGCTATGGATTTATCATAATATCACTCAATCTCAAGTTTTAAAGGCAACAAAACAAACCTGCTTGTTTGGACTACGTCCCCATGAAAGACGGATGCTTTGTCCACCCAACTGTGATCCATTCAACATCGAAAGTGCATGCTCCGCACAGGCCCTGGAGCCAGAAAAAAGAAGAGAAAATGAAGTATTGCTACACAAGCTTGTATGAAACGGGGTTGAGACTTAAAAAATGGCTCTCATATGATTATTGTACCTGTTGGCAAACTGAACGAATCCACAACGCTTTCCTGGAGGTATTTTCACATGAACTAGTTCTCCAAATTGACCAAAAACTGACTTTAGTTCATCGTCTGTAACGCTGGCATCCAGAGCTCCAACAAATATCTGACAGTAGAACGCATAAGTCTTTCGTTCGAGCAAATATGACAAGCATAAAGACTAATGATTTTGAGGAACATAAAGCAAAGTAAATTACTCACCGTTGTGTTACTTAGATCGCTATCTCCAGGGTTTCCTCCTTGAGGGTCCTGATACATACCTGCAAATAACGGATGGGAGAAGGTTAAAGACATTATTATATTGCATAAAAACACTAGACAAGGTAAAACAACTACAGGGAAACGAAACTAAATAATAACAACATATGTTTACTTAATCAAAGCTGGCAAAGATCATTCAAATCAACATGTAAAAAGACGCAAGCAGATACACCAAACACAAAAATAGTTCAAAGATCATGATCAGGCGAGTCTGAAGTTAGTTGTGGGACTTAACACCCAAGCATAGAATAAATGGAGTAAAATTCTTTACCACCAACACTCAAAAATCTTTTCAAGTTTGACTCCTAGTAATCAACTTGTGGAACTATGCCTTTGCAAGGTTTAAGAGTAAAAATTCAGAAAAGAAAAGTATGCAGAAAAGAAAAGAAAGAGACTTGCAGCACTGTCTACTATTTAGAGAAGAAGTATCAACTAGCAGGTAAGGCTCAAAACAAAAGAATGGAATATGAAACAAATTCACTTGAAGGTAAAAAGGCTCCAAACAAAAATACTTTTAGTGGAAAAATAAGGAACTGTAGGCTAATAAAAGCCACTTTGTATTTAACTTCTTCTGAAAACAAAGCCAACTGACCTAAATGAGGCCACGCAATAAGGTGGAATCATTTTCGGCTGAAATCAGTTCCAGGCTCCCCCAAAGAGAGCCACTTGTTCTCCTGCTTTAAGACAACATGAGTTGATCTTTATAAGTCTTTGGATGCTTTACGATATCATAAATTCTTTCAGGTGCAGAAAGGCGACAACCGTAAAGGAAACAAAGAGCAGATAAATTCTCTTAAATCTCTCTGAGCACCAACTTGAGAGAACAAGCCTCACCAATCAGAAAGATAGCAAAAAGGAATGCATCCACACAAACAAACAAAAAGGCAATCAAATAAGAAAAACCTACTCACTGCACACGATTCCTTAAAATCTAAACCATACCTTGTTGCATTCCAAGAGGCTTCTTGTTAGCAGCCGGGCCAATACGCATAGGCCTGGTCGAGCAGTACTGACCGTTCATCTCGGTCATGGCACGCACCTGCTCGCCTTCATCCGCAAACCTGACAAACCCATATCCCTTTGACCGTCCGGTTGTCCTGTCAGTCACAACCTTAGCCCCCTTGACAGACGCATACGCACTCGTGAATGTTTCGGTGAGCGTGTAGTCAGTGACCTCAGGAGCCAGGTCGCCTACAAAAATTGTGTAGTCAGGCCCTTCGGTTTGGCGTCTCTCTCCAGCACCGGCCTGAGCCCAGTTCAGCCTGAAGGTCTGTTCACAGTTCGGCATTTGAGCACCGTTGTAAGTCTGCAAAACACGCTCAGCTGCAGCATGGCTCGCAAACTCGATGAATCCATAGCCCTCGCACTGACCAGACTGCTTATTGCGAATGACTTTAGCTGATTGAGCCTGAAACCACAGATTAAAAAACACCAAAACCCTTCACTAACCCATAAGGAATCACAATACTAGCTAAGGCAATACGCATATAGAGGGGAAAAAACAACAAAAGAATGACGATTTCCAGTGATTTTAATCATGCTTTGAGATTACCTCGCAGGTCTGAGCGAAGATGCTCATGATGTAGCTCTCGTCCATCCATGGCAGGAGGTCACCGATCCACAGCGAACGGATCTCACCATCGGATCCTGGGTTCTGAGATCCAGCTCCGTAGTGCTGCTGCTGTTGTTGACCCTGTGACGGAGCCGACTGCTGATTCCATCCAGCCGGCGGCTGACCCTGTTGCAGCTGCTGCTGTTGTTGCTGTTGCATCATCATCCACTGTTGCTGCTGCTGCTGATGGTAAGCTTGCTGGTCGGATGGTATCTGGCCTGCTCCGGCGGCGTTGGACGGTGGCTGCTGCATCATGGCGACGAGAAAGAAAAAAACCTAAAAAAGGGGGATTTGTCGCTAATGCAAAAAGGAATTATCTCGGGGAAGAGAAAACGAAACTTTAAGCACGACGTTAAAAGTCTTGCTTGCTTTATATAATAAAATAGTCTCTATATTGTAGTGTGGGCTTTTATATCGGCCCAGCCCATTATTTATTATACAGAATTTGAAAGAACCGGTTAGGTTTTGAACCGGCTACAAGAGTAATTCTCTGATCATGGTATAGAATTTTTAGCTAAGACAATAATAGTAAAGCTATGCTGTAAAATTCAAATTAAAAGCTTAAGAATATGTAATCATGTAACCAGTCTAATCAATTTCATAAAGAACAAATTTTAGACTGGTCCAATGTTAGTCTCAATTTGGTCAATACCAGTTTGGTTTGGTTGGACCCATCCCTATTTTGTATTGCAACACACAGATCAGCCAATTCATTGATTCAGACATGAAATTGAGTTAATATATTGTTGTATAAATGAGGATGTTTTGGTTTACAATTGGATTAGTTCAGGTCACAGGATCATTGTTTCACAGAGTAACAATCTCTTCTTCTCAATTCCTCTTCCCTCTCCAGAGTATGATCTGTTCATCTTTGAACAATATGGGAACACATGGAACCAAATCCTGTAAATTTTGATCACATCATCAAGATCAATCTCACAAACCAAACAAGACAAGACAAGAAGACCCATTTAGACTGTATACCTTTAGCTTCACACCGATTCGTTTGCAGTCACTCATCCCAACATGAGTGCAATCTAGTCTCACAATCTCTTCTGCTTCAAATTCCTCCCTCACTCTTGCCACAACGTTAACATAGACACCATTCCTCGCTGAATTCAAAATACAAACCGCCAATGAAGTGAGTCCGAGGTAGTACCAATGGAGAGACATTGCGAAGAATGTTCTACTTACTAAGTTTCATTAGAGCAGGATAACGAAGACCACGATTTCTCATCTCTTTGGTCTCTTCAAAAGTTAATCCATCGGCGACATTCTTTACAAGTCTTGGATATATCGGTGGATAAGGCTTCCACAACATTAATGGTATGATGGGACGATTCTTTGGATCATAATTCCTTCCTCGGTACAAAACAAGGATGTTTATGTTTCTGTATACGATCTTTCCACCGGATTTTTCCTGTCAAGAACACAACTACAGTAAGATCAGGAGCACTTTTTTAAGAGGAAGAAGAAGAAAAACAGAGCAGTGTTCTTGAGCTCTGACCTCAAGGTGGAAACATATGTTGCCCATGTCAAGAGTTGGTACTCCTAAGCATTTAATCCTCACTGCCTCTGCTTTCTTCCAGTGATTGTGAATGTCATCAATCATATTGTGAGTCACTCCGCCTTTCCCTAATAGCATCATAACAACAACAACAACAAGACTCTTAACTCATTGTTTGTCGAAAAGGAATCTAATCACTTGTGGTATGTTCAGAGTATCATCAATCTCAAATTAGATTATGATAGACCTAGACACCTAGAGTTCTTAATTCTGAAGCTAACCGATTCATCAAACAAGTCATTCTAATTTGCAATATCTCTCATAAACCAAATTCTTTACAGAAAGAAACTAAATTCAAAGCTTAAAGCTTAACAAATTTTGAATCCGTTATTTCTAAGATCAATGTGAAGCGTTTGGTTTGAGGAAGAGGGCAATACCAAGATTAATCTGCCGTGAACAATCACTATGACGATACCGTTCAACAAGCTCACTCACTTCCTCCTCTGTCAAAGGCTCGCCGAGAACCTTCTCTCTCTCCTCCGCCCATTGGCTCTGGTCATTCTCTGGAGAAGCCGGAGCAGAAGTCCCCGTCCAATTCCGGTCCAATCGACCAGGTCCGAATGGAGAAAACCGTTTCGGTTCACGGAATCCAATCGGTTTAATTGCCGGGTTGGTTTCCGAATACGAATACCTGAAGTCGAAAGGGAGGTCTGAAGTCACCGGCGCCGTCGGGTTATTCACCGGTTCCGATGACTGATCCTGCTGAGTTTTCTTCTTCTTCTTCTTCTTCTCGCTTGGAGGTTTAGTGGGTTTGGAGAGAGGCGAAAATGGTGGATCATCGTAATCTGTAGATAGAAATCGAGCTCGGAGATTACACAGCAACACAAACGAATCTTTTGCCTCTTTCGCTAGAGTTAAGCTTCTGCGAATTGAAAGCATTCGGAAAATAAAACACTGAGCTTTTTCGCTAAGCGCGTCTTCTCGTAGGGTTTAATTTGAAAGCCAACAAAAGTTTTACTGAACAAACATATAAATTCCTAGTTTACATTTTGACCCAGAACTATTGTTTTTCGTGATTATAACCCAAAATTTTCATAAATTGTAAAGAAAAAGACTCCAACTATCGCATAATTAGCAAAACTGGAAACAAATGACAATCTTCTTCTTTTAGCTTACTGCTTACAAGTTATACAACAACAAAGTCACTGGCTTTCAGAGAATTTCTCCGAAGTTCTCATCTTTACATCTTCTTTGATCTTCAACCATGGATTCAAAAACATCCAACATATTATCCAAACCTTCAGGATCTTCACCAATCTCCTTCATGGCGTGTACAATACTCTCTACTGTCGACAAACATCCTGCTCTTGGCTGCCTCCTAACTTCTCTGTACAAGCTTGTACCTTCAATGTCCAGCTTCACATGGCAACACAAAAGCTTCAGCCACGGATTCTCAAGGTACATTCTTCTTGCCTTCGACCATGTCCCATCAAGAACAATCAGATTCCTTAGCTTCAATGCTCTCTCTTCAAGATCACTGATCTCCACCGAATCTTCGCTCGGGAACAGCAGAGCTGATCCAAGAGAAACCTCAAGCTCAAATTCTCGTTTCCCTTCCGAGAACTTTGTTACCACAAAGCCTTTCGCCAAGACATCCATGGCGGCAGGAGAAGCCAATATTTGATCAAAACTAGGATCTTCCACATGGCTTTCCAGTTTCATAGAGTGTGAGACATTGTGGATAACACCTCGTTTTTTCATAGAGATTCTGATTAAATCCTCTGATATACTTCCTTCACAAGACCCTGTCTTCTCTGTAACCCCTGAATCTCGACAAGAAATTTCAGCCGAATGTTGAGAAAGGTTCAAACTTTCAGCGATTTTCGAGCTTCCATGATCAACAAGCATAACCTTCTTCTCACATTCTAAGTTATCCAGATTAGCACTACCTAACTTTGAGCTATCTTCAGGTTCCAAACGATTGGAGCCAATCTTGCTGATTACGAACTCGGCCTCGTCATGTACATCGAAAACGGTGGTGACACTAACATTCTTAAGCCCTATTCTAGCGATTCGAGTTGAATTAAGCGCGTGTTTCCTCTCGAGACTGTGCTGAAGGATAGTGACACTCACCTGATTATCCAGACACGGAGATCGCATCCGGTTGCAGAGACAGAGCTGCGTCGGTTTAGCGCAAGAAGGGCAAGTGGGTCGCTTAGACTGCGACTCCATTTTTAGGGTTTTTGAAACCCTCAAGCCCTGACACCGTATACAATCGGCGAAGTTACTTCGAGACAGTATCAGCTGAGACCGGGCCACGACATGGCCCATCATCTGTCCTGATGAAATCACGCAGACACGCATCTTTTCCTACCTACTTTAAAGTCCCTGTGCGAGAGGAAGGTGAGATTCAAATCAAACCTGTTCAATCCAGATAAACCAAACTAAACCGGATTGAAGATGCCCTGTGTTAAAATCAAAATTTGGTTTTTTATATATTCGTAAAACTGTAACCGAAAAAAGGAATTTGCTTAAAAGCCAAACCCAAGGGAATGTTAAATTTTTCGATTCCTATTTTGGGTTACATATAATCCAAACAATCAGAGTGTGTAGTTTCAGTAGCTACAAACCTGAGCAATAATATATATTTACAAACAGATGAACTAAAACTTGTTAAAGAGTTTTCAACGGGTATTACATAAACTTTTTTTTCCTAACAAACAGACATCTGTAGAAGACAACTTTATAATTTTCATTGTTCTAGCAGTTCTCTGGTCTGTTGTACTTTGGAGGCAGAGATGGACATTGTTCATTCATATGCAAGTATGGCTCCATGGTGTTGTAACCAGGAAGTTCCATTCTGTATTTACCGAGAATCTGGCAGAAAGGAAGCTTCACGTTGTCATTGTCATTGCACCAGTTAGGAAGACGGCTTACATTGGTCTCGAAAAAGTTGAGCATGTAAGCATCCTTGATCTGTAAAGTTGAAATTAGCAGAGTAAGACAACACGGTTGTAACAACACGAGCTTGCGGGTAGGAAGGTAAACAGAGAGACGTATGCATTGGTTCTTACCGTGAATTCTGTGACTTGAACAGAGTTAGCCAGTGAGCCGAACAGGCCAGCTTCTTTGTACATTTCGAGGATGAAAGCGATGCACGAGGTTGATTTACCATCGCTGTATATCCAATCGTCTTGTTCGGGTACTGCCAGTAATTTGTCAAAAGAGGATCCGCGCTTCTCTACTTCGACCAGTACATCAGAAAGATCAAGACCCTGGAATTTAAAACATGTCAGAAAAGGATAGAAAGAAGGACAAGGACCAAAGTCAAAGTATAGTAGCAGAGAAAAAAGCAAAATCATATACACAAATCAAAGATTAAAAAAATGACTACAGAAGAATCAAACACTACGACCATTTCAAATGAGCGTAAGCACTAAACTAAAACTTATCATCTATCAATCACGATGCTGTTTATCAATTAGTAATTACAACAGGAAGGAAAACCGAACTAAAACAGCCACTGATCGATGAAGGAGTAAGAGATCAAAAGGTATATACAGAAAAAAAAGGGCACAAATTTTTAATACCTCTGTTCCGAGTCGCTTGTTCAAGGCTTCATTCCACATATTAGCAGCGTAATCAGGCTGCATTTTGCTCCAAACAGTCATGAATGAAGCAACCTGAAAGAAAAGCAAAGAGCTAAGTTCAAATACAATCCAATTACAAAGTGTATTCATTCATCAAGACCAAAGTTGCGAGAAATGAAAAGAAAAACCTACAAGATTAGCATCTAGAGGAGGCGGGTAGTTTTCACTAACGGTATCGATCCAGCTAAAAATCAAGTTGTGATAACCATATGGTTTACCCTCCATGCTCCGAGCATATTCCCACGCAGCAGTGACGTTGAATTTAGCACGAACATCAGGATGCAAAGGTAGCAACGCGATCTGAGGGTTCGAGTCATCCTTTGTTTGTTCAAATTCCCACCACTCCTCCCATGGTAATATCGCTATTACATCTTCTCCCTACCATCAAAAACAATACTTCAACAAAAGAAGTCTTCTTGTAGCTAAAAGTTAAACTCAAGGAAACACTCTGAAGCTTTGTTACCTTTTCGTTTTCATTCCCTGATTCACCAACCCATAGTTTCCCTTCGGAGTCTCTCAAGCAGACAGCGGAATGACCAGCATATGCCCCGCTCACCCACTTCTCAAGAGTCTCAAAACCACCCCACCGTCCACGGATCTTCGAGATAGCTAGTAGATCACCAGATTGGATTTGATCAGTTGTAACGTTTGTAACCCACGGTTCAGGACGAGCTTCAAAATTAGCTCCCATATGCTTCTCCAGGAACGCAAGATTAGAGCTTTCACCCCAACCGGTATTGGTGAAGAGAGGAAAAACATCCCACAGTGCTTGAAGTGTTCCTAACATCCCTGCGTGCATAAGGAATATAGAGACTCCTTTATTCTTAACCTGATACAACAAGTACCCAAAAAAAAAACGAATCAAACAAAGTCATAAATCTTGAATCCTCAACGGAGAAACCAAAAAGATAACTAAAGCTTACATATTCATACTCGGCTCTTCCATCCCATTCTGGGAATTCAACAGTGTGCGCCCGTGAAATGAAGTACCAAGTCCATGTCACGCGGTATGGAGTTGCAAAGACATAAAGATCCATGCAAGTCCAACTATGTGCTTTATCCGCCTTCACAAACACGAAATAAAAGAGAACAAAGCTTAGGGTTTATCGATTTATAGAATCAACAGAACTGACGATTCTTGATAAGAAGCAACAAAGAAACCATGGATCCTCAAAGATTGCTCCAAAGCCTACCACACAAGTTCCCCATGAAAATCGATTAACCCCAAACTTGAGTAAGAATCAGGAGTCGTATCCTAAAGATAAACCACTTAGAGAAGAAGGTCAGATACAATCCTCAGTGTTCTTCTATTTTCTAGGATCCCAACATTTCTAGCAATTGAATTTAATCTCACAAACTTCCAATAGTCAAAATTGAAGAGGGCCCATACACAATAACTCCCATAAACATTCAAAAACGAAACAAAGATAAGCAACAGAACGATGATCATAGTGCAAAAAGGAAACAAAATCGATATACTCATTCGATTTCCATTTTTCACCTTGATGTGAAGCGTGCCTCCGCCAAACTCGCTACCGGACTTGTTGTGGAACTCCAGCCAAGCCCTGTTCTCGTAGAAACAAGCACCTTTCCACTTAACGGCATCGTTCCCTTCACTCGCCGTTCCGATGAAAGTGGGAAGCAGATCGGCGGCGCCGTAAAGGGAGTTGAGAATCGGCCACGTGATTTGCCTTGGCAAATGCGGAAGCAAGTCGCGAGGGTGAAACGGTGATTTCACCGATTCGGCGGTTGGAACAATTAGAATCAGAACGGCGATGGCGAACAGAGAGGAAAGCGAAGAAGACGATGAGGAAGATGAAGACGCCATGTCCGTTGTGGGTTCGGGAGTCTCTCCACGACATTAACTAAATATATTTATATTACGAAAATAACAAAATATCGCTTGCAAAATCCTCATGGTTCCACGAAGCATTTATTTATAATTTTTTCCCATTTTCTTTTAAGATAACAGTAGTCAACATTAATATTTTATTTTTGGTATAAACAGCAAAGTTCTCATATATATGTCTTGGCAAAAACAGTAAAATTTTGATTTTATTTTTTTAAAAAAATATCTACATTTCATGAATGAACCTACATTTTTATGTATTTTTTAACCAACTCTTTCAAGAAAAAATCTATCATTTCTTTTTGTTTCAGCAGTCTCTACATATTTTAAAAAAAGTATTTGTATAGATTTTTTTCCTATTTAATTATATGGGACAAATCTAAAACATTTCTATGATTTGTTCCTATAGAATTTTTCAAACATCAAAGATATTAATTTGTTAATTAAAACACACCAAAAACTTGTCATTCAGCTCAAAACAAATTACTAAAAAACTACTGCCATTAAAAACCAATAACTTCCGAAACAATTTAAGATTACATCATTCAAATCATTTTTGAAGTATATTAATAACAACATAATATATTTTCATATTGTATAAATTTAACCATTACAGCACATTATACAAAGATTCACAATAGATATATCTAGCGTACACCACAACATATAAAAGCAAACCACGAGAATAATTCCTTAGAATGCTATCATCTTGTTAGCGTACATCCTTGAAGTATGTTCAATCGCGTATAAAATTATAAGACGCCGTTTCTTCCAATATAAATATACTCTTCAAATTTTGAAAATTAAAAAAAAAAAAAAAAGACGTAATTTCAAAGCAACAAAAACCAAAATTGTTACGTAGGCGTTGAAGTGGTTCTGTCCAATCCATTGTTCCACATCATAGCAAGATCAGATTATATCACTATACACGTTACGTAGGCTTTGTTAAATGTTGATTAACGTTACGTTCGTGATTCTACATCCTGGCAGATTAGGATTAAACACTCCTCTTCCTCTGAACTAAACCGGAATTTCGACAAACCAAACATCTAATTCGGTATAATATCATCTAAACCGAAGCATAACTACATAAGCAAACACTTCTTCTGGTTGTAAAATGTGGATTAACTACAAATGTGCAACGACATCATTCAAGATCACTTCTTTTACTGAAGCACGACATCAGTCAAGATCACTCCCATTCTTGAAATCTGTAAACTTCTGCTTTGTTTCTGACTCTAATGCATTGTACTCCTCTCTCTAAAACTTATTTGAAAGCTTGAGGGTTTCATTTGGATAGGAGTTGAGCAACAGAGGGCCAACTTTTGATATGGACTTGTGTGAGTTGTTTCTTCATGTACATAAACGCAAATCATTTACTAGCAAGCCAACATTACAGACAATTTAACAAAAAAAAAAGAGTGAATTGTATTTAAACTTTAAAGTATCAGGCTTCATTGGATGCATAAACAGAAGAAACACATGGAAACCAGTACCGGCGTGTACCATCTTTATGACCATCATCAATCATCGCAAGACCCTCCTGAAATAAGTATTGCAAACAAGAGTTTCAGAGACCATTAACGATTAGATCCAACTGAGGTAAATGGAGAGGAGAAGACATACTTCTAATAAGGTTTCGAGGGCATCTATAACTCGACCAGATGTCCATGAGTGTCGTCTTTGTACCTCTTCCACAGTCACATAGCCTTGACCCTGAGAATCCTCAAACCAATTAAGATATATACTACTATCACTATGAAGAGATGTTTTGGCTCTTCTTCTTTGATGTTTTATTACCTGAGCCAACTCTAAGATTTGGTTATGGTCTTTGTTTAACTCAGTGGGGACTGAACGGACTAGCTTCTTCTTTCCAACTGTGATAACCTCAAATCCGCTACCCAAAACCTGAGATGTGATCAAGTCCAAGATATCATCAGTAAGAACAATTTTGACTTCTCTTTTCTTTCTATTGAAAAGATTAGGAATAACCTTTAGCTTGCTTATAGCTCGAAGGCAATCATCTTCAGTCACAGCTTCACGGTCTTTTTTTCTTCTCTGGCGAAGATGATTGCACAGCTCTTGTAAGCTAATCAAACCTCCATTATGGGACCTTGTTAGCATACAAACTTCAATTATCTGAACTCCTGTTCAATGGACATGAAGCACAGATCAAATTCGAAACAAGATGTATTTATCTGCTTAGTATTTTTGTATCAAAGAATTCACAGGATGAAGAAACCAAAGCCATTACGATAAGCTTCTTTAGCGATACAGTGTAGAAACATACCCAACTCATAATAGAAGTCACCAATTCCGAGCAGCTCAGCCCAGAAACCCTTGTTTGAAGCTAGAGGATCTACTCCAACTTTAGCACACATTTCATGGAACTGAGCCCTAAAGGCAGGGTTTTTACGAATATCGTTCTGCAACATACGCAAATCATTTGCTTTTCAGAACAATTTTAGCCATTTCAACAACACCAAGCTCTTGATAATAAAAAAAAAAGCGTTGGAATTGAACCAGATTCAATGGCTTATTCGATGATTTACGAATCTACCCAACAGAGATATTATTATACAGAATAAAGTCATCTAAGTAATGAGATGACCTTGTGTTTACGAGCGAATTCTTCAAGTTGAGATTTGAAAGTGGCGAGTTGTTCCTTCATGAGATCCGTGCGTAGCTTCGCAACATTTTCTCCCAGTAAACGGTATTGATCCTTCAAAGATTGAAACCATTAAAAGGAATCAAATCAGGGGAACAGTTTATGAGAACGTTCAAAGTCGGATTTAGAAAGCAAAACAAACCCTAGCAGCCGCAGCTTTTTGCAATCCGCCGATTCCTGGTCGTCTTCTCATTATACTCAATATGTTTTTGATCTTCGAATTTCTCCTTCACCGTCGAGACTCGTCGTCGGAAAATCCCCTTTTGAACTGATTGTAGCTAAAGAGAAACTGATAATTTATTCACTGTTTTGAGAAATAAATAGTAACGAAAAGACACAACAAAAATATCAGAGTGGCGCAGCGGAAGCGTGGTGGGCCCATAACCCACAGGTCACAGGATCGAAACCTGTCTCTGATAACCTTTTATTTTATATTTTTCTGTTTGGACCTAATTGTTCCTAATGCACTTCTTACACCACGTCCAACATTCAATTTCTGACTTCACAAGTAACTGAATTCTGTAATTTTAAATAACAAAACAATACAGAGAGAACCGTAACCTTTTGGTTCGGCTAGTTTTTTTTTCCCCTTAACTTAATTGGGATTATTACAATAAGAAGAAACTCTATCCATTTTCCAAAGTAAGATTTGAAAAGAGAAAATGTGACTGTATATTTAGTATACTGTGTGTCTGTCTGATATCTCTGTCAATTCCAAAATTCAAAAACTGAGCCCAAAAACTCTGATCTAAAAACAATTCTATGAGAAACTAGCTTTTTGCTCTCTTGGCCTACGAAGCTGATACTCCTGTAGCTTCCTTGGGTATCAAGAAAAGAAACAAAACGGGTATATAAGTGCAAAACACTTGAATGGCTAAGCCCATAAACATATTCTCAAAGGACCCTGATGAGATTCCCAGAACTGAAGCCAATCCTGCTCCCATGAATGACCCAACTGTGTTCCCAAGGTTGTTTATCGACATAAACAGCGCAAAGAGTGTTCCTTCAATCCCAGGAGGACATAGACGACCAGACAAGATCAAGAACGGCATGAATCTGCGATTAAACCCAAAAGCGTGCGTTATGAGTTTACAGTTCTTGAAAGAATGTTTCAGAGCAAAAAGAATAGTGAAAGAGACGTACTTGAGTTGATTGATGGCATCACCTAGAGCTGACCCAAAGAGCACCATTGTCTTGTCTGATACTCCGTAACCCACATTTGTTCTTGATACAAGAACCATATCGAGGAGTATTGTTATAGACAGCCCAATGTGAGCAAACCTGCAATGGTATTTTGTTGATAAGTTGACATAAAGAAGGAAATATTGAGATTTAGGGAAGTCTTTGATGTGTGTGGGAAACATTTAGACTTACAAGAGAGACTTGCGTAGAGTCATATTTGTCAGATAACGATTGTAGACGAAGGTTCCAAGCATGAGACCCAACCAACCAACAACACGGGCTGTTCCTAGGAAAGAAGCGTCCAAATTCAAGACCTCGGTTTGGTAATAAAACATGACGGTAGAGAGATTTGGCACAGTGATATGCGCGATGAAAAACCAAGCCATTGGTCTGTAACAACCAGAGAAAAAAGTAAATAAGAAAGAACACACTTAAAAGACCATTCGAAATCTGACTAATCAAGAAAAAGCGTGCTATACCTCAATATAATCGGTTGCTTGAAGGCACGGCATAATTCAAAAGTGGCTGCTTTCAGTGACTGGAACAGCTTTGAAGCTAAAGACTTTGATTGCTTCTTCTGTGTCTCAGACTTTCCACTGGAAGTTCCTTTTCCACCTTTCTTCTTCCCTTTCCTTCTTCTTATATTGGACTTAACCGTATCTCGATCATCGTCGTCATTGCTCATCTTGCTTTTCTCTTCAAACTCCTCCGAATCCAGCAGCTCAGGCAATGGTTCAGTGCTCGCAGGGATTTCTTCAACCAGAGCACAAGAAAATAGCTGTAACGCAGGTAACACCGTGAAAAGGAGGAATATCGTTTCTATCTTCAAGTTGGTTAATGCATAGCCTCCTAATAAACTACCGCATATTCCTCCCACGGCCATAGCAAACCATGATACAGACTGAAGATCTCCAGCAAACGAAGCCCTGTTGATAAACGATTAAAAGTCAACTTAACTAATGAAATACAATGATCTTGTTAAGAGTAGTAGATCCGGAGACTGAAGATCACATAGTCTTACTTACTTTTCGAGTCTTACTGCCTCAGCAATCATTGCATCTACCACAACATCAGCCATGGCTGATCCAAGATTCTGGACGGTCAAGAAAATCATCAGATAGAGACTGGAACTTCGCGAGGTTGAATCTAGACCAAGCAAGAGCCATGGCACAAGAGACAGCACAGTCGATATCACCAAATACGGCGTCCTCTTTTTCCCTCCGATTGGGATACAATCTGAGATGATCCTACAAAAAAAAAAGAAGTAAAAGAGAAAGAAACATGTCATCATCACTAAGCTCCTCCTACTCTCTCTCTCTTTCTCTCTCTGCCATGTTAGCTTGATTCATACCCGTATAATGGTTTTATGCTCCATGGAAAGAAAGCTACAGAGAAGACAAACTGAGAAGCTGATGGTGATAACTGAAGCCTGTCTTTGAGCTGGTAAGAAACAGCTGTCCACACGAACGATCTAAATCCCTATATACATACCAAAAAAAATCAATTTGAGAATTCATGCAACGTATTTTCAATAGCTAGTCCTAACTTTCTACAAGATTAACTCACCAATAACACGTAAATTTAGCAAACCGATCTCAACAAATATACAACGATCGTCGAATTATCTAACCAAGGCTACTTGGAAACAAACACACGAAAGTCTAAGAAAACAGAGGAAAACGAAAATACATTATGATCCAATAACATTCGTCAAATCATAAGCTTCGAATCTATGATCGCATTTTGGATTCATGAGATTGAGATTTGGTGTAATAAGAACGATAACGGAATAATGGATTCTCATGTATATCAATAAATCCTTAAATAGAAATCAATCACCATTTCTGTTTTGGTTCAACGAGAATCGCCATCTTCAGATGAAAGAACGGAAACAGAAGGAAAAATCCAGAGATTGAAGGAGAGAAAGGAAAACCTGAGTGAAGTAAATGAGGCAAACGATCCACAGAAACGCGACTCCAAACGCCGATCGCAGCTGCTGAAACCAATGTATCATCATCTTATTGCAGAATTAGTCAATACAGCTTCTTCCGATCATCAAAATCTCTTTCGCTTCTCTTTCTCAGGAAAAAAATATGCGCTCGATACCTTTTATAACGAAATTTCTTTCCCAGATTTTTGGTTTCGTCGTCCCAACATTCAATTTTTCGGTTGACTGACGCAAAGAATGACGACGAGGATATTTACGTCCTTTCACAACAAAAAGCTTACTCAGGCGTGAGACACGTCGTGGAACCTATAGCAGTTAGACACGTCATCTGTAGGACCCATTCAAAATCGTCTGTTTTTTTTTTTTTTAATCTCCCCCTCTCACCGCCTTGTGAGACTAGTCTCCTCCCTTTGACTTTAACTAAAGACTCCATTTCTCAAATTTGCTCGATAAATGATAATCAGAAAACCTTGACTATGTAAAGAAACTAGGCTGCATTTGCAAATCGAAAATATATTTGTTATATTATCATAGTATGATCCTATTATTACAAGTTTGTAACTTACAAAAGGACTTGAAAAGTCACCTCTTTGAATCAGCAATAAGAAGGTGCATAATGGGGTCGGTACACAAAAGGTTTCACGGCATGAAAGTAACCGGAAGGGCGGTTATAAGTGAATTTGATTCCGGTATTGACTTGGTTTAGGCGGTTGCAAGTCGTGTGGAAGCTGCTGATGGGTCTTGCAAGGCAAGCGTCCCAACGTTCGCTCTCTGGCATTGTCTCTGCAACTGTGTAGACACCTTTTGAGTTTGTGAAAGCTTGATAGTTCACAACTTCTCCAGATTTGGTTATGCAGAGAACCGCAACCTCAGCTCCTGTATATATATACACAAGAAATATTGAACAACAACAACTCGAAAATGTATGAACATACTAACTAAGAAGTTCCAGAGAGACATGAATCGATTTTATTACTTGATCCATGTAATAAAGAAACCAAATTTGAATAAGAAAACTTGATAAGTTTTCACATAAATGTTGTTCATGTCCAAAATTTTACAACCAAAAATTGCAGTAAGTGATGCCAATGTATAAATTTACAACAATTTGATGTGTGAGAAATTGAGAATCGCTAGAGAGAAGTGCTATTGAAATAAACAGTGATCACTCTGAATAAATCCCTCAGATGAGTTTCAACACACGAACAAAGCGACACTCTTTCTCTAAACCACTACTGAAAACTGAATCCAGAATTCTATACAGCTAAATCCAAAGAATTTCACAAAATCAGACTTGTTTTCTTTTTTTCCCGACAATCGAACACCAAAAACTTGTCTAGAGAGGAGACATAATATGCATAAAGTGGGACTAACCTTCAACAACATGATCTTCTGGTCCGATTGAAGAATCGGCACAGACATCGCATACAACTCTGCCGCGAATCTCGCCAGTCCACGCGTCGACACCAGAAGCTTCGAAGATCGCAATCATCACGAACAAACCCATCACTAGTTTACTCATCCGCGAATCCATGAGCGCGAAAAAAACTCTAATCTTTTCGTTTTCTTCCTGAGACAAGAACACGGTGGCTCAGAACAGAACTTGTTAAATGTTAAACTGTGAAATGGCCGGAGACACACACCTACTTGTACATTTTGTCGGTCGTTCTCAAAGTTTTAAACTTCTAATTGATGAAGAGAGTTCCAACGACGTCTAAACGGCAGCGTTTCTTTAATTTTCCTAAATTATGTTTTTCATACAGTTCAAGAGATTAGGTTAGGCTTCTTATATAATTTGCATTTTTTCTTCGTTCTATAAAATTAATTAATTAAACCATCTGGTATCATTTTGTTACAATTGATAACTTAAGGCTAAAGGTGTGAAAAAGAGTTTTAAGAGTTCTTAATATATAATTAGCATATTTCCCAAAAAGTAGAACATAATTAGTTGCCGAGTCTAATTAAATCATTGGAGTAATCTACTCTATACTGTAAAATCAGGAACGTGTACGTTGACTAGTCGCTGCCATTAATTCACTCCACAAGAAAACTCAGATTTCAAAACCAATCAAAGACAGAACCAAAGATTTGATTTTTGATTGTCAAAATCGTAATTTTACACAATCTTCAATGCGGGTCCTGTATCCAGTTCGATCAAATTACGTCGACGAGTTCCAAAGGTTCTGAAATTTAATTAAAAGCAGGATTTGGCTTCTGCTCGCTTGATCGATTTCGAATCGGTAAGTTTTTTCTTCTGGTGATCTGTTGAGATTATTGGCTATGGTTCTTTTTAAGATAGAGGAATTTGTGATTGTTCTTATGAGCTTTATCTGGAGAACTTTGATAAGATTTTGACCCATTTTCTGGGATTTACTTCTTTCTTGTTCGAATATGACTAGTCATTTAGTCAAGCTTAGAAGCCAAGAATGTCGCTCTCAGGATTGGTTTACTCCAAATCATTTGTCTCTAAGGTTTCGTTTTCCTCTTTTCCCCCTATTTCTCTATGTTGAAACAAGTCTGATATATCTGATGTTCTTAAAGAGAAACCAGAGGTCTTGTTTAACTGTGTCTTGTCTAGAATCAGTAAATACTAAATCGCCTTGGATGCTTTTATCTTCCCATCTTATTAGTATGGCTAAGATTTCGATTTTCTGCTGGAATTAAACCAATTTATTTTGCAGTGCTTTGATTTTCATATTTCTTTTCTTTTGACAATAAAGCATTTGATATGACTTGAAACTGGTATACATGTAACGTTCTTGAAAGTCAAGAGTTGTGCAGTACAGAATTGGTTTCTTGCTCTTACTTTGTGTTTGCAAATAGCTTTGCAGCATCAATCAACTGCTCATTTTCACAATTTGTTCTGTCTATGGAATTCTCAAGTTCCTTAATCTCTGCTTCAAAGTTTGCTTAAGTAACAGAAACTGGAGCTACTAAATCTTTTCACATGAATTCCTCAAAAAAGCTGCAAAAACTCTGCTGAATTTGTTTGGTTTTCTGCTTATTTGATATAATAAGGTTGCTTATTCTTCTAGATTGATGCATTCCTTGCTTATTCAGCTTTGTTTTCAGAGACCCGTGAAGCCGAACAGAACTCACAATGGTTCAGAAGCTTGAACTGATCAGAGGTGGAGGAGGATCGATAAAAATAGGAGCAACAGGAACAGTCGCAACTCTAATGACTCGAGAGCTAGACTCCATGAAACAGCCTTCCCCTCAGACTCCAACATCGAAACCCATTAGAACAACAATCCCTGTCTCAGTAGACTGTGGCACATCTTCTACAACTCCAAGAAGACAGAAAGCAAGAAAGTCATCAGACGAAGCTAGCAGCAGCAGCAGCAACAATGTTAGAACACCAAAGGGTCACAGTGCCAAAAGCAGTAATCAGCTTCCAATGGTTGGCTCTGATAATGTTAGAACACCAAAGGGTCACAATACCAAAAGCACTCATCAGCTTCCAATGCTTGGATCTGATAATGTTTCGTTGCAAGGAACACCGAGGAGAGAGAAGAGAATGAACATTGTGGATATTGTGGATGTGAAATGCGGGAATCCAGATCGAGCTTGGGCTAATCCGATAACCAGTAGACTCAAGAAGCTTGGCTTCTCTAAGCTCAATGAGAGCATTGTTTAAAAGCTCTGAAAACTTTGCCTTGTACAACTCTGTCACATCCGGTTTGTGTTATGGTATGAACCGGTTTCAATCAAATTCACAATGTAATCTTTCTTTGTCAAACCAACAGTGTGACTGTAAACGGAGCTTTTGGTCTCATTACATTCATTTTGTTTTTTGGCATCCTTCTTTATCCCCCCCAATACATAAAAGACAGATGCGTTACAATCTTTATTCGAAATTCCTAAAGATTAAGGTTTTTTTATATCTTTTTTCTTTATGCTGAAAATCGATTTGTCAACCCTAGATTGAATGCATTTTTTGTGTGGATAAAATGTAGAAGAAATCGATTATGATGATTTGAAAATAGATATAGAAGAAATTAAAATAAATAGATTTGGTTAGTTAGGACCAGCCACATCATTGAACTAAAATGTTCGGTAACAAACACTTATCATCATGAGTTTCATAAGCTGTTCAAGTCTCTTGTGATGCGCATCCACGTGGTCCAACACATCAACTGGTTTTTTCTTGGTTTTTTCTAGTATAAATTTTAGATTATCTTTTAAAGAATTGTTTTATATTTATCCGCTTTGTATGTATTTTTCGGCTTAATTTGTATTTAGAGAGTAAGAGATTTTGTCCCAAAGAGTGTGTATTGGAGTTTAGATTCTAGTTGTAATTTCGATTTTTTTATAGGCTCGTAGATAGTTTTAATGGTCTTGCGTTAAATCCTTTATTTGTGGATAGCTTGAACAGTTTAGTAAGATGTTAGAAATTTTACATACGCATCGATGTAATTAATAAAAAAGGCTTGTGTTTTATTTGTCTTGATGTTGTGTTTAAAGTTAAGCAGACAATTGTTAACAGTTGATGAGATTCAATAATACAAGAGAGAAGAGTTTTTGTTTTGTTTTATTGTGTCTGAGACTCTGATGTAAGACTCCACCAACAAGTTATTTTATCATCAACCAACTCCGATTCAATAAACATATATGCTTAAAGAAAAACGCTATTCTAGGAAAAACTATCTATAAATTTGTTGTATATGTGTGTTGTATTGTGATTTGGAATCAGAAATATAATAACTTGGGTGGTTCTAGTGGTTAATTAGACCATTATACTTATGTTTATAAGATAATCGATACATCCATGGACCATGGAACTCTCCTATAGACTACGCATAATGACTAAACAATTATAATCTTTTACTTTTTTTTTAACTATCATATAGACAAAGTTTCTGAGTGAAGATAAAGATTCCATGCCGACAACGAACACGTTATCTAGATTCTCCTACATTTTTCTAAACAAAACGTTTAAACGTCTAAGAAAAAATCATCTGATATCTACATATATTTGTTTACGAATTGACGTCCAAGAACCATAAGATACAAAAGCTTGTGACTCCAATTAAATTCAATACTAGTATTTATCGTGACAATTGACATCCACTTGTTGTAGATGTTGGATTTAAAATGAAATTTGGTAGCCAAAGAAAAGTTGTTAAAAGGAAGTACAATTCTTAACATAATCTTTTGTCGATTAAAAAAAAAAAAAATTAGTGTATCCAACAAATAGTAACTACATCAACGCACACATGTTATTTTATCTTTTGTCGCATATATTATTATTTTACTTACATTATTCTCTAAGAAACTACTACTTTTTAAAAAGACGAGAAACAAAAAATGGACTTTTTTTTTGTTTCCTTCAACAAAACGCTTCTCAAGATTCTCGTGCTTTGTGTTCTATATTGGAGTTACTATTTTAGCCGTATCATCTCCATTCTCCAAGACTCCAACAGTAATCAGTTGCTTCTTATTTCATTTTTTATGTGATTAGGTCAGGTGTATACAGTATACCACCATATTTGATAACTCTTTCCTTGCTCAGTAACATTAATAGATTTCGTATAATCGTATTTACACAGACATAGTCGAATATGAAAACACGGTAGGGAAATATTACTAATGAATAAATTCAGTTGAAAAATCAAATGTTGACAAAAATAAAAAGGTTAAAGATGAATAATCAAATGACTAGTGAGAAGTGACACGTACACTTGGAGTTTACTCCATGGGAAGATGATAAACTTTGACCATAATACCCTTCCATTGCAAAATGCCAAGAACTAGACCAATAGGCTTAAACGCATCAACTAGGGGTATTTTCGGTATTTCGTGAGACGACGGGTCAACCACCAATCCATCATATAACTGATAACTTCCAATTACACAGTAACAGCAAACGAATAAACATTTTAGAAAAGGAACGAAAGAAGATGTGAGCTTGTGATAGGTGAACGCCAAAAGATCACATCTCTCTCTGTTTCAATGGCCGAGAAAATCAATGAGATCGCAGGGAAGATGACTCCTTTCTGCCGGAAAATAGTTCACGTGAACATAAAATGGAGAATCATCGAAAGGGTATCGATATTTGGAGATTTCTTTAGGTTTCTATGGAGAAGAATCGTTTCTTGTTCAAGTATCATCGAGAAACCTATTCTTTACCGGCGAATCGTTCACCGGATTTCTTCCACCGCCGGCGAGATCTTTGACGGTGATGAAACCGGATTCGAACCGACTGTTTCCGGTAGAGGGCTCGGTTCAAGTTCGGATTCAGATTTGGTTAGTCTCAAGATCAGCTTATTAGGCGATTGTCAAACAGGGAAGACTACTTTTGTAGTACGTACTATGAAATCTTGTGTTAATTAATTACTAACGACACGTTTATAATTCTACTTCATTTAATGGATTAATTCTTATATAGATCAAATATGTCGGAGATGAGAATCAAGGTTTCTTGGAGATGACGGGTTTAAATTTAATGGACAAAACGTTTTACGTTCAAGGAGTTACGATTTCGTTTAGCATTTGGGATGTAGGAGGTAAGTCAACTTAATACTTATTAATCAAATTACAAAATGCAACCAAAAACCATGATTGGTGATTAGTTTGTTAACTAGTAGATTATATCAATTATTGTAGGTGATGAAAAGAGGTCCAAAGATCATATACCGATTGCTTGTAAAGATTCAGTAGCAATTTTATTTATGTTTGACCTAACCAGCCGGTCTACTCTTAACAGGTTTTGCAATTTCTTCATCAATTTTCTATCTTTCTTTCACTTTCTGTTTTCTTAATTTTTTTTTTTGAACTCTTGAATTTTCTTGTTGCTAGTGTCTTTGGGTGGTATAGCCAGGCAAGAAAATGGAACACGGTACGTGTCATATCTAGTTTTTAGCAATTAAATAAAACAATCACATCAATCATTTTTTTGTTGTTGTTTAGAGATCCTTTGGTCTATCTATTTCTGTTTTTGGTTGAGATTTGTTTTTCTATCTTAATTTAACTTTAGGTGTTTAATTTAGAAAGCAAAGAAACCAAATCCAATTTGTGTTGTTCCATTCATATACGAAGTCAATTTGAATTCGAGTTAGTTAATAACAAATTGTATAACTGGTTTTCAAAAATATCAACTATATTTTTTTTTTATTATTATGACGTTGCTGCTTTTTGGATACATAATTACAAAAACTACTAATAGGAACTAATAGGAGCATATCATAAATATTTGGAATCTGATTCCAATCAAATACTTTTCTTAAATTATTGATGAGATGATACAGTATTGTGTTTTCTTCTGCCAGACGGCAATTCCGATTCTAATAGGAACAAAATTCGATGACTTCGTTCGGCTCCCACCCAATCTACAGTGGACAATTGTCACTCAGGTATACTAATCATGTAAACTTAATCATTTTGAGACCCGTTTTCAATTATATATTACGTTTCCATGATTTCAGCAATATGTTCTTTTGTGATCATTTGTATAAATATATTTTAGTATATAAAAAGAGATTAATTTTGGTTTCATTTGATTATATGAAATAACTAGGCACGAGCGTACGCAAAGGTGATGAAGGCGTCATTGTTCTTTTCAAGCGCGACACATAACATAAATGTGAACAAGATCTTCAAATTCATTTTGGCTAAACTTTTTAATTTGCCTTGGAAAATTGATAGAAATTTGACCTTAGGTGAACCCATTATCGACTACGATTCATAATTAAGTTTTTTTTTTTCATTTTATTTTAGTTTTGAACTTTTAATATATCACTTATGTACATAAACTTGAAAAAAAAAGAATGAAAAGAAGAGTTGATCGATGAATATAATTTTACATTTGATCCAATTGAAGAAAAGAAATAACTAATGTAGTTTTGAAGAAAATAAAAGATTAGTAGCGTTGCAAACGCAGCGGTTACTCAAACCAAAGCTGAAAAGTGAAAAACTGATTCGTGTAGTATTAAAACTCAAAATGAGCTCAAAGGTTAAGATGGTCTGCTTGGTAAATACGAAGATAGAAATCCATCATTAGCTGGAGTTCCCAAGTGTTATAATCAAAATTTGCATGAGAAACAACTATATGAAATGATAAAAGTATTCATTTTCAACAAGATTGATGAGAAGTGGAGAGTGAGTGTTCCATAAATGGATATGGTACATTTATGTAAGAAAGAAGGGTATTATATGATGGAAGCAACAACCGATGTCGATCAGTGATGGTACTTTGGTGAAATTGGTTATGTTGATCTCTCTCTTCATCTTTATCAAGCAATAAACGCAGCGATCCTCTAATACATAGATACAATATATGGACCGTTGCATTTATAAAGTATAAAAAACCGTAAAAGACAAAACTCCTCTTGTATCTTTTTTTTGGTTCGGTAAGGGAAAACAAAAATAAGAATAAAGAAAATATAATCTGAAAAAAAAAACACTGTTATTTCAACGGCTCTAACTGAATCTCCATCCTCCCTCCTCCATTTCTACCTTCTTCATCATCTTTATCTCTGAAACCTCCTCTCGAGTCTATTAGATCAATCGAATCATCTTCTTCAACATTCCCTAAAACCCAGTTTCCTCTGCTCAGATTCCTCGCTCTTCTTCTTCCTCGTTCCCTGTACTCCAAATACGCAACGGTGACCACTCCGAGGAAGACCCACAACCCGAGGGCCAAGTTAAGCCCGTCGACATTCTCCGCTCCATTCCGTTCACCCAAATGTTTCATCCCCGTGAAAAGCGCGACAACTCCGATAACAACAGCCGACTGTCCGACGATCGAATGAGAATACTCCCAGATCAATCGCCTCGTAGTGATGAATTCTCCTTGAGCTGGTTTCGCAGGTCTTAGCCAAGCGTTTACAGGCTGAGCACAAGCCAAAACTATGGCTGTGAAACCGAACTTGACGTGCGATGAACTGAAGCTGAAACCGTTAAGCTCAGCTACAGCGAAGAGGAGGCCGAGGAAGACAATGGCTAGTCCTGAACACTGAAGATACATATGAATCTTGAACCATCCATCTCCTTTGATGTGTTTCAGGTATCTCGCTGATAATATCCCTCCGGGGAGCAAGATTCCCCAAGCGAGGAACATCATGAACCCGTGAACACCCAACACCGGTCTGAGATCTTGCTCCGCTTCCGCGGATCCACGCGTTAACATAACCCGAACAGGTCTCTGACTCGTAACCGAGTGCATGTTCCTCTCAGTTAACTGACCATCTGTCCATTTAGCACCCATCGCCCAAATCACTTTAAGAGGAGTTGTGGGATCGATCATGTTCTTACACTCGGGTCTATCTCTGTCTCGATGGCTGCACGACGGTTTCAAGGGGCGGGTAAACTCCAGCGTGATGATCCCTTCCTCGGATTTGCATCTCACGAATGTCATGTTCTCGGTCGTGGGATGCACGGAGGAAGCGGATTCTCCATCGATCCAGTAAGTATTTACATGCCCTGTTCCGTTTCTATCGAACCAACCAACATAAGCAAAACTGTTTGTCATCTCGCTGCCGAAACCAATCGCAAGGTACCCGCTTTTCTTCTCTCCACGAGCTGCGATCGATATCGAGTCACCTACTATGGTCCAAAAGAACTTAACTTGCTGATCATCTAGATTCACACTGTTGTTGTACATATCCGAGAGCCCACCGTCAACGACCTGAACTTTCCAACCCATCTTCTCTTGAAAAATCGAGTGATAATAGAGTTGGTCAGGTGTGTTTCTATTAGGAGACCAAACCAGCTCCAAAGGACTCGCCGGTACTCCGTGAGTTTCTTGCCCACCGGCGTAGATCGTCTCTGATCTGTTCCTTAGAGAAGCATTCCCACCAAGAAAATCCGAAGTTATGTAGAAAGAAACGTCGTGTCCTGCTCCTATAGAGAACTTCACAGGAACACCTCTCTCAACTCTCAGCACCGGCGCTTCTTTCTTGTTGATATACAGAACCTTCGAAGGATTCGGAGGGTTCGGGTAATGCACGGACGGTCCAGCGGTGACGACAAGAGGTGCGTTGGCATCGGCGATGATCACACCTTGATCGTACTTATTGTCTGCATCCAACGGTCCCAAACATTCATCCACGTGATCCGAGAGGTTAAGCGAGAAATGCCCGAAGTTCTCCGATTCCACACCGCCGTGATTCTCGGGGAGATAGTAAGGGTTAATAACATCCGGCGGTTTTATCACCCCGAGTGCCCAAATTACCGTCAGGCTCTTCGTTGGATTCACAGGGAAATCGAACTTGTTATCACTATCATTCAACGGTCTCCTATACCTAACAAACGAAACTCCATCTATCCTATGCCCGTAAACCAGCTTTGTGTTATTAACCGAAGAGCCAAGCGCATCTGATCCTTCATACACAGTGTCAGGACAAACCCCAGAAGCAGAACCTTCCTTGACAGAGCAAACACTCGACTTTGTGATGTAGAAATCATCAGCGAAAGGGAAGCCGTCCTCTCTGATACCGGTGACCACAACATCAGCATTCAACATCAGGTTCGACGTAGAGTTCGGGTTAGCCCAACCAAACGCCATGTAGTTGAGCAAACCAGTCGTAGCCTCTAGACCAATATCTACATAGCCTTCATCTGCATTCAAGCTCCACCTGAGCCTATACTTATCCGAAAGCTTCTTGCAGTTATCAAACATGGTGGGAGCCTTAAAGGGCTCGCTGCTATTCGAATTCCCTAAAGGAACATCTTTGCTCTCTGAAGAAGATGAATCTGGCTCTGTGGTGTTCGAGAGCAGAACATGCCCAAAGTCAGAAGCAGTAGACAAATCCCAAACCGAAACCACGCCTAATTGATCCCATGTAACATTACCCAGCAAATGGACGACGAAAGATTGGTTATTGAATGTTTGATTAAGCTTGTGATCAGAGATCACGAAGCCATTGTTGGTCATGTTCTCGAAATCAGAAGCCATCGCACCCCACCAATGAACATCAGAGCCAGAGAGCATATCGAAACGAGAAACCCTGAAGGAGCAATCGTCGACGACGGTGAAAACCCCTCGAAGCTGGTGCTGAAACATCTTGAACTCGGACTCGAACCCGATCAATGAGCTTGAGTTTGAGCATCCTCCTTGCCCGTTTACGAAGAAGAGGAAGAAACCCAGCACGAGAGACCCTAGAAAAAAGGGTCTTTGATCACACATGGTTGGGTAGAAATTTTGTTTACTCAGAAATACAACCAAACCCAGATCTGCAAACACAGCATATATCAACTCGCGGAAGCTTCTGATCTGAAAATCAAACGACGAAGCAGATCACAATCGCGATTCAAAACTCTAGATTTAACCAATTCGGAATCAGACGAGAAGTGAAGATTACCTCGGGTTTGCTATACAGATCTTCGAAAACATTAATGGATCCCGAAGATTTGAGGAGAGAGATTCGTGCTTCCGAGAAAAATTATTGATTTTTCAATCTGAGAGAGGTTTCGCCGGAATTAACTTTCCGGCATTAGATTTCGTTTTTTTTTTCCGATAACCAAAACAACTTTAAGGATCTTTCTCGCAAATATGCTTTCGCTTGTACAAAAAAGAGACGGTGAAAGCAGAGTTACGAATTAAGATTTTAAATTGGGTAAAATGTCACTAGATTTTGTGATTTAAATCTAATTTTATTATACTATTATTATTGACTGGACTGTTGAACCATTTTCTATTACAAATGTGGCAATTTCTTTACTTTTTGACTTTTGTTACGTACATATAACACCAAAGTGCTAACTATCATTCTGAATCAATCTCTACAAAAAGTTATTTTCTAGTGACGACACTGGTTCTAGAATCGATAGAAATTTAATATTTACTTCTGTATACTTTCTCTGACATAAATTCTTATAATGATAAACTGCCAGTACTCTCTATTCTTTCATATAAAACAAAACAATACAATCTAAGTATACAAAATTTACCAATCAGCTAATATTAGGCTGATCATTTATTTATATAATAAAACTTAATATTTCAAAATTAATAATCAATATGATTACGATAATTAGATTATAATGATTTAGATATAGAGCTGATTAGTAACATGTGTAACTTTATGTTTTTACTGAAAAAATATGATTGTAAATTTTTTTGATAGCGTAGATTTTTTTTTTTTAATTTTAACTGTAGAATTGTAAAATTTTAAAAACATAAAATTATATATTTTACAAAAATATGCTTTGTACAGTAAAAAAAATAAAAAAAATAATTTTTTTGATTGTGATCTAATAAAAGAAAGATAAAATTTATAAAACATAATTGATATAATTTAAAATTTTAAAAATTAAATGATAAATATTACAGCACTAACTAATCAAGCACATATACATATGTAGATTTAGGGTGCAAATAGTTGTTATTAAAAGTAACAGTAGAATGAGTTAGAATTTTAGAGAACCTAATCTATATTTCCAGAATAGACCTCACAACCCAAACAGATCTAAGACCGAACGATCATCGAGAACAAAAGAATCATAAAGTAAAGAAGACGACACTAATATAACGTGTTCAGGTCCAAACCGGATCCCTAGCTAGGTCCACCCAGATAATCTATCATGAGTTCCACTAGCTTCTCTTAGCTGATCAGTCTCAAGCTCTTCCAAAGTGACTCTCTCTCTCTCTCTCTCTCTCTCTCTCTCTTTCCTAGCTAATACTTTCGATAACAGCTTCATCGAAGCAAGATCAAACGAGTACTGAAACACATTCCACCGAGCTTCTTTCCGGAAAACATTTTCACCCACATCTTCATCAGGACTCAGGAGAAAGAGATATGAAGCATAACCATTCAGTGTTGGATTGAATATGTTTTGGCAGATTGAGGAAAACTGCAGCTTATGAGGGGAAGAAGATAGAGCTAAGATATGAGACAATCCAACATGGGTGGATGGATATACGTTGTTGTTAGGGATTCAATGATATGTCATTTGAACTGGAAAATTACATTTTGGTAGTAATGGCTATTACATATATACCAATGTTTCAGATTTGGATTTCAAAAGTAAAACATAAAGAGGAAAGCCAAATTAATAATGACCTAAAAGCAGGAAGAATAACAATTGAAACTAAAGCACCAAAATATAGTTGATCCCGATCTGTTTCGAATCGATGTAGTTGATCTCTCAACATACACGAAACATATTATTATAAATATTATCTCTGTTACACAGAGCCCTCAGTTTTTCGGAGGGTATTATTAAAACAAAACAAACAAACAAACAAACAAAAACAAACAAAACCGGAGTACTCAACCCGGAAACATCAATACTCAAAGTTCAACAAACTGAATTAAAAACGAAAAAAGACATCACTAAATGGGTGAAACGAAACCCATTAGTGAAACAGTCTTGAAAAGATTCACCTTCTCAAGTATTGTGCACAAGGCACATGAACATGCTTCGAACTTCGCTGCAACATCTCGGCTCCTTCATCAACAAACCTCTTTTTGTCCTCGTCCACTCCAAACGGCACGTACAGCTCAACCCTTTCCAACACAGCCCCGGACCGAATCAGAAACTTGAGCACATTTAAATCGTCCCGGCCACGAACAAAGTTCTTAACCACCACGACTTTAAGTGTCTTCATCAGACAAATACATCTCATCTTTTTCATCCAATATGTTTTGGGATCGAAGCTAGGAGGATTTTTCCGAGCCTTCTGCAAAGTATAAAATCATTGTCGTGTCTCGTAAATGTATAATTCATTTTTTGAGGTATATGAGAAATATACATTAAAAAAAAGAAAAAGAAAAAAAACAACTTACGGAGGAGGGGGTTGGAGGAAGAATGTCGAAAGTAAGTGTTTCCAGGTCGGGGCAATTACTGAGAAGGATCATAATCCCATTGAACTCTTTCGGATTCAACCATGTTTTCAGCACCAAATGTTTTGTCTTCATCGGCCTCAGAAAATGCTCCCGATGGATAGATTCTGGAATCACCTGTCCATAAGAAAAAACATGTTACTATCAAAACTACATTTTAACATCCTACATACATATATACATGCTACTTTTAGGGCATTGCTCTTTATATTCACTAGGTCACTATTTGAATCATACTCGCGAATAAATCCTCTTAATCAATAAAATGGCTTTAATAGATTTAGTCACGGGTACGGAAACATTTATATTGTCTCCTGGTGGAAAGATTCTGTTCAGATCGCAATGAGTTTGATACACACTCAACCTAATGATTTGAAATTACTAATTAATAGCTAATCTGTTTATACAACATCTACATCTTCGACATAGTACTTTCTCTTAAACTAGGCAACAGTTACTATACTACCACATCGTCAAGAACTCAAACGTTTCCAAGAACCATTTAAAAGATCTCTTATAATGATTGAGCTATAATATGTCTTAAACTAGGCCACAGTTACTAACTACTACCACATCGTCAAGAATTCTAACATTTCCAAGAACCATTTAAAAGAACTTATAATGATTGAGCTAACATGAAAGTATATAGATATACCTGAAGGAGGTAAGGGCAGAGCGTTAAGGTCACATGAGACTTAAGATCATTAAGGATATCACAAATCATTCCTCCTTCTGCTATGTTTGATTTGGAGGGATTATCGCACTGACGTATCAACTTCCGAAAATCCAGGTGAATTTCTTTTACGGTCGTATTCATCTTGTCGAACTGAAGACAGAAGATGTCTCCTGTGTACTTGAAGATGTCAACTCTCGGCAGGTCGAAGGACAAAGAAACGTAAGGGAGGTCGCAGTTCTCAATCGAAACTTCCCTCATACCCCCTGCCATGTCCATCATATAGATCCCCCAGCAATGATTGAGGCTTAGTGTCTCAAGCCTAAAAGCCTTCGATAGCAGTTCGTCGAGATCATACAATTTCATCCAGCCGAGAGAGAGGGATTTGAATATCCCCGGGTCTGCGAACCTCGTGGGGTCGAACCCCTTGCACCCGATAACCGTCAACGACTCTAGACTGGTTAGGTTGTAAACGCCTGGAGGCACCTCAACAACGACCTCATCACGTGGCGCACGGCCAGTCCTCCTCCAAACATGGCTTGAGAAGTCAATAGCCAGGTTCTTGACTTGCTTCCGGACGGCGAACGCGATCAGGGCCTGGACCTCTTGCAAGTAGTCCACCGGGTTTGAGAGACTGATCTCGAAGCCTTCGACGACTCCATGTTGGACTCTATCGACCCATTCAAACACGAAGTCAACAAAGCGCTGCCTAGCATCAATTCTAGCACGACCTTGGAGATAAGGGCTCACGAAATCGGATTCCTTGAAACCAAGGTTTGTTGTGTCACGATGTTGATGCCTCCACCGCTTGGACAGCACGCTTGTACGAACACATTCCTTGAAAGGCAAGCATGAGACAATCCGAACAAGAAGATCGTTCGGAAGAGTCGATATCAGATCTGCCTGAGCACTCATGGACATGGTTGTGAGAGAAATGTGAAGAAGAGATTCGAAAGACGAGATCAGATGTGTCTGCGGATATGGTCTGATGGCTTAGAGGCCACATACAATGTTTCTCTTCTATATATAAGATTACTTGGCATGTTGGGTTGTTGTAGAACCTAGTCAACAGAGAGTAGCGTATTATGGCTAACTTTCCATATAAGTGGTATACCTCATATAGACAGTTAAGAGACTTACTCTAAAAAGAAGATTGACTAACACGTTTGAACTTATCTCTTTACCTCCCGACGATAACACTAGACAGAACAAATCATCTACGTCTTCTCAAGGCCCATGGAATTCGACAGTCTGGCAAAAAAAGCGATCTATATATGCTATGTACAACTTTTTTTTCTTCTAATTATATAACGAATAGATATGATTATATATAAGAAAAATTCAAGAAATGTGTCATCAAATTATCCAATCTGATCCCTTCACAATTAATTTCAAGCTAATGAGGTTTTCATAATTAGTAATCATCTATCAAGATAATGTTGATTTTCTAAAGAGCTATTTACCTACAATAACCTTACTAAATAGGGTATTTACTAGAATAACACCCTTTTACAACTGACTAACTAAAATAACCTTATAAATTTGTGCAAAGACATAAAAATCTAAACGAAAATGCCATAAAAAAATATGTTATTTTCATAATAAAATAAAGAAAATAAACAAAAATATTTTTTGTTGCCCGATAAACAAAGAGAAATGAAAAAAAAGAGCTAAAAATCTTTAAAAAAAAAAGGTCGACGACGAGGAGATTTGTTGCCCGATTTAAAGAAAGCTTTTCCAGCTGCGTCGTAGGCGACAAATCGGTGCACAGCGTCGGCAGAGCAAAGGTCGGCGGCGTCATAGGCGACGGATCGGTGCGCAGCGTCGGCGGAGCAAAGTCGTCGGCGGAGCAAAGGTACCGGGAGTTTTGAGTTTAATTTTCCGGCTGTCTGACTTTGAGCTTCAAATCTTAAGAGCATATTCGTTTATTGCAGAAAACTGTTTATCGGGATTGTTTAGATCCGCCGCGGACAAATTGTTTTGCCTCTCCGTTGAGAAAGCTAAGCTCCGCCGCCAACAATATTTTTTTGGTTACGAAATTGCTTTGTTTATCGGGATTTTATGAGACAACAAAAACTAATTGTTACTTATCCCATTTTTTTTACAGATCTATCGGAGCTCGGATTGGTACAAAGTTGACCGGTGAAAACAGTCCGCTCGCCTGAGAAGATTATTCCGGTGAGGATTTACAGAGCCGTTATGGTAGATTTTTAATATATGTCGGGGTAATGGTGGTAGATTTGTTTGACAAATTAGGTTTTCGTTGGTATAGGATGGTCGTGGTGGTCGACTTGTTTGATATATGGTATATAGTGGTGGTAGATTTGTTTGATGGCTTAGTTTTTATTGGTATTAAGGATGGTCATGGTGGTAGATTTGTTTGATTGTGGTGGTAGATTTGTTTGATAGTGGTGGTAGATTTGTTTGACAACTTTTGTATTGGTGGTAGATTTGTTTGATAGCTTTTGTATTAGTGGTAGATTTGTTTGATAGCTTTTGTAGCGACGGTAGATTGGTTTGATATCTTGTTGTTTGATATCATATGTATAGTCAATTTGTTTCATAGATGTATTGATTGATATATATTTGTTAAAATTTTGCAGGTTATATGGCATCTTCAAATGATAAGAGGCGGTGAAAGCAGAAGTACCCACCGAGATTGTTTCCACCTGGGAAATCTCCTGTGCAAAAGAGAAGCTTGAATCATTATTGTCATTTGTCGGACTTTGGTTTGCTGATTGAGGGTGTTGGAGAGGATGTCTACAACAACATTATGCTCGGTTCTCAGGTTGGCGTGATGTTGAAGCTTGCCAAGAAGCATTACATATGGGCTGCGAGTACGGTCCATAACTTCATAACAAACCAATTGGTGGTACAAAGGAGTTACAAAATCTGGTCAGTTATTGGTGGGCGTCCATTGCAGTTTTCGCTTCACGAGTTTCGTGATATCACTGGCCTAAACTGTGAGCTATTTGCTGATGATGAGTGGGACATTGATCATAGAGAGTTCTGGGAAGAAATGGGTGTGAGTACAGGGGTCGGGCCTAATTGGCACGAGTTGGTTGCTGTTTTTGAAATATGCAGTACATGGTCGTCTGCGAAGAAGAAGATGGTTGGCTTGCTATTCACATTGCACGTAGCCATATTTGGTATTCATCGGAATTCGCGGATCCCTTTGGATTGTGCTAAAAGAGTGTTGGATGAGGCAGCTTTTGAGAAGTATCCGTGGGGTCGTGTCAGCTTTAAGCAGCTAATTTTGTTTGTTAAAATTGCATCGTTGGGAGGACTTAGCTACACGTTCCAAGGATGTGTCCACGCCCTTCTCATTTGGGCATATGAATCTGTGGCAACATTGGGTGAAAAATTTGGGAGACTAGAAAATAATCCCGAGTTATTTATGTGTCCTTTACTTCGATGAAAATCGTGCACAGATCGGTACAATTTAGAGAAAGTGTTGGAGGAGGAAGTACGTACGCAGCCTAACAATAAGGTATGTTCACTTATATTGTGGATTTGTCAGAACATGTAGGTTTATGTGATATTAGACTAGTTTCGTTTGCTTCAGTTCATTGTAGATTAGGTAAAGAATCATCGTGGTAGATTTGTTTGCTTCAGTTATGGTAGACTTGTTTGCTTATCGAGTTATGTTATGGTAGACTTGTTTGCTTATCGAGTTATGTTATGGTAGACTTGTTTGCTTATCGATTTATGTTATAGTAGACTTGTTTGCTAGCTTATGGAGTTATGTTATGATAGATTTCTTTTGTTATTATATTGTGGTTGCGGTAGACTTGTTTGGTTATGTTTATGGTAGACTTTTTTGATTATTGAGTTATGTGATGGTAGACTTCTTTGGTTATTGTATTATGGTTGCGGTAAACTTTTAGCTGATAGAGTTGTTTGGTAATATTGCAGATTCGGGTTAGGCATCTATTGGAAGTTTCACGGGAGGAAATATATCCGTATTCGCCAGACGAAGATGCAAACGCAGAGGTGGATCCGTTGCTGCATAATTTGATCATTGATATTCTTGAATCACGGTTGGATGAGACCGCATGGGAGACGGGGGGATAAGTGAGAAGAAGAAGAAAAAGAGTGATGAGAAGGATAAGAGTGAGAAAAAGAAAAAGAGTAAGAAGAACGAGAAGAGTGAGAAGAAGGAGAGTGAGAAGAAGGGGGAGAGGGATAGTGATGATGACTTTGGGGAACAGCCTAAAAGGAAGAAGAACCAAAAGGTAGAAAGTGACTTGAGGAAGAAGAAGAAAGGAAAAATGAAAGAGAAGGAGACGGAAACTAGCTAGGAGGCGGAGAGTAGTGATGAGTAAGATGAAGAGATGGAGATACCGGTAGCTCAGTATGCGGAGAAGGTAAAGAAGAAGCTTACGAGGCAGGAGAAGAGTACTAGTGAAAGCGCGCTTTTACAGGCAATTCAGCTTTTGTCCTCTAAAATTGACTCAATAGACGAGAGGGTCAATACATTTATGGGAATGGCGAAAGATAACGTTCCGATTCTAAAATCTGCGGGAGAGAAACCGGCTGGAGATGCCGAATCCAAAGTAGATGAACCTCCGGTTAAGAAGGATCGGGTACACAAGTTTCTCTTCTAGGATGTTGAGTTTTTATGCATTTTGAAACTAGTAATGGTAGACTTTTTGTACCAAACTTTGCAGATTTGTAGTACCTACTTCCTTTGTTTTTTTATCAACTGTGGTGTTTGAGATGTTTAAACTTTTGTGTTTCAAGTTTGACAAGTTTGGTGAATCGTTTTTTTTTTTTGATGTTTAAAATTTTTTAAACAAATCTTCCATTAAATTGATAAGTCTAAAACAATATACTAATTGGGTTATAGTTCAACAGTCATGGACTGTGGAGATGCAGGATACATCTGATCCTCAGTTTCCAAAAGCAACAGTGGTTAGGAATCCGAAGTTGAAAGTTAAGTTTGTCCGTAAAGTGAATCTAGAAGGCTGGGAGGGTGAGGCGAAACCGACAGGGGTCATTGATGATGAAGCAGATAAGACGCCTCGACGAGAGCAAATAAAGATTTCACAGCTGGTTGATGAACCTGACGACTCGAAACTTCTAGCATTAGAGAGGCTTATGGCACTTCCCACAGTCATTGACCAAGAATCCAGCAGAAAGCCAAGACCCCGTGTCATTTCGCACACTCAAAACTCACCATTTGCAGGAAGTTCTGTTGTGCGTAGAATGATGGGTGCTGTATCTCATGGGCAAGCTCATTACAACCCATTTGAGGAGGTCGAACAGCGAAAGTTAAATTGCTTGCTCCAATACATCAAGAAAGATTTGTAAGTGTTTCGATCTTTGTCTTGCATTTAAAGGATATTATTCATCTTCATTAAATTAGTAGATTGTTATTTAAGGACTTTCCTAGAGTAAGTGTTTTAAATTATTGTATTAGGGAAAACCTGTTCGATGAATCAATTGCAGGGGTTGATTTCTACCTCACGTTGATGACACCTAAAGAAATGTGGCCAACTCCAGAATATGGATGGTTGTCGGGCAAGGTAATTCTCGATATGAGTAGTTGTATAGTTGTTTACAAAATAGATGTTTGATAAATGGTTGTTTACTAAATAGTTGTGGTAGACTTGTTCTGTAGGGTAGCATATTGTTGTGGCAAACATATTTTGTAGACTTGTTTTACTTAGAGTATTTGTAGTATGTCAAAGTCGTGGTAGACTTGTTTTGAAATGTACTGTTGTTATGGTAGTCTTGTTTTGTAGGGCATAGTTGTGGCAGACTTGTTTTGAAATATACTGTTCTTAAAATATTTGGTAGAATTCTTAATTTGTTTTCCTTATGCTTCTTTCAGCATATTAGCTCTGCATTCGATATGTTCAGATCTCGTTCTTACCGAGTTCCATCTCCCTATCGAAATAGGAGGGTTGCATTCCTCGACCCATTCGTCTCATATATGTGGTGCAGAGATTATGAGACGAAGTTTGTAGAGAACGAGAAGAATTGGATATTCTCAGAAGCATATATCGACACTGCCAATGAGATTTTCAATGATTTTCCTTGTCCACCGAGG